TGTGATGATTACGAGCATTTGTACTCCAGTCATGGATGTTTAATATGCATCTTTATATATATAATTCTTCTGTGAGTGTGTATGTCACTGAACTTCTCTTAAACGACTGGACCGATTTTGATGAAATTTTTTGTGTGTGTTCAAGGGGATCTGAGAATGGTTTAGATTCACAATTTTGTCCGCTGGACAACCCCTATTTTTTTAGGGCGGTACGAAGTTCGCTGGGTCAGCTAGTATACTTATATATGTACAGTATATGTATTCTATCCGTTACCCTAGTATCCCATAACACAAGCCTTTTAGTGCTTAGCTTGGGGCTAGGCTAATTGGTGTGAGTGTTGGAAATATTAATTTATTAAAAAGTTTATCTCTCAGAAAAATCAACTTACATGAATCACATTTAAGCGCACCTAGCGACATCTATTGTACGAAACATGCATATTTTCTTCGCAATAAAGCTGATACCTGGACGTCCTAGATATAGACTTTTTATTATAATACGATAAAATATAATATTACTATGTTTCGTCCAATATATTGAAAGTCAACCACCTTTCCAATTTTACTGTATTCGTTTTACGCCACGTGTCACGTGTTAACATTTTTTACCCATACAAAAAAAGTGTACAACGGCACTAAAGAAGTTTTCACTTCAGAAATAGTCGGGCCACGACCCCCGCGCTAACATCTACCAGGGGGCCATTCGCCTAACGGAAATGCTTTGGAAAACGCTAACGCTTACGATTTCATTTTGTTATTTATATGCGCCTGAGGTTTTCAAATGCCTCGCGCTCTCTTTTTTCTTCTGCATTGGTAATAACAATATTAAAAAAAATGAGCGTGAGGTATTTGAAAACCTTCGGCGGTCAGAAATAACAAAATAAAATCGAAAGCATTAGCGTTTTCCAAAGCATTTCCGTTAGGCGAATGGCCCTTAGCTCGGAGGCAGAGCTATCCTTTGGCCTTGCTACAACAATATTAGTACCAAGTTTGTACGCTAACACGGAGCGTTGTTAAAACTCCAAACTTGTTGATATTTCTACCAATGTGAACTTTAACCACTGTGCTTGCAACGAAAAGAAACATTCAATTTTATTATGCTAATGAATTCATAAACATTCACGTTCATTTCGTATAATGTTTAAGTTTACTTCTGAACTTCCTTTTTTAGATAGGTACGCAATATTTATTAATGATTTCAGTGCGGTAAGTTGATTATTTTATTACAAACGAGTAGACGAAAGTTTACCATCATCATCATCAGCCTATTAATGTCCCCACTGCTGTGGCACAGGCCTTCCCTATGGATGGAATAGGGAGATTGGGCCAGGACCCACCACGCGGGCCCAGTGCGGATTGGTGGGTGCTAACGACTGCAGATGCAGCCGGGACCAACGGCTTAACGTGCCTTCCGAAGCACGGAGGAGCTCGAGATAGTAATTTTTGGTCACCCATCCAATGACCGACCACTGCGAAAGTTGCTTAAGTTCAACGATCGTAGCAGGACGCGCTAACCACTTGCGCCATCGAACTCCTCGAGTTTACCATAGTCACAAGTTTGTAAATACCAATTCCGCATGAATGTCATACGTTTTTCAACACAATAGGGTATTAGACAGTATTAAAAATAAAGTGCCAAAAGTTAGCATCTGTGTTTAGAATGGATATTGGCAGGGGTTTTTACTATTTTTACAAAAAAAAACATAATTTTACTAAAAACTCACGAAAAAGATAAATAGTATTCTTTTCTATTGTCACGTGACCCAAAACGCTTGGGATTGGCAGAGCCTAAAATGACGTCATACGCAAGTAAACTTCCGGTTAAAGTGACATTTACATTGTATCGTTTGACGTTTTAATAACAGTCGTGTGTGTGACTTCACACACTAGTAAGACGCCATATTGTCCAGAGAAACGTTTTCGCGGCAACTTGTAAATGGAGTTTTTGATTTGGTTATTTTTACTGAAATACACAACAGATGATGAATATCCACTTTTTACAGACTCCATAAACATTGGCCAATAACGTGAGATCGTTTTCTAAAACTTTTCAAATACCCTATTGCGATAAAACAGTATATTTATTAAGTAACGAAATTTCTTAACTTTTTCTAAAATGAAATTGGCGCGCATTTCCTCATGGCGCCTCATGCTAGTGGTGAAAATTAGAACTACATCTCTCGGCTCTTTTTCTTTTTTTTTGGGTCAAATTAAATTGAGTCAAACGCATAGCTCAAAGGAAGTTCGATCGAAATAAAAAAAAACGAGTGTGCTTATGACCACACGACTGAAGTGAAACTTCTATGAACTATGTACATATATATATTTCATTTAATCGCTATTCTATTCAATTTTTTTGAAAAAAATTCAAAATTCAATATCGTTTATTCAGTCTAGGCTGTTACAAGCACTTGTGAATGTCGAAAAGCTACGCCATCGGTTCGCAAAACTACGGCGGGAGACCTTGTACTGAGAAGAACCGGCAAGAAACTCAGCAAGGGCTGCTTTTTTCTCCCTGTTTTATTTCATACAGTGTCGTCCAATTGAAAGTTGACATCAAACTTGCAAACATGTGTTGAGGTCAACTTCCATCACATAATGTCAAATATGTAACAATCAATGAATTTACTAACAATAAGTGCAAAGATAAGTCCCAAAATAGCAAGAAACGAACAAAGTGAAGTGAAACTTCTTTCGGCACGCTTGACTTAAAGGGGTAAACTGGCGAATGTGTTACGATTTCGCGTTACGAAAGTGTCATAGGTGCCTCATCGGTTAACAATACCCATTACAAAATAAATGAATCTACTGCTTGGTGGGTGGTAACGGACCCAGCGCGGATTGGTGGCTGGTAACGGACCCAGTGCGGATTGGTGGGAGATAATGGACCCATTACGGATTGAAGAGTGATAACGGACCCAGCGCGGATTTGTGGGTGGTAACGGATCCAGTGCGGATTGGTGGGTGATAATGGACCCATTACGGATTTAAGAGTGATAACGGACCCAGCGCGGATTGGTGGGTGGTAACGGATCCAGTGCGGATTGGTGGGTGATAATGGACCCATTACGGATTGAAGAGTGATAACGGACCCAGCGCGGATTGGTGTGTGATAATGGACCCATTACGGATTGAAGAGTGATAACGGACCCAGCGCGGATTGGTGGGTGGTAACGGATCCAGTGCGGATTGGTGGGTGATAATGGACCCATTACGGATTGGAGGGTGATAACGGATCCAGCGCAGATTGGTGGTAACGGATCCAGTGCGGATTGGTGGGTGATAATGGACCCATTACGGATTAGAGGGTGATAACGGACCCACCGCGAAATGGTGGGTGGTAACGGACCCAGTGCGGATTGGTGGATGATAACGGACCCAGCGCGGATTGGTGGTTGATAATGGACCCATTACGGATTTGAGGGTGATAACGGACCCAGCGCAGATTGGTGGGTGGTAACGGATCCAGTGCGGATTGGTGGGTAATAATGGATCATTACGGATTGGAGGGTGATAACGGACCCAGCGCGGATTTTGGGTGATAACGGACCCAGCGCGGATTGGTGGGTGGTAACGGACCCAGTGCGGATTGGTGAATGATAACGGACCCAGCGCGGATTGGTGGGTGATAATGGACCCATTACGGATTGGAGGGTGATAACGGACCCAGCGCGGGTTGGTGGGTGGTAACGGACCCAGTGCGGATTGGTGGATGATAACGGACCCAGCGCGGATTGGTGGGTGATAATGGACCCATTACGGATTGGAGGGTGATAACGGACCCAGCGCGGGTTGGAGGGTGATAACGGACCCACTGCGGATTGGTGTTTTTTTTTCTATCAACAAATCTTCAGGTTAAGTAGGTATATGAATTTCAGATCAATGGAGCTAACGAAGTTTCACTTCAGTCGTGTGGTCATAAACGCACTCGCTTTATTTAATTTATTCATTTATCGGTTAACCGTTGGCACAGTACGCACAGAAAGACACACCTTCTTATTTACATAATGTTACTACTTTCCGTACGTGTTAAAGTTAGAGCCGAGTTCAAGGTTGTTAACTTTCAATGTAACTGGTTAAGTTAAAGTTACGTCACAACTTGAATGGAAAATCGAACTTAAGGTATTGGTTGAAACATTACTTACTAAACTAAAACACTACGTTAATATTATATCTAATAAATAAAATTCTCGTGTCGCGGTGTTTGTGGTTAAACTCCTCCGAAACGGCTTTCCCGATTCTCATTAAATTTTGTGTGCATATTGGGTAGGTCTGAGAATCGGACAACATCAATTTTTCATCCCCCTAAAAGGGTAATCCACCCCTAATTTTTTTTTTTTTTCAATTTTAGATATTTTTTTTAATTTTTTTATGATACAGCATTAGTAAATACATATAACCCTGAATTTTCAACCCTTTACAATATTTTTATATGGCGGTACGAAGTTCGCTGGGACAGCTAGTAATGATGTAATAATTTTATATTTTAACTAGCTGACCCAGCGAACTTCGTACCGCCATAAAAATAGGAGCAGGTGTTAGAAGAGAAAATTTAGGGTTGTATGTATTTTTAATGCCACATTATAAAAATAATTGTCCAAAAAATTTTGAGGGGTGTGTAACGTAGTGTTCTGTCAATTTCCTGGGATAACATTCCTCCTAACCCATATGAGAACACTACGTAACAATACCCAATAGTTAATATTTTGGCACGAAGGCGCATTCTATGTTTTAGAACATTACGTTACAGGTGGACAACCATTATCACATAAGGTTATGAAAAATAGATAGTAGCCGATTCTCAGACCCACGGTATATGCATATAAAATCTCATAAATATCGGTCAAGCCGTTGCGGAGGAGTATGGCAACTAACATTGTGACACGAGAATTTTATATATAAGATATTAGATTTCATTCATGAGAAAATTTTCAGCGGCAGAGGCAGCTGTCATCAGATGAGACTCGAACCAGCAGTTTTGAAAAAAGCCATTGTTTTTTTTACATCCTGTATAACAAAGAGAGCTCACCGACCTGCAATATAACCCTGGCTGGTTTGAACGCTATCTCCACTCCCCCCTCCACCTGCTGATTCTTCTCCCACTCCAGCACGTTCTGGACATCCTTCTCCAACACCTGGAAGTTGTCGCAGTTCCGCATACATGATTCTAGGAGCACCCTGATGCTGTAGGGGAGACGGTCTGAAACAAATTATCGGAATTTATGAATAAAAATAAATTGGTAATCTATATATATAAAACTCAAAGGTGACTGACTGACATAGTGATCTATCAACGCACAGCCCAAACCACTGGACAGATGGGGCTGAAATTTGGCATGCAGGTAGATGTTATGACGTAGGCATCCGCTAAGAAAGGATTTTGATCAATTCTACCCCCAAGGGGATAAAATAGGTAATGAAAGTTTGTATAAATTTGGGCTGAGACTTTGCATGCAGGTATAAGAAGAATTATAGATGAATGTCATCGTGTATAATACAAGCCTGAGAACAAAAACTGTAGTCTACACTTCAGCTCTACACCGAAGCGAAGCGAGGGCGGGCAACTAGTAATAAATATTTCCAACACTCACCAATTAGCCTAGTCCCAAAGTAAGCACTGTAAGGCTTGTGTTATGGGATACTAGGGTAACGGATAGAATACATATACTGTACATATATAAGTATATTTATATAGAAAATACATAGTTCCCGGCAATAGTGCCGGAAATAGAGCCACTGATGGCCCCACTAGAGTTAGCGGACCCGGACCAAGCGGCACCGGCCGCGGGAGAGGAGTTAAGGAAGGCAACAGACAAGTTGCGTACCAGGAGAAAGGCTCCGGGCCCAGGCGGCGTACCGGGTCGCGTCCTCCTACGGGCATTGAGTCACCTGGGCGAATATTTCACTTCGCTACTGGAGGCCTACTCTATTTCAACGAAAAACAAAATTTCGAACGAAAAACGAAATGTATACACAATGTAGTTAAGGTACTTATGTAATTGGTTAAGGATGAATGTTATATTGCTGAAAATCGCTATTACTTTTCGTAAAAAGTATAGAATAAAAAATTGTTATTGTGGATTATCCCTAAGAGATAGACATAAATCATCGCGGACTTTTTTGTAGACCTTTTTAAGGTGTACAATACTGAAGTACATTATTTTGATCTATCTCGTAGGGTTCAGCCAGCGTTTGGAATGTAAGAGCGAAAAAATGTGTTTATTTACGACCTTACATTAAAAACCTCTAAAATTATCAGTGTTTCTCTACTACAATGCATGTATTATACATATAAACTTTCCTCTTGAATCACTATAGATATCTATTAAAAAAACCGCATCAAAATTCGTTGCGTAGTTTTAAAGATCTAAGCAGACATAGGGACAGACAGCGGGAAACGACTTTGCTTTATACTATGTAGTGATTCTGTTGACTTTTCCCCAAATGTCCATTTTATAAAGATAAGCAAAAGTGACCCTCTTTAACCTACACTTTCATTATGTAACATTTTTTGATAAAGAAAACAGATCTTACTTAACACTCACGCAGTCTGTTATCTAACATGAACAAGCAGTTAACGAAATTCACAAGTTAATTGTAAAGTTCGATTATTTTTAATTATTTCAAGTTTCTTATCATGATTCTTTCGCACGCATTTTAAGATTCAAGATACCTATTGTGTAGATTAATTGTTTTCTTATACTAGCTGTGCCCCGTGGTGTTACCCGCGGTTTACGGCGTTTAAAATGTAGCCTATGTGTTAATCCAGGACTTCAGCCAACTCCATACCAAATTTTATTAAAATCGTTCCAGCCGCTTAGACGTGAAGAAGTAACAAACATACACACTCACAAACTTTCGCTTTTATACTGTTGGTGTGATAACTAGACCACGACTGTTTGGCTAAGGTTTGCACGCATTCGGTGGGCCCTGCCGTGGTGCTCCGGCTAGGCCGGGAAGCTGTCAGGTGCGGAGACGCGGTGAAATCCCACAACGGGGACACGGTAATATTATCTATACAGTATTGTCCCTGTCCTTGTCCTTGAAATAACTGCCTACAGCCGAGTGGGCCAACCCTGTCCTTGAAATAACTGCCTACAGCCGAGCGGGCCATAAACACGCGGTAGGGCTGCCCGCCTACAGTATTTTAATTTCATGTACATAATTGAGTTTCTTTCTAGTTTTGTGATTGTAAATATTTTATTTTATATGTAAAAAAAAAGTTGTGAATGAATTAGGAAGTGTTCAATAAAATACACGTTATTTTAAGGTAATATTTAATAAAAAAAATATGTAGATTTGAGACAGAAAAATATTTACGCCTCGACTGAGACGTACGAAAAGCTTTATTATTAAATTTAATATAAATACGCGTATAAAAAGTTTAATTAAAAATACTTTAGGGAAACAATGGCACGGAGCAGAAAAGGGAATATTTTTAACTTGTTTATATACCTGCAGTTACTTTACAGTTGATATGTTTCTTTTTATTGGGTGCGTTATTGAAGAGTTCAAGCAATCAAAAACAGCTTAATAGCGATTATTGCTCTTTCCAATATTAAATTATGTAGAAAAATCGCATGTTTAAGCACGGCTAACTGCTTAAAAAACAATTCACACCGTTCGGTCGTCGCTGCGGCACATTCACGACTGGATGCCCACCGGGTGCCGCGCGAACTAGAGTGGCGGAGTGTATGAATTTAGAATCATCATCATCATCATCAGCCTATTAATGTCCCCACTGCTGGGGCACAGGCCTTCCCTATGGATGGAATAGGCAGATTGGGCCATGACCCACCACGCGGGCCCAGTGCGGATTGGTGGGTGCTAACGACTGCAGATGCAACCGGGACCAACGGCTTAACGTGCCTTCCGAAGCACGGAGGAGCTCGAGATAGTAAATTTTTGGTCACCCATCCAATGACCGACCACTGCGAAAGTTGCTTAACTTCAACGATCGCAGCCGGACGCACTAACCAGTTGCGCCATTGATCTCCTCTTTTTTAAGAATACTGTAAAATACTGTATAGATAATATTACCGTGACGGGGATCACTCAGTTCCGCACTTAACAGCGTGGGTAGAGGGTATTTGCAGGGATTTTTAGCGGATAGTATGCCGTAAGCGCTCGTAAGCCGCGCGGATTGCTCAACGGCTTCTCCGTTTCACACCCGTGAGACTTGCGAGAGTCTAGGGCGAGGTTCGTTCGTTGGTGAGCCCCTAATTGCGTCAACGTCTGTAAATAGAGGTGTTGCAGTACGGTTCGTACTAAGAGTATCGAATGTGTTTCGCCATCGTCATATTTCTATTGGAACTTAATAGCGCCCCTACCGGACGTAAGGACAAACTAGCTCTTACCATAGAAACTCTGATGGCGTTACGAATACGGATTTGTCAAAGTTTGTGCTTGGGGTCCAAGTTTCGCTGTATAAACCATACAATTTAAAAATTAATTTTAGAATGAATTGCTTTTTTTTTATAGATAGGTCCGACAAATGATTTCACCCCACCTGATGTTGAGTGAAGGTGAAGTCCAGACGCGAAGATAGCTGATACAGCAGTTCTACCTGCCACACCAGCCATCCTCACCCTGCCGGCCTGCATGTTGCTTCTTCACGCCTCTTTTAAAGGATCCCAGGTTTTAAGAGGGAGGGAACACGTGAGTGGGCAGAGCATTCCATTTACGGATAGTGCGACAAAGAAATGAGTCACCAAATTTCTTTGTACGCGTTGGAATTGTGGCCACAGTTAGACGGTGACAACGTAGGCGTAGGCCAGCGCGCGTGGTCCTCTGAAGGAAAGGGGAAGGTGGAAATAAGTACAACTGGATGACTGTGCTCTTCCCCTAGAAAAAAAAATCCTGCCTACTCTGGCAAAATTCCCTAGCAACCTATGGTTGGGTGGAATAGGTACAATCCTGCCTCCTCTGGCAAAATTCCCTAGCAACCTTTGGTGGGGTGAAATAGGTACAATCCTGCCTTCTCTGGCAAAATTCCCTAGCAACCTTTGGTGGGGTGGAATAGGTACAATCCTGCCTTCTCTGGCAAAATTCCCTAGCAACCTTTGGTGGGGTGGAATTGGTACAATCCTGCCTTCTCTGGCAAAGTTCCCTAGCAACCTATGGTTGTGTGGAATAGGTACAATCTGCCTTCTCTAGCAAAATTCCCTAGCAACCTTTGGTGGGGTGGAATAGGTACAATCCTACCTTCTCTGGCAAAATTCCCGAGCAATCTATGGTGGGGTGGAATAGGTACAATATAACCTCCTCTGGCAAAATTCTCTAGCAACCTTTGGTGGGATGGAATAAGTACAATCCTACCTTCTCTGGCAAAATTCCCGAGCAACCTATGGTGGGGTGGAATAGGTACAATCCTGCCTTCTCTGGCAAAATTCCCTAGCAACCTTTGGTGGGGTGGAATAGGTACAATCCTGCCTTCTCTGGCAAAATTCCCTAGCAACCTTTGGTGGGGTGGAATAGGTACAATCCTGCCTTCTCTGGCAAAGTTCCCTAGCAACCTATGGTTGGGTGGAATAGGTACAATCTGCCTTCTCTAGCAAAATTCCCTAGCAACCTATGGTGGGGTGGAATAGGTACAATCCTACCTTCTCTGGCAAAATTCCCGAGCAATCTATGGTGGGGTGGAATAGGTACAATATTACCTCCTCTGGCAAAATTCCCTAGCAACCTTTGGTGGGGTGGAATAGGTAGAATCCTACCTTCTCTGGCAAAATTTCCGAGCAACCTATGGTGGGGTGGAATAGGTACAATATTACCTCCACTGGCAAAATTTCCTAGCAACCTTTGGTGGGGTGGAATAGGTACAATCCTGCCTTCTCTGGCAAAATTCCCGAGCAACCTATGGTGGGGTGGAATAGGTACAATCCTGCCTCCTCAGGCAAAATTCCCTAGCAACCTTTGGTGGGGTGGAATAGGTAAAATCCTGCCTTCTCTGGCAAAATTCCCTAGCAAACTATGGTGTGGTGGAATAGGTACAATCCTGCCGCCTCTGGCAAAATTCCCTAGCAACCTTTGGTGGGGTAGAATAGGTACAATCCTGCCTTCTCTGGCAAAATTCCCTAGCAACCTTTGGTAGGGTGGAATAGGTACAATCCTGCCTTCTCTGACAAAATTTCCGAGCAACCTATGGTGGGGTGGAATAGGTACAAACATACAAAATATTATTAAGATTAAAGAGAGAAAAGCACTCACCAAATTTATCACCATGTGCTGCCAGATCAAAATACTTGTATGATTTCCCATCAATGTCAATGGTTTTCACATATTTGTTAAAAGGGTTGTTGGAGGCTGAAACAAATTAAAAAGTACTTTATTCTTTTTAAAATATTTAGGTCTTATAAATAAAACCCGTGGAGCTCGATGGCGCAAGTGCTTAGCGTGTTCGGCTGCGATTGTTGAAGTTAAGCAACTTTCGCAGTGGTCCGTCATTGGATGGGTGACCAAAAATTTACTATTCGAAATTCTCCATGCTTCGGAAGGCACGTTAAATCCTTGGTCCCGGGTGCATCACTCACAACCATCACCAATCCACACAGCCCGCGTGGTGGGACATGGCCCAATCTCCGTATTCCATCCATAAGGAACGCCTGTGCCTCATCAGTGGGGACATTAATATACTGGTGATGATGATAAATAACACCTAAATAGTTGAACATTACATGAGGGGTGTTAACCCCACCAGTCGCTTTCTGCTTAACAATGCTCAAATGTAGATCCATTAGGGGTAGGATATTTGGGAAATACAGTCAAAACCGAATATAACGACATCGTTTATAACAACAGGTCGGTTATTACGACCAATTGGTAAGATCGAAACTCTATATAAACCCTTAACTGAAAAAACCGCCTATAACAATACCATATATATAATAGCGACATATTTCTTAAAACGACATATAGCCAATGCATACCAATATAGTTCATATCGATATTCATCAGCTATAATGACCGACCGTTTTACTTCTTCTAGCATAACAAAACATACTGTAAGTACTAACGGTACTTAATTTTTTTTGATAATAAACTTTAAAATAAATAAATAAATACTTCCAACACTCACACCAATTAGCCTAGCCCCAAAGTAAGCACTATAAGGCTTGTGTTATGGGATGCTAGGGTAACGGATAGAATACATATACCATACATATATAAGTATATTTATATAAATACATATTAAACATCCATGACTGGAGTACAAATGCTCTTATTCATCACACAAACATCTGCCCCCACCGGGATTCGATCCCAGGACCTCTCAAGTTGGAGACAGCTATGAAACCCGGCGTACAAACCACTCCGCCACATAGGGCGTCAATAAACTATATTACTTCTTTTTTCGAAATTATAGTTGAAAACAGGTTCACATAATCAGGTAATGACCTATGACCCATACTACCTACATACATATGACAATTAATGTGACTACTTGAGTCTACTGCTTAAAACAACTAGCGGACATAACATCCGAAGTTATATGGTCCCTTCAATGCCGTTATATCCGGTTTCAACTTTACTGTATCATCCGTCATTCATAATGATCAACAGTTCAACTAAACTATGAACTGATAGGAAAATTGCATTCTTTATTTGGATAAGTTATATAATTACTAAAGAATGTCTGTGACTGCATCTGTGTGGAAGCATCCACTTTGACCTTTTTTAGTTATATTACCATGATAACAAGTTAATTAAATAAGAATTACAGTTGAAACCCGATATAACAACATTGAAGGGACCATATAACTTCGGACATTATGTCGATAGTTGTTATAAGCAATATGCAAAAGTAGTCATATTATTGTCATAATATATGATGTATGTAGTATGGTTATAGATAATGAACATGAGCTTGTTTTCATATAAAATATCGAAAATAGAAGTAATAATTATGAAAAAATTTAAGTACCTACAGTATATTTTATTTTGCTGGAACAAGTAAAATGGTTAGTCGTTATATCCGAGGAATATCAATATGAACTTTATCAATATTCATTGGTTATAAGTTGTTTTAAGCGGTATTTCGCCATATCTGGTGTTATTATCGGCGGTTTGTTTACTTAAGGGTTTTTATAGGGTTTCAGCCGGGACCTTACCAATTAGTCGTAATAACCGACACGTCGTTATATTCGGTTTTGACTGTAATTGAAAATGTGATAATGTTATGACAGACCCTTTAACTGAAATTTTCGCAGAATACTTATCATATTTATTTACTTACGTTAATTTGGATTTTTAATTCACTCATCTTGACAAGATGCAAAATAAAAACACTTAACTGATACTATACAAAATTGTTATGCTGGGAAAAATGATATCATGAATATTTTCTAACCAAATAATTTCTTAAAAGGGGATGTAAATAAAATTAATCTTAGCCTTAACTACAAATAATAATAAAAAAAAAATATTTTATTCAGTTTGGCTGTATGGCATAACATCATAGCCTGTACCAAAAGTAATGAACTCTCCAATATCCACTTCCTGTTCTTATTTCTTCACAAAATTATTTCTTCTTGTACAAAAAAAACCTCATAGGTACCTATTTTATGTTGACATGTTTGAGTGTGTGAGGAGCAAATACGTGGAATGTAAATAAGATCAAAGGTTAAGTGGAATTAATGATGGAATGTCAATAAACATGAATCTGAAACACGTTTGGTTAGACTTTGTAATTTACCAATTGATATTTAATGCCTACTTGGTAATAAGTAGCATTAAATCAGAAGCATTTAACGCTAATAAGCAAGATCCTGTAAATAATAAGATTGTATTAAAATAAAAATAAAACTTATTTTCAAATTAAGAATCACGTACCCGCCATCGTCTATGAGTGCGTTAGGATTTGAGAAAGTCACGTAGATAGAACACAGGTTATATAGAGGACACACTTTTCTTTGATTTTCCGAATCGATTCGAGAAAATCCGAAATTCTACGAGAATTTATCGTAAAATTAAACAAAAAAAAACAGCGCTGCGATGTCACTACCAATCGCTGTCAATCAGTGACATTGAATGAAAATGAAAGTGAAGTGTGAAAGAAAGAGACATAAAATCAAACAGATTGACTGACTTGCTTATAGCCACAGACTTTTAGCTCACGGAGACGATCAATTCGACTTGTCAAGTCTTACGTTATTGACAGTTTCACTTGATGAGCGACTTGACGCCCGTTGACGGTGCCATCCAGTGCGCACGTTCTACAGTCGCCTACCGAGCGCACCCGTGACATGAATAAAAATCCTCTCAAAAAACACGTCAACAGTCAAGTGCGAGTCAGATTCACGCCTGAAGGGTTCCGTGTTATGAATACAAAATTAGGCACTTTAGTATAATATCGAGCAAAAAATCTGAATTGTTGTGTGGGAGATCCCCTCAAATGTTTATTTTTTTTTCATTTAAAGTGAACAACTTAATATTTTTTTATTATTTCAAGCGTTTAGCTATTGCCATTATTATTAAAGAGCAAAAAACGGGAAAAAATCACGTTTGCTGAATGGGAGCTTCCCTTAAATATTTATTCAGGTCATTAGATACAACCTGATGTCAGACAGACAGACAGTGGAATCTTAGTAATAGGGCCTCATTTTTACCTTTTGGATACGGAACCCTTAAATAGTTTCTAACGCAGATAAAGACAGATCTGCTATATCTATAGCGGTATCTATGATTGTTAAGTTAATGCAATCGCTCTTTTCGCAATTTTTGGCTGCATACCTACTCTTTACTTTTAACTTTCGATAGTACAGGCCTTCCTATATTATTATTATATTTATAATAGAATTATATCACGCTCGGTAATATCGGCGCTTTTTGCTATTTCCACATTTAAGTCCTTCATCTTCGATGTTGCGGTGTAAATGAGCAAGACAATACCCATCATGTCACTTTAAGCGCAAACGCATCAAGCGCCGTCAATCAAAATTATTGTCAATAATACCCATTAAACCCGTAGTAGTACGCTTGACAGTAGCGTCAAGTCTACGCGCTAATCGATCGATATTCGCTTCAATCGTATTTGCTTGCGTTTAATAGATACTCAAAGTGACCCGCTATTTAAAATTCATAGCTTTGAGTACTTGGTAGATGCTTATATCTCGGAAGAACTGTTGTTTGAATATAGTATCCTTCCCCTTTGTCTTGAAGAAAAAATTACAATGACAGTAATAATCTAAATAGTGGTGGTCGATCTTATAAACCGATTCCACCGTTAAATCAAAACGATATTTTACATTTTATTGAATCAAAATAAGTTTAAGTTCTGAAAGTATTTAATCAATTTCATTTGGAAATATATAAAAATAAATCTTAACCAATGTCTGTCGATCTATCAACTTTCCCCAGCTGTTTCGCATGCCCAAAAACAAAAGTAGTTGCGCATCGGATATTTCACTAGACTGATTCCAGTTGCTTGAGTTAGAGATCAAAAATGCCAAAATATTATTTAATTTGCTGTAAAACATATCTGAAATATTAAACTTACAAAAGGATGGTGTTAAATTTCACATATAAGTGGAATTACTAACATATAATTTCTATTTAACTACTTTTAAACACAAACTTAATATAATTTTGTTAAAAATCAATTATCGGACTTGTTTGACAAAATAATCGACTCGCCAGTACAAATTTCAAATCTGTAAATAAAAATCTTGAGCTTCATCAATAATAATAATTTTTATTTCTTCTTACAACAAATTGAGGCAAATATAATATAGGTTAAGCAACACTTAAATAATATTATTAGGCGTTGTAAGAAACTGGTGTCCGAAATAGGCGTTAACCTGTAATATGGATCACTGGGTCCTAACCTAAAGCTAACGTAACAGCATAATAGACTAGTTTACTCATGTCGAATTGTATTAAATAAATGTTTATTTCTTAAAGTATTTGGTCTAAGGAACCTAAATATATCGATTTCACTTCATAAAAGCAGAAGATTGCTGTAGAAATTTTGTTTGAAAAAATATTTTTTAGTCTATATTTTTTAAACACTTAAAACGCTGTTCGCCACATCCGCCATGATTTTGACGTCTCTTGTGGTAAACAACTAAATGTCATTCGCGTGTTACTGTAGGTGGATTCTTTCGTCTGACTAAATTTATCTTAAAACACTTTTAACTTTAGGAAAGAAATAAACAGTAAACTTAGTTTTTTTGACAAAACTAATTATGGTTGCCGGCTTTGTAAAAGCAGAAAGCACAAATCTGCCAAGAATTGACGCATTGATGGTTGGTGAATTTGTTGCACTAAACCCCGATTTCTGCTCTGCGGAGCAGAGAAACGACAAGGCATCTATGTAAGTACAGTGCATTTAGTATTACAACGTAGTAATAAACATAAAACTGATACAATATATGAATAAGTGTAATAAAGTTACGTAGGTTAATTTCTTTCGGCACTTTAATCCACAACTTTCCTGGAGTCTTCAAGGATGTGTTTTTATATTCTCGTACAATACAGTAATGATAATTACTTTATTTTTAGTTGTATTTATTAGAAATCATGTTTTTTTTATTATAAACTCAGTTTTAAGTAATTTTCTACGTGTTTACGAGTTTTTGTTTACCACAGTTCACGTCATAGCATAGATAATCTATAGACTAAAATGGCCGACAGCGTTTTTGTATGTCCATGAAAAGTCTATTTTAAAATTAAAGATTTGTAGCTTTCTAGGTTTAAAAAAAAATGGTTGCCTGTAAAGTCGGTTTTACGGGCGAAGATTTTACGTGACAACGTCTTTTTCTCGGTAGAATATTTATTGATATGAATATAATTAAATTGCACAATAGGAACAAGGAATTGAATGAAAATAAGAATTGCACAAATTTTAACTATAGAAATATATTTTGTTTACTAAAACATTGTACATGTAAACTTAAACTTAACACGAGAGACTCATCGTAACGTTACCGAGCGTTACACTTTTTCATAAGTGACTCCCAGCCGCAACCTAATTTAAGACGTTGTCACGTCAAAAATACAATACATTTTTTTTCGGTCTAATAGAACATTTATTAACCATTTAAAACCTTTTTCCAAAAAGGGTCAACTAGCCTATTTATTTATTTATTTGGAAAACTTTAAGCTATCTTTCTTGCTATAAATATGTTTGATTTTAATTAATTTGTAGATAGACACCCAACTTGTTTTTAAAATTTTATACCTAGCTGCCTTTATTTCTTATAATATAGAGTAATATCCCACCTGTTAAATGAATCCACCCACTACCAGTCTTGGAAAATATTCCAGTCAAGGAAACATACATAGGAGATGCGGCACTTACAATAAGACAGATTCAAAAGCCTTGACTGAATAAACGATAAAAAATCGGTTGATCAAGACTGTTAACTGACTTTCAAGGAGACGCGCATCCCTAATGTAGTAAGTAGAAAAAAAATTGGTCGAAATTGAGAAATTCACGGCCGTAAAATTAAAAAAAAAAAGTTAAAAAATATCCGTTGAATATCGTGTCGAGTGTATTGTTTTCATGTTTTTTAATATTTACACATATTTTAGGCGTCGGTGACACACGAAAATGGCATCTTTTGATCTTAATTCGATAACACAAGCTTTGAGCGATCCTGGCAGAACTACAAGTGGCGTAGATTTTTCTGGAAAATCGCTAAAGCTTGACACTGAGAAAGATGGTATGCTGCTTCTATTTTATAAGTTATAAAATAAAATTAAGATTATACAATATTGCAAGGCTAATGTGTAGTGCAATTATTTATTTATTTAAAAAGAGCATTATTTTGTTCTATCCTAACCTAAATGCTAATGTTCACCATGGTAACAAAGTTGTTTATGAAAGAAATATAGTTTAGTTAGAAAGTTATAGAGGAAAGAAAGATAGATAAGTAATCTAAAAGAAATTCTATTCATCCTTATGTATTTTATAACTGCCTACTAATTGGATAGCCTCTTAAGATTGATATTTTGTGATCTATATCCTATACTAATGATGAAAGATCGCATAACTTTACCATGCAAATATTTATAGTGTCAAGGTATTTCTTAAATTCTTAAATATATTATTTTTGTAGGTTAGTGATCTGATGAATATTTAGAAATTGTTATTTTCATGCCCAAATCTTTCTGTGATATTACCTCAAACAGAAACATTGACGAATTTATAATCTAAGCCAGGTTTGTACTTGCATTGCTACATTTTAAAAAGATTTAGGTTCATATACATCCAAAAGCAATGGTCTGTTTATATAGCTTATAAACATCTACTAAGCAGAATTGGATGCAAACCATAAGGGTGCATTTTTTGCGAAAATTAAATGTGAAGATGAAAGTTAATTGGCAAAATATTTTTTCTCTTCTAGCTCAGCCTATCGTTGAAGCAATCAACAAATGCCCAGATCTCCAGTATCTCACCCTTACGGGGAATACTCTTGGTGTGGCCGCTGCCCAGGCCATTGCCAAGGCTCTGGAGCATCACCCTGAGTTGAGGATTGCCCGGTTCTCAGACATGTTCACGGGCAGGATGAAGACGGAGATACCACCAGCTTTGGTAAGCTATCACAAGAGAGATGATTTGTTCAAGTTAAGGTAACATTTCTAATAAGGGGTACAATGTTTTTACTTTGCTTGCATATTGACAAAATGATTTCTGTATCCTCTCTTCCAATTGGTGAAGATATTATCTTATCTCTATTATACTAAGTTTGTACAGATGGCAGTTCAGATAAGATAGAATATTCACAGAATTTATAGAAAGTTCACTGTACTGTACTGTCATATCGATGAGGAATTGGTGACAGACACAGCAACAAAAGTTACGCTCTTTCTGAGAGTTTTTGTAAACATGTAATATGCATGTATTGTATGTATATATATTTATTATCAGCTAAAAGTCATTCTGAGTCAATTTGAAGATAGTATAATTTAATATCATACAGTTTGGTCATTTTCGACAAGCCTTTCCCATGTGTAGTATAACTTTAGCAGTTCAGAACAAGACGTGACGTAATGCGCATTTTTAAGGATGTTACATAAAGTAAGACTTATTTATTTCTTTGTGTGAATTCGATAATGCCCTGTAGCATGTCATGCTATGCCATGCAATGTAGTACCTAAATAGACCTCATACAATTTTTTTTCTTTTAAGTTTGGCATACAAGCATATGGCCCCTCTGAAGGTAAACAGCCACCATAGCCTATAGACGCTTGCTATACATACAATATCGCTTGTGCGGTTGACTACCCTGATCCATCCTATCTCCTACCCAGTGGAGTCTTGGCACCATACTCACCGACAGAAACACAACACCACCAAAAGGCATTCTTATTACACTGTAGGCTTCTGTAAGGGCGTGTGCTACATGAGGTCTTAAGGTGGAAGTTACTTCCCTAGACGAAACGCAAAATCTGCTATGCCCTAGCTCTCCTAAAAACATGTGTGCTGCATACAGTCAGTATATTGTCATATTATTCTCATAGAAAGCCCTCGGAGACGGTATGATCACAGCAGGGGCCCGGTTGGAAGTGTTGGACCTGAGTGACAACGCGTTCGGTCCCATCGGAGTGGAGGGGCTTGCCAAATTGTTGGAAAGCGAGGTCTGCAGTCAGCTACAGGTCAGTGGTAGACTTAAGTTAATGAAAAATATATATTTACTATGTTGTTATTTATACATACACTCCTTCATGCTTTAGAAGATATTTTAAGCTATTGGACACAGCTGCAGTCACAGTTATAATATAATATGTTTAATTTTTCTATAAGATGAAAGAAGACATTTTATGAAATCATCAGCTGACGGACATCCACTGTAAACAAATATTTTATACCTGAATTATCTATTTTATCAGTGTTTTAAGAGGATGTATAAGATCAGACCACTTGATGAACAACAACAAAAACAATAGGATGATTCAATAAATCGATTTTTCACGAAAATCCTAGGGCTTTTGTGAAAACGCGGATAAGCATCGCCATTGTCTAAATCCGTGTTTTCGCAAAAAGAAGAACTTTCATAATTATATAGACAATGGCGATATTAATTATCCGCGTTTTTTCATAAAATCCCTTGGATTTTCGCGATGATATTTCTCAATATGTAATCGCCACTTTCTAATTATCCGTGTTTTTGCAAAATCCCTAGGATTTTAGTGTAAATTTGTTTTATCAAATCGTCTTACAATATATTTAATAGTTGTTTACAAATGCAGTGTGTTACAAATGTTAGAGGAGCTCGATGGTGCAGGTGGTTAGCGTGGCTGCGATCGTTGAAGTTAAGCAACTTTCGCAGTGGTCGGTCATTGGATGGGTGACCAAATATTTACCTTCTCGAGCTCCTCTGTGCTTCGGAAGGCACGTTAAGCCGTTGGTCCCGGCTGCATCTGCAGTCGTTAGCACCCGCCAATTCAATGCAATCCAATGGCCCAATCTCCCTATGCCATCCATAGGGAAGGCCTGTGCCCCAGCAGTGGGGACATTTATAGGGTGATGATTATGATCATACTTAAGCACTAGATATAAATCTGAAGACTAAAGAACATACATGCGGTCCAGGTGCAACTCTGATGTAAGCGGCTGCCATATTCTATATTACCTATGTATAGACCAGTTTCTCAAAATGTGCAAAAACGCCCCATTGCGGGGGCTGGCAGTCTTAATGTCGGCGGTAAATATTAAATTAAAATTCCGCGACTAATTAAGAGATATAATGTATGTTTACATTGTAAATCTTAATATATATAAATCTCGTGTCACAATGTTTGTCCTCAATGGACTCCTAAACCACTGAACCGATTATATAAAATTCGCACACCATGTGCAGTTCGATCCAACTTGAGAGATAGGATAGTTTAAATCTCAAATTATAGTCGCAATTTTAATTTATTGCAAATTATTACTTTTGGGCGGTACGAAGTTCGCCGAGTCAGCTAGTCTGTTATATTTTCGATACACATTATCCCAGCAGTGGAGACATTAATAGGTTGATGATGATGATAAAGATGGTGGATAGTCTAGTGGTGGGGTCGTTCTCAAATTTTCTGACGACGAAACGCAACCGTTTTCACTTAAACGAAAACTAGTCCTCGAAACGGTTCTCGTTCGCAACTGGTTTTGGTTGCGGCTGGGTGACGCAACGAAACGACACGCGACCGTCGAACGAATGTAACGCAACGAAACTGAACTAAATGAAATCTTGTTTTTTTTTTGTTTCCTCCCAGGCGGGGGAGAGGGTGAGAAATCCTCATGGATACCCTACAGCCGGCTGTAAGGTTATGTCAGACTCTTACTGACTAAAAAACACCCTTTATTCATGCTTATGGCCAGAAGGGCCTTACAAGCTTCATCTGAAGCGATCAACCCCCGAGAGGGGGAACTGAAATCTTGTTAACGTTCGTTTCGTTGCTGCGAACGAGACGACGAAAAATCGAAATGAATGTAGTGTTATACGATAATCGACTTTAAATGTTCAATAATAAAGATTATATTATTGTAAAATCAAAGCTTAATTTATTATAGAACGAAACGGCCTCATATCATTCCGTTCTAATATAGACTGTATTTACTTCATCATAAAGTACATATTGGCGTGCAGACAATCCGAGGACTAGTTGTTCGACGAAGACTGTTTTGATCCGAAAACGTAAAACGGTTCTATCGTCGCGGAACATAAAAAGGTCCTTGAAACCGCTTCGTCTTATCTCTTATCTATTAGACAAGTCCGTCCGTCCGTCCGTCTGTCTGTGGTGCTGTTTCAGCGGCCAAACCGTAAGAGATAGATAAAGAGAATGTTTAAGTTATAAGTTAAGAATAGTCTGATAAGACTACAAACCTGATTTGAGTAACGTAGCACTTCCGGTTTTCGAGAAATCACGAATTTCAAACGAAACCACACAAAATTTCCGAAGTTCAAAATTAATTTATTTTTATTTTTATTTTTTTTAATCAGGTTTTGGTGAACATTTGGTTCACTGGTTTGTTAGTTTTATTTATTTAAATAAAATAACGTGTTTAGAACGCTCATACCTAGTGGATTTATTATGCATGCTTTGAGAAAAAAAAGTTGTTTAATAAAAATTAGCTTCTTCATATATAGATAATTGTTTATTTGTTAAATTCACTTTTGTAATTTTTATCTATATTGCGATACCCTGACAGGGTTCACGTTAGGTACTTTATGCATTTTGTAACTTGTAACCATCCATGTAACCACATGAGTGCAATAAATTGAATGAGGGCTACCGTTTTTTGTCTCACCAGATGCCGCCACTGTTGAGTGAGATCCTGAATTGTAACTTTTAATGTTTATTAATACGCGCGTGAAATCAAAGTATACATTTAAATCATATTTTAATACAATAGAACCGTATTCTAAACATAATTGGCCATACAACAGTGTTGCGCAGCTCCGTTTTGTACGGCAAAAAGGAGGACATAATTATTTTTCTTAGCTCCGCTTTTAAAAAACTGACATTCAATGGCCATGTAACTCATATTTGCTATAATTAAGCCGAGTTATTACTAAATATTCACAACATTATTTTAATTAGAAATAAACCCCCGTAGTCAACCCACAACCAATAACATTTGACATTTCGGAGACCTCACGCTACACAAGCGCCTCTAGCGGCGGATTCATACGCGATAGCCCTCATCGAATTGGATACTTTGTGGTTTAGGAGCTGAGGCTCAACAACAACGGTCTTGGTATAAGCGGAGGCAGGTTACTGGCTCGCGCTCTCACTCAGTCGCCGCGCCGGCTGAGAGTCTTCGTGGCGGGTAGGAACCGGCTGGAGAACGATGGAGCGAAGGCATTGGCATCTGTATTCACGGTGAGTACTTCTTAGTAGCACGGCGAGCTGTTCCTACAACTCGACACCCAGTGCCTATTTTACGTGGGGACTGTCAACTGTCCTGCCACCCCAGCTCCTCCAGAAAGCTCGGCAGTGGCTTCTGTATTCACGGTGATAGTGTTGGGTAGGACACGACTTGAAAAAGAGTTTGTAAGCGTAGGCTCTTTTCTGTACTGAGCCAGTACAATGTCCCACTTCAAATGAGGCGAGGCGTACTGAAGATACATTTGAAGTGACGAGAACAAATATGAAATTGAGGCGTACAGAAGCTCGACATTACGTTTGTGTGCACGAGTAGCACCTGGAGCGTAAGTTCTGAACGCAACCCTGGGCTGCGTTCAATACCTACACTCTGAGTGCAACTTTTACCCTGACGTTTAAATTTTGACATAAAATGTATGAAGCTAATGTCAACTTAGATATTTGTTGCACCTAGAGCGTAGGTTTTGAACACAACCCAGTGCGAGTGACAAGGATTATTTGGCAAATTAATTATAGAAAACACAGTGAGACAGCATTATTTCCAGTTTGTGTCATGCGATGCGCCACAAGATCCTTGTCGCACTGTAACACAGACTACTAAGATAAGAGAGAGATAGGTACTACTACACTGTACCGTAGAGGACTTAAATGAAATGTCATGCCTCGCTCACTCTCAGACTTACGAAGAGTGAGTGAGTAACGAGACGCGACTATCGCGACATTTAATGTGAAGTAGTACATTTTAAAATTTTGAGCCGCTCTTACATTTTGACGTCATGTCCGGGACAAATGTACCGCCTCTTTTAAGTCCTACTCAACACTACACGGTGAGTACTTGTTAGTAGAACGGCGAGCTGTTCCTACAACTCTACACCTAGTGCCTATTTTGCGTGGGGATTGGCAACAGTCCTGCCACCCCAGCTCCTCCAGAAACCTCGGCATTGGCTTCTGTATTCACGGTGAGTACTTGTTAGTAGAACGGCGGGCTGTTCCTACAACTCGACACCCAGTGCCTATTTTGCGTGGGGATTGGCAACAGTCCTGCCACCCCAGCTCCTCCAGAAACCTCGGCATTGGCTTCTGTATTCACGGTGAGTACTTCTTAGTAGCACGGCGAGCTGTTCCTACAACTCGACACCCAGTGCCTATTTTGCGTGGAGATTGCAACGATATTAAATACCCTAGATACACCAACACGAACAAAATCATGCCCGAAACCTGTCCAAAAGGTACATTGGATGATCCACGGAGCTGCTTAAGATTATCGCGCAGTCTAAACAATAAAACGCATTATTTAAACATTGAAAACACCTTTAAAGCACGCTGTATAAGGTCTCAATTGAAACGCATGCGTCAAAGAGTTATGACAGTCCGATATGTAAGCTCGTAAAATTTTACGACTTATTGCTATATGCGGAAATATTGACCTTATTTCTTTGACTCTACGCGCAATTCTGAATGCGCTGTTAGAAATATAGCAGGTCAAGGGCGGATCCAGGGGGAGGGTCATGGGGGTCATGACCTCCCTGGGCTGGGTCCATCTGTACCCACTTCACAATCTGTACTTCGCAATCTGTACACACTTTGACTTGACCACGACTATATGACCCCCCCCCCCCCCCCTGGCGCCAAAGCTGGATCCGCCCTTGTAGCCGGTACGGACCACAAGGAAAGGGGACAGCTATACTACCGACCATGCATTTGAATATCAAAAATATTTTCTATTAAATCAGTTTATGGTAAGTATTATAACAAAATTTGCTTCAAATGCGTTAAATTAACAAATATTTATTAGATGCCTGTCGAAAAAACGACATTTTACATAATATAAGTATTTATTTCGCATTTTTTCATGGAGGTCAGAGGCATGTTGACTTTTCAAGGGTCCGCGCGTGACTGTGAATCAAGAAGTGCTTGAGTCGTGTTCAAGCACTTCTTGATAGGGACCCATTTAGAGAGCACGTGGTGTTTCTAGGGTATTTAATATCTTTGGGGGATTGGCATCAGTCCTGCCATCCCAGCTCCTCCAGAAAGCTCAGCAGTCCCCGGATTTTGCAGCAGGATTCTACCAGTGCGACGCGGAAGAATCCCTAAACGGGGATCCCGCGGCTTCGCACTAAGCAGCTTAGAGGGTATCCGCAGGGTATTAGCGGATAGTACGCCGTTAAGCGTGCTCGTAAATGGCGTGGGTTATTTTGGGGGTTAGCCCTGTCGTGCCCGTGACGTTTGCGGGAGCCAGGTGTGAGGTCCGTTCGGCGGTGTGCCTCTTAAGAGCCCTTTCACATTTTTCACAAAAAGAAAAAAAAAATCGTAATGTTTGAGCGAGAATTTCTTCCCTAGCTTGCCATGAGCACGTTTGACTATATAAAAATATTATTTCATTATAGCCTTTTAGCCAGGAGCTTGTTGGCGCAAGTGGTTAGCGCGTTCCAGCTGCGATCGTTGAAGTTATGCAACTTTCGCAGTGGTCGGTCATTGAATGGGTGACTGGAAATTTACTATCTCGAGCTCCTTCTTGCTTCGGAAGGCACGTTAAGCCGTTGGTCCCGGCTGCATCTGCAGTCGTTAGCACCCACCAATCCGCACTGGATCCGCGTGGTGGGTCATGGCCCAATCTCCCTATTCCATCCATAGGGAAGACCTGTGCCCCAGCAGTGGGGATATTAATAGGCTGATGATGATAAATAATTTTGCTAGTTAAAGTTAAGTATAAGGATCATAGAAAATAATAGTTTTTTTTGGTGCAAGAAACGGCAAATTGTAGCTGCTTACAATGGAAACAACATTTTGACGTTTATAAATCATTTTTTATTAAAATTATTACTAAATTAAACTAGCAAAATTATTTATCATCATCAGCCTATTAATATCCCCACTGCCGGGGCACAGGTCTTCCCTATGGATGGAATAGGGAGATTGGGCCATGACCCACCACGCGGATCCAGTGCGGATTGGTGGGTGCTAACGACTGCAGATGCAGCCGGGACCAACGGCTTAACGTGCCTTCCGAAGCAAGGAGGAGCTCGAGATAGTAAATTTCCAGTCACCCATTCAATGACCGACACAAGAAATATATCACAAGAATTTTTATTTTTTACAGAGCATGGACACACTGGAAGAGGTAGCGATGCCACAGAACGGAATATACCACATTGGCATATCGGCATTATCAGAAGCATTCAAGATGAACCCGAGACTTAGGTCTCTAAACCTGAACGACAACACCATCGGACACAAGGGCGCGGAAGCTATAGCGGCCGCGTTGCCTAGGTGAGTCGCACGTCATGCTCGGGAACGGAGGTGAAGTTTTTTTTTCGGAATATAAATATTAGTAGAAAAAGAGATCGGATAATCGGATGCATATTTGCCTGAAGTTATTTTTGGCTAATTAATTATGTAAGCTGCTTCTTAAGATATTTTAATTAAAAATCCTGACAGCATAACTAATCGGATTTAGAATTTCTTAAATTTTAATTTCCCATTCAAGTGTGATTGTATTGTGTATAGAAATAGTGGTGTGGTTAATGAGAAAACATAAATATATATATATATATTTTTCTACACAATAAGTACATCTTACATAATATTTTTCGAAATCAAAATCAATATCGTTTATTCAGTCTATCTATAAGCAACTTTCGCAGTGGTCGGTCATTGGATGGGTGACTAAAAATCTTTTATCTCCTCCGTGCTTCGGAAGGCACGTTAAGTCGTTGGTCCCGGCTGCATCTGCAGTCGTTAGCACCCACCAATCCGCACTGGGCCCGCGTGGTGGATCATTGCCCAATCAGCCTATTCCATCCGCTGGGAAGGCCTGTGCCCCAGCAGTGGAGACATTAATAAGCTGAAGTTGACATATGAAATCCCGCGATTCCGGGAAATTCAAATTTTATTTATTTTATAGTCATAATTTGGGTCATAATTAGGGCTGCCATCCGTCCGGATTTCCCCGGATTTGTTCTAGTTTACGGGGCGTCCGTGGAGCGTCCGGACGGGGTTTTATTTGTAGTCCGGGTTTAAAAATTTACGGAAAAGCATGAGTGGCCCTTGTTGCTGCAAGTGTCCATGGGCAGCAGAGACCACTTATTATGAGGTAGACCGCTAGCTCTTTTGCCTAGATCAACATTTGATTTGTGATATTTTTAACTGTTTTTTATTGGTCTTTCCGGGTTCTGGGCTCCAAAATCCGGGGTTATCACGCGTCTTATCCTGGTTACCATTTTTTAGAGATGGCAGTCCTAGTCATAATGAGTTCTCTTATATTGAAGTCATTTTTCAATTTGACGACTCTGTATATAATACAGGGAGGAAAAAACAGCCCTTGCTGAGTTTCTTGCCGGTTCTTCTCAGTGCAAGGTCTTCCGCCGTAGATTTGCGAACCGATGGCGTAGCTTTTCGACATTCACAAGTGCTTGTAACAGCCTAGAGACTGAATAAATGATATTGAATTTTAAATTAAAATTTTTGATGTTTGTTACAGCTTAAAGAATCTCAAATCCATAAACTTCGGTGATTGTTTGTTGAAGAGTAAAGGAGCCAAGACACTTGCCAAAGCTTTCCGGGACAACTCACAAATGCTGGAGGTAAGGCGCGTTCGGCTGCAATCGTTGAAGTTAAGCAACTTTCGCAGTGGTTGGTCATTGGATGGGTGACTGAAAATTTTGCTATCTAAAGTTCCTCCGTGCTTCGGAAGGCACGTTAAGCCGTTGGTCCCGGCTGCATCTGCAGTCGTTAGCACCCACCAATCCGCACTGGGCCCGCGTGGTGGGTCATGGCCCAATCTCCCTATTCCATCCATAGGGAAGGCCTGTGCCCCAGCAGTGGGGACATTAATAGACTGATGATGATGAAGGTTCGTTCTAGTGTTGCAGGACTATATATCAACAGAATAAAAATATAGCTATTAACGGGATTGTTACCATGTACCTTGTTTTTTATGAGTCTCCGATATTTCGGCACTGTTGCAAGCGCCATGATCACGGAGTAATCAGTTCATCAGATCAGTTACTCCGTGATCATGGCGCTTGCAACAGTGCCGAAATATCGGAGACTCATAAAAAACAAGGTACATGGTAACAATCCCGTTAATAGCTATAATGGTAGTGACCATGCAAGTTTAAAACTATATAGAATAAAAACGGTTCCCAATCAACCAAGTTTTAAGTTTCCTCTTTGTACGAGCTCATGTCTCTGATACACTTGACGAAAATATTTGTCGGATGGGCGAGCGGGATATAGGCGGTTTTTCTTGATCCGCCATCTTGGTTATTCAATGATATTTCACGAAAATAAAACTGTAGTCTAGTGACCAAGCTAACGTTTAATTTGAATCTTCTTATTACTTTACAAAATCAGTTATGATTGCCAAGGTACAAACGGATTGCTTTGTGAAGCGCGGAGAGTTCTGTGCTAACGTCCGTTCACTATCGCGGCTCACGTCTGAATGCTGAATGCCCCTTCCAATGAAGCATAGCCCCTTAAATACAACCCTTAGCATAGACCACTCCCAAGTGATGACAGCTGTCACTGTCATTACTTGACGTTTCACAAAGCAATGGTACAATGACTGATGACATTTGTGGTCGGTTTTGCGTGTCGTAAGAGCGAGCGAGACGCCATTCGCCGACATATTTATTATTAAACTTGAAAGTAACTTTGTGCACACTGCTTGAGACAAATGCCAACTAAATTGGGTGTGATTATGAAATATATTTAAAGAGAAAAATATTGACCTAAATAATTTCTTGCGGATAAAAATTCTTTGCTATCAAAGTGTGCGATTTGATCGTTCACTTTTGAAAAGGTAAAATCTTGAGATCATCCGGCAAACTGTTATATAATACTTAAAGTCATACAATCAACAATATTAAATACCCTAGATACACCAACACGAACAAAATCGTGGCCGAAACCTGTCCAAAAGGTACATTGAACGATCCACGGAGCTCTGTAATTATGTAATGAAAAGTGATTCATGAATCACCTCTGAAGTCATTTTTCAATTTGACGACTCCGTAAATAATAAAACAGGGAGAAAAAAACAGCCCTTGCTGAGTTTCTTGCCGGTTCTTCTCAGTACAAGGTCTCCCGCCGTAGATTTACGAACCGATGGCGTAGCTTCTAGACATTCATGAGTGCTTGTAACAGCCTGAACTGAATAAATGATTTTGATTGATTGATTGATTGATTGTAAGATGATCACGTAGTCAAAACAATATAAGGCATTATCGAATATTGAAAGTCACCTTTAATGTTGTAGTGTTGACGATCTCCATGGCCGAGTGGTTTGTACGCCGGGTTTCATGGTGTCGCCGACTCGAGAGGTCCCGGGTTCGAATCCCAGTGGGGGCAGATATTTGTGTGATCAATACGAGCATTTGTACTCCAGTCATGAATGTTTAATATGTATTTCTATATAAATATACTTATATATGTACAGTATATGTTACGTTACCCTAGTATCCCATAACATATCTCTTATCTATTAGACAAGTCCGTCCGTCCGTCCGTCTGTCTGTGGTGCTGTTTCAGCGGCCAAACCGTAAGAGATAGATAAAGAGAATGTTTAAGTTATAAGTTAAGAATAGTCTGATAAGACTACAAACCGGATTTGAGTAACGTAGCACTTCCGGTTTTCGAGAAATCACGAATTTCAAACGAAACCACACAAAATCTCCGAAGTTCTCAATTAATTAAATACATTTTTTTTTTAAATCAGGTTTTGGTGAACATTTGGTTCACAGGTTTGCTAGTAATGTCTTAATGTATAAGGTCTTAATTAAAACACATGCTTCAAAGAGTTATTTATGACAGTTCGAAATGCAAGTTCGTAAAATACGACTTATTGCTACATGCGGAAGAATATAGACCCTATTTCTTTGCCTCTACGCGCAATTCTGAATGCGTTGTTAGCAATATAGCAGGTACGGACCGCGAGGAAAACAGACGGCTATATTACCTAAGGCTAGAGCAAATTCGGCACGGCCGTTAGGGCCGCGGTAGCTTAATGGTCAGTGCGTTCGGCCGAATAGCGGATGGTGCGGGTTCGAGTCCCGTCTGCTGCCTGGTCCGCGTGGTTTTTTGAAGTTATACTTCTTTAGGCGCGTTATGAAAAAATGATGAGAGTGAAATTTTTAGATGCGCGCGCATCACTGTAACCCAAAAGTAACAGCATGAAGTTGGCCGCGGGCGCGTTATGAAAAAATCATGTGAGTGAAATTTCGAGATGCGCGCGCATCACTGTAACACAATAGTAACACCATGAAGTTGGCCGCGGGCGCGTTATGAATGTTAGTGTCTAATAATGGTGGATTATTAACCACTTAGTGGTTAATAATCCACCATTATTAGACATCTGTTCGAAAGGTACTTTGAACGATCCACGGAGTTCCATAAGATGATAGCGTTGTCAAAAACAATGTTGGCACGCTCGTCGCTTCTGATCACTGTTTTAATATTTATCCACATGTTTCTAGTTTCTATATAGACACAACGTGTTTTAGTTACTTACAAGTGTTAATTACATATGGACTAGTAACTTAAATTCAGTAGTGATTTTAATTGAATATTTTGAATATTTATTTAATTTTTCAAATTAAAACTGAACTTAATTGACTGTGTTAACTATCCTTTTCCAGTCCTTTTATTATTTTATTGTAATTATTAATTATTTGCATGCAATTAAAAAATATTTTTAATGATGCTAAAGAAGTATAACTTCTCACGCGCGTACATAAGTTACACGCATCCATTTTTTTTTCTAGTAAAAATTTATTTATATAATAATTACTTACTAATCTCACTTTCTGGATATTTGCGGTAATCAATCTTTGTAGGTGAAGACGCTCCGCAATTCTGCGAACGGTTTTTTTAATGTAAAGGGCCACGGATTGTTAAATTGTCTCGTAAATATTACCGATCGTACAGTGGCTTTCTCGGCCCGGTTTATAATGCACAGTGTAATTGAGTCGTATAGTAACAAAGGCGGCAAAGTTGGGCGAACCAAATATTTGGCAAATCAAAAAAAAACTGTTTAGTCTCGTCTTTCTTAGTGTTCGCTTTTACATTAAAGTTCCAAGCAATATTCAAGAGTTAAGCATGACTAAATTTAAATCGACCATTAAAAAATCACTAGTTAAGAAAGCATATTATAAAGTGTCTGATTATATTACAGACAAAAATGCTTGGGTATAAACTGTTCCAACCATTCCAACGGGTATTTCTATATGATTTAAATTATGAATTATGTGTTGTCAATACTATAATTAAACTGAAAGCTGTATATAAAGTTCATAACTTAAGGAAGATTATCAGACTGTTTAAGAATATTTGATTGACAAAACGGCGTGGTCGTGATTTCTCCTTTGCTTTGGTTTTGTAATTGTTTGTTGTGTCTTACAGGTAAATGACCTTAATTTAAGTAAATATGTTGTAGTTAGTATGGGTAGTTATGGGTAGTCATGCTCTCATAATAGTCTCTTCGGCAGTGTCGTGTGAGGCGGGTCGTTACGTTCCCTACGACTCTAATGACGACTCTGTAAATAATAAAACAGGGAGAAAAAAACAGCCCTTGCTGAGTTTCTTGCCGGTTCTTCTCAGTACAAGGTCTCCCGCCGTAGATTTACGAACCGATGGCGTAGTTTTAGACATTCATATGTGCTTGTAACAGCCTAAACTGAATAAATGATTTTGATTATGATTATGATTATGATTTAAGGGAGGATTTTTATAATTGACATTCATCGTAACTACAAATCGTAGTGAAATGTCAATATTTTATCCTCCCTTAAAGACGAGACTCAACAGTTTTTTTTGATTTGCCAAATATTTGGTTCGCCCTACTTTGCCGGCTTTGATACTATACGACTCAATTTTATGATGCCGTGCCACCGTGTCCGATGACGTGGTTTTTATTACGTGTCGTCTTGTCTCCCCTTTTGTTCTTTATTTATTCCATAGACAACATTTCTTAGGTTAAGGTTTTGTCTTTTTTTTCTCTCATTTTGGTGTATCCAAATTTTTGTAGGCAAAGAGCCGAGCCCACACAGCCTCTTGTGTTATTTTTTTGTTTTGTGCTGCACTGCTATGGGCGAGGGATTCGAGGTCCAGATTGCTTTTGTTTTTGTTTTGTGTATTAAGTGATTGTCTTGTATTTCCGTCAGTTGGTATCCAAATTAGGTCCCTCCAGAATATCAGCGTTGCAGCGGCAATCCATTTTTGCCGTTGCAACATTATGCTGAGGTGGGGCCTAGTTCACGATGGGCCTTTTGTTTTATGTTTGTTGTGTATTTATTGTAATTGTTAATGTATATCGTCAATAAATGTTTTTCTTTCTTTCTAATCTAAGTTTAAGTCCGCGCGGACCAGGCAGCGGACGGGACTCGAACCCGCATCCTTCGCTATCCGGGCGAATGCACTGACCATTATGCTACCACGGCCCTATTAGCCGCGTCGAAATTTTCCTTGCCTTAAGCTGTTCTTTCAAATGTTTAATACTTGAAAAAGTATTCATTTGACATTGTGGGTTACCTACAATGCGAAGAGATGGCGCTGCCTTGCAGCTTAAGGCTAGGAAAATTTCGACGCGGCTAATAGGGCCGTGGTAGCATAATGGTCAGTGCATTCGCCCGGATAGCGAAGGGTGCGGGATCGAGTCCCGTCCGCTGCCTGGTCCGCGTGGATTTTTTTCTAGTAAACTTTTCTTTAGATTTAAGTTAAATGCTTAAAAAATAAATAAAATCATAACTAAGTTTAAGTGTTTGTCCGCAGTGCCTAGATTTGAGTCACAATGAGATAGGCCGGGAGGCTTGTATGGAATTAGTGGATTCCATCACCTGCCTGCCCGACAGCAGCGACCGACTCGCCAGGGTGATTCTAGCGGGTAAGGAGATACAATGTTTGTTATATTTTATTTTAAACATTAAAATGCAATATGTTTAAATCTAAAAAAAAAGTAATAATAATAAATATAATAGGCATAGTAAATGAAATTCTATTTAGTCCGTCAGTTAGATGATCAAAAAATAATGGACACGTATTTTTGCTTTGGGCAATCAACCAAAAAATGATAAAGTTATAGCGCGTCAAAGTTTGGGAGTAGGGGTTCGTGACGTCAATTTGAAGTGAAAATTGTACCAAAACATGACGTCATGCGACTTTACAAATCAATATATCTCTGCAATGTTTATATTACGGTAATAAAAGAAAAAATACGTGTCCAATACTTTTTGATAATCTACCTGATAAACGAAGAAAAAGAAATTAGTCATCATCCCTATTATTTATTTCCAAATTTCACAACAATTTTACAGAGTTCTAGCCCTCACACTAGGCTTAGCCTGCCCTGGGGGGTGAATGATTTTGATATACATTAAATAAATGGGACTAAATAGGAAAGCAGAGTTGATTTACAGAATACATTTATAGAAATACATTCTGTGTGTGTGTGTGTGTGTGTATGTGCGCCTGTGTGGTGTTTCACGTATTAAATAATAAGAGTAAGAAAATAATCCTCATTGTACCCTTCTATATAAAATACGTATTTTTTTCCGTTTCACAATTCACGGTTTTGGCAGGCGATTTTTTTTAAGTTGACACCATCACTTATGCAAAAACAATTTTTTTTTCAGGATGAGCATTTAAAACTTTAACATCCCGAAACATACAATATTTAAAGATTTTTACGTGATGAAAAGTTTATACTGCAAAGCTATTCATCTAAAAAAATAAAAATAAAACTTTAAATATTGTATGTTTTTGGATGTTAAAGTTTTAAACGCTTCTCCTGAAAAATGTTTTTTTTGCATCAGTGACAGCACCTCCGGTGCGACATATATATAAACATATATCTATACATCTAAGTCAAAACTGTACATTGAATATTTTTTTAAAAGAATACTTGGGGAGTGATCTACAATCAATACCGAAGCCAAGAATATAGTTTTCCAATTTTTGTCTGTTTCTCTGTATGTATGTCCGGGATAAACTCAAAAAGTACTGCATGGATTTACTTAAAATTTGTCACGAATATTATTAAGAAGTCGGGTCAACATATAGGGACCTAGGGATGTCGAAAGTTGAAAAAAATAACGATATATCGATACATCGGTCTTTTAAAAAATATCAATATCGGCTTCGATATATCGCGAAAAAAAACATCGATATATCGGACCAATTTTCCCAAAAATATCATACTAAATATCGTAATAGCTCACAAAATATGACACGCGGAATAATAATGGAACGAAAATTATCTCCCTAAAAATAGACCCTATTTTCGAATGATGGCATAGACAATACTAAATACAGCACAGATCATAGACATGTTGAATATCATTAATCTGAGATCCAGTTACGATTTTTCCAGATTCGAATTTAGTTAGATCGTGATATGCCGCTAATTATTAAAAAAATATCGTTTTTGATACAAATTTCGATATTGGTTATTTTGTATCGATATATCGAATCAAAATATATCGGCAAAAAATATCGATATATCGGACAAAAAATATCGATATATCGATACATCGATATATTTTCAACAAGCCTACTATCACCTACGGGGAACGAGCGGTGAACCTTTATTTCTAACTAACTCCACGCGTACGAAGTCGCGGGCGGCCGCTAGTTGTTAAATATACTTTCCCACCGTGTGACAAATCCGTGGGACACCCTGTATATAAATCTTGGTTACTCTATTGATGTATTTATTGTTTGCAGGCAACAGTTTGGGCGGCGCTTCAAACAAGAAAAGTATGAAGGAGAAATTGGGAACATGCGCCGAACTGTCGGACGGGGAAGGGAGCGATGACGAATGTGAGTCATGGCATCTTTATCACGTCTATTAATGACCCACTGCTGGGGCACAGGCCTTCCCTATGTATGGGACAGGGAGCTACGAGACGTGGCCGGGAATGACGACTTAACGTGAAATATTGATGATAAATTAGTATTTTTCAACCGTTTTAATAAACTTATTAAAAAAAGTAACACATTTATATTCGATAAATATTAATAACCATATCAAATAAAAATATTCATTCAATTCATGTTGATATTAACGAACAATCAATAGCCAATAGGGTACTTGACAGTGTTAATAATAAAGAGCCAATTGTTAGCATCTGTGTTAAGAATGAATATTGGCAGGGGTTTTTACTATTTTTACAAAAAAAAATATATTCTAATATTTACTAAAAACCCACAAAAAAAAGATAATAGTTTTCTTATTTATTGTCACGTGACCCAAAACGCTAGGGATTGGCGGAGCCTAAAATGGCGTCACACGCAAGTAAACTTCCGGTTAAAGTGACATTACATTGTATCGCTTCACGTTTTAATAACAGTCGTGTGACGTCACACACTAGTAAGACGCCATATTGTCCAGAGAAACGTTTTCGCGGCAACTTGAAAATGGAGTTTTTGATTTGGTTATTTTCACTGAAATACACAACAGAATGATGAATATCCACTTTTTACGGACTCCATACTCCATCGATTTCTAAACCTTGTCAAATACCCTATTGCGCACACGCAACTTCCGACACTTTTTGAGCGCGATTGTGAGTTTAATTGTTTTTGTATGTCAATGATTAAAATCTAAAATTGTGATGATTATTTATTTATTCGCTATGTGCACGACAGTAGCGCTACCTACAATGCGCAACTTTCCGGGATTATGCCAAATAATGACATCAGTTTGTATTTTATTGATTTCTAGTAAATATAGTAAGGTAAAGATAAATAAAAATTATTATATATTGTATAATAATTTAAATAATGTCGGATTTCAATTCGGAATTCAGTACAGTCAATAATAACTCTTGTATTGATGTAATCTGGACTGAAACACTTGGGCATTGGTGCTTGTACGGTGGCTCTATTCGGCCAAAAGATTAAATTAGCAGTTGAACAAGCTAGATTTTGTAAGATCGAATGAAATATACGTGAGATTGTGGTTTTTTTGTACACCAAATAACACACTCAATGCTGAAAATGTCAAGCCAGTTTTCATTTTTATCAAAAAAATCAGAAGTCGGTCTTTAGTGGAAACTGTACATTTTCTCATAGTTAATCTTGTTAATAAAAACTCAAAATTGCTAAATGACACACCAGAAGGATCTAGGAGTTCTTGATCATTTGTTATTGATGAAATACCAACAAATTCTTGACTTTTTGTTTCGGTAGATTGATCCTCATACGATTTTTTGTCAGTGCCACAGCTTTTATCTTTCTTTCTTGAATTATTTGTCATTAAAATTCTTGATGTTGGATCACAGTGATCACTGTAAATTAATCTAATACAAATAAAAGTTGTATCTCTTAATTTCGATTCAGAAAACATATTGACTTGACATCCTTGATCGATCATAAAAGGTTGAGTTTGATTTAATTCACTCCCTTCTTCAATTATTATTTGACTTGATGTGGTATCTGAGACTTTTGTGGTTCTTCGTTTTGTCAAGCGTGTATATCTAGCTAGGACCTGTGAATCATTAACCTTCCTCTTTCGATATATTTCAGGGAATATCGTAGGAGCATAACTCGGATTTTCTTCCTCGTCTGATTTTTTATTTCCCATAAAATGTTCACTACAAATTGTGTCGTCAGGTTTGGGATACCATGGCGACCCATCGACACTAAAATAATAAAGACAATAATGAATATCACATAAAATATATAGCGCAAATAAAATTGATCATAATTTAAGGTTATTTCGCTTACTTATTTCTTTTTATGGCATCTATCCATTTATTTCTTTGATTTAATTTCCAGTCCAATGTAGGAAATATATACACAGACTATTTGTGCCCTTATTTTTGCAATTCACAACACAACAACATCTATTAATAGGCATTTTAAAAAAATTTTGTTTATTACGAACTCCGTGCAAATTGACTAGTGATAGTGAGTTTAGGCCATGACCCACCTCGCGGGCCCAGTGCGGATTGGTGGGTGCTAACGACTGCAGATGCAGCCGGGACCAACGGCTTAACGTGCCTTCCGAAGCACGGAGCAGTAAGAGATAGTAAATGTTTGGTCACCCATCCAATGACCGACCACTGCGAAAGTTGCTTCACTTCAACGATCGCAGCCGAGCGCTAACCACCCGAGCCATCGAGCTCCCATTATCCTCCTATTAATTATCTTATCTATTTAATACATGGTATATATTTATTTATTAAAACAATAGACACTTATAATTTTAATTATTTACAATATTGTTATTTTTTCAAATGTTTTAAAAATATATAAACTGTCTTCCATCACAGACGCCACCGACTCCGACGAAGAAGGTGAAGGTGACGACAGCGATGATGACGACGATAACTCGGACGACGAGTCTGGCAGTGAGCAGAATCACACGCGAGTCGATACAGCCGCTGTCATTGGGAACAATATCACGCTTGACACATCAGGTAATGTAACGATAAATATTGGTCATTAAAAATATTTCGTCGTATTATAACTTTAGGTTTTTTATAATCCCACAGGTGCCTCACAATTTTCCGGGATAAAAAGCATCCCTTGTCTCAATTCAGGTTATAAACTATGCGTACAAAGTTTTATCCAAATGAGTTCAATAGTTTTTGCGTGATCGATTAAGCACTTACCTGCTACATTTTTAAATCTAAAGAAAATATTACTAGAAAAGCACTAGAGAAAATTCTTGACGGCCATCAGGGCCGCGGTAGCATAATGGTCAGTGCATTCGCCCGGATAGCGGAGCGTGCGGGTTCGTATCCCGGACATACATACAGACAAACAGACGAAAATTCTAAAAACTATATTTTTAGCTTCGGTATCGATTGTAGATCACATCCCAAGTATTCCTTTAAAAAAATATTCAATGTACAGTTTTGACTTTTCTACCATTTTATTATATGTATATAGATATTTTGATTGTCGCATTGTCAGGTGTGGAGGAAATAGACACAGATGTGGGTAGATTCCTGCGGGAACCCACTGTGGAAAATCTGCAGAAGCTGGGCAGTAATGCGGCTCAAGTTATAGATGCACATTTACAGGTAAACAAAACCTATATTACACTACATAAATAACTATTCTTCTTCTTATGACTTCTTTTATTTATGTTTTTATTTATTTTTTAAGCGTTTAACTGCTAGATGTTTAAATCTAAAGAAAAGTTTACTAGAAAAAAATCCACGCGGACCAGGCATTGTGGGTTACCTACAATGCGAAGAGATGGCGCTGCCTTGCAGCTTAAGGCTAGGAAAATTTCGACGCGGAGAATAGGGCCGTGGTAGCATAATGGTTAGTGCATTCGCCCGGATTGCGAAAGGTGCGGGTTCGAGTCCCGTCCTCTGCCTGGTCCGCGGGGATTTTTTTTCTAGTAAACTTTTCTTTTATTTATTTATTCTTTATTACCAAAAACAGTAAATGGCGGACTTAATGCCATAGGCATTCTCTACCAGTCAACCAGTATGCGTGTATGAGACGGATGTTTTGGCGATAGAGTGCGAGCTACTAAAGTTAGAGAAAAAAATAATAATAATATTATCCTACAGAACTATACTATACTATAAACGATAAATATATATTATATATAAATAAACTATCTCTATATATATAAATATAAATACACATATATATATATATAAATTAATAAATATACATATATAATAGGGATGATGACTAATTTTTTTTTCTTCGTTTATCAGGTAGATTATCAAAAAGTATTGGACACGTATTTTTTCTTTTTTCACATAATATAAACATTGCAGAGATATATTGATTTGAAAAGTCGCATGACGTCACGTTTGAGTACACTTATAAGTGAAAATTCACTCAAAAGTGACGTCACGAGCCCCTACTCCCAAACTTTGACGCGCTATAACTTTGTCATTTTTTGGTTGATTGCCCAAAGAAAAAATACGTGTCTATTATTTTTTGATCATCTAACTGACGGACTAAATAGAATTTCGTTTACTGTACCCCGTCATCACCCCTATTATATACATACACTTAATTAGTTAGAAATAACTATATAAGATGGTATAGATGACTGCAGACTAGAGAAATATTAGGCGGTCAGATAGTGTGCATGCACTAGTTTTTTTTTTTGAACTCCAACTTACTCCGAGCACGCTGTTTCCTTATTCCTTTTCTGTGTACGCTGCTCGGCTGTGGAATAGGCTAGTTGACTCATGTCGAATCGTATTAAATTAATGTTTATTTCTTAAAGTATTTGGTCTAAGGAACCTAAATATATCGATTTCACTTCATTAAAGCAGAAGATTGCTGTAGAAAGGAGACCCGGCACTTTTCATAGAAAAAATGCTAAACTTGTATACAGTTGAATTTGATCTCAAAATAAAGCCAAAATTATTTGCTACATAAAACTACTTTTGCCTTATTTTTAGTGAATCGTGTAAAGAAGTTATATAATGATTAATATATTTTGATATGGAAACCCTAAATCTTCAAGGGACAGAATTTTACTTCAAAATATTACTCAAGTGACTGTAAAAACCATGATTCCTTTGCTTTTTCTAAATAAAAAACCAAATTTCAATTTGACAATCCTAAAATGCAAACAAAAAAATTATTCGCATTTCGCATCCGCTCCCGCGAACTGTGATTGTGAATGTTTTCTGAATTTCTCTTGACGACCCGGCTACATATAGAGGTTATATTGACAAACCTACGTATTTGACATTGAGAGCTAGCTGCTGATCACAAATATTGCCAGACTACGTTACTCAATTATGAAACACAGATAAAAAAATTAAAAAAGTATACAACTTTGGCACAAAATGCCGGCACAAATGTCCTTTAATTTTAAAAAATATTTTTTAGTATATACTTTTTAAACACTAAAAACGCTGTTCGCCACATCCGCCATGATTGTGACGTCTCTTTGGTAGTAAATGTCATTCATACATAACCTTAAAACTTGTATTATTTAAACTGATAATAAATGAAGAGACTTCAAATATTATTCAATGAGAGCTTACATCAAAGTGATCTTCGCAAAAATAAATTTTGCTATGAGTCGATAAAGTTGCAGGATCACTTTTAGCAAGTTCTAACCAGGTACTGCGTAGGTTAATTTCTTTCGGCACTTTAATCCACAACTTTCCTGGAGTCTTCAAGGATATCTTTTTAAATTCTCGTACAATACAATAATGATAATTACTATATTTTTCGTGGTATTTATTAGAAATCATGTTTTTTTATTATAAACTCAGATAGGTTATTTTCTAAGTGCTTACGAGTTTTTGTTTACTACCGGTTAACGTCATAGCGTAGATAATCTATAGACTAAAATAGCCGACAGCGTTTTTTATGTCCATGAAAAGTCTATTTTAAATTTAAAGATTTGTAGCTTTCTAGGTCTCAAAAAAATACAATACATTTTTTTTCGGTCTAATAGAACATTTATTAACCATTTAAAATCTTTTTCCAAAAAGGGTCAACTAGCCTATTCTCTTCCTGAAGGAATCAGAAAGGCTTGTTCACTTAATTCCTTTAGCGATTAAGTTAAAAGCTCATTTAGCGTCCTCATCTTTGCTTCTCTTGAATATTTATGTAAGGATATCTCCTGTATTAACTTTTGCACTCTTCTATATTTATCTATATTATTATTCCTCTTCCACCATAGGTTGCCTGGAAGAGATTGCTGTTTAGCAATAAGGCCGCCTATTATACTGTTTCTTCTATTTTATTTGTTTATGTCTTGTGTCCTTTGTTGTGTGCAATAAAGAATATTTATTATTATTATTGTGAAATAACACTATTTGTATATATACTGTATGACACAGCAATCGAAACGCAGGTGAACAATTGATGCATAATTTCACATTATATAATGAAAAGGTATCATTTCTGAAGTTTTCAACTTGAAGACTCGGTATATAATAAAACAGGGAGAAAAAAACAGTCCTTGCTGAGTTTCTTGCCGGTTCTTCTCAGTACAAGGTCTCCCGCCGTAGATTTATGAACCGATGGCGTAGCTTCTAGACATTCATGAGTGCTTGTAACAGCCTAAACTGAATAAATGATTTTGATTATGATTATGAATGATGACCTGGTCATTTATTTGGCATTAAATGTGTTAAGATTGTATTTCATGCATGTTAATTATTCTATTGTCTAAAAGCTTTCTTTCAATAATTCACGGACCGATTCGATTACAGTGTATAAAGAACCCAGAAGAACTCATCACAGCGTACGTAGAGGCGACATTCTGTGTGTCAGGCCTGTCGGAGAACAGCGAGCTGGCAACATTAGTGTCTGGGCGTTTATATCCCATCCTGATGGCGAGGGCGGGGGAACAACACGCCGCCTCGTGGCTACTGACCAACACTATGCTGAGGGGGTTGGGATTAATAAAGGTGAGGATAAAGCTTTAAATCATCATCATCAGCCTATTAATGTCCCCACTGCTGGGGCACAGGCCTTCCCTATGGATGGAATAGGGAGATTGGGCCATGACCCACCACGCGGGCCCAGTGCGGATTGGCGGGTGCTAACTACTGCAAATACAGCCGGGACCAACGGCTTAACGTGCCTTCCGAAGCACGGAGGAGCTCGAGATAGTAATTTTTGGTCACCCATCCAATGACCGACCACTGCGAAAGTTGCTTAACTTCAACGATCGCAGCCGAACGCGCTAACCACTTGCGCCATCGAGCTCCTTAAATAAATAATTTATATTATAAAAGAAATTAGGTATTTTCAAAGAAATAATTGAAGACATGAGATGAAGGTCATATTATCATCAGCCTATTAATGTCCCCACTGCTGAGGCACAGGCCTTTCCTTTGGATGGAATAGATTAGATTTCTATTAAATATAAATATGTATAAATATTTCCAACACTCACAACAATTAGCCTAGCCAAAGTAGGCACTGTATGTAAGGCTTGTGTTATGAGATACTAGGGTAACGGATAGGACACATGTACTGATACATATATAAGTATATTTTTTTTATAGAAATACATATTAAACATCCATGACTGTACTACAAATGCTCGTATTCATCACACAAACATCTAACCCCAACGGGATTCGAACCCGGGACCTCTCGAGTCGGCGACACCATGAAACCCGGCGTACAAATTTAAGAGTGGACCACCCTTAACATTTAAGGGGATGAAAAATAGATGTTATCCGATTCTCAGACCTACTGAATATGCATATAAAAAAATTCACGAAAATCGGTCGAGCCGTTTCGGAGTAGTTCAATACGCACAGAATTTTATATATTAGATAACATTGTTAAAAAAAATATATAGTTTTATGTAAAAAAACTTGTTTGCTGTGTAAATATTGCAAACATAATGTGTGAACGTATTTATTGAAATTGGATTATACTTTCAATTAAAAAAAATGATTTTTTTAATTATACGTAAAAATATCGATATTCTGGCTGCGCAAAATAATGGTCATATTTAATGTTATCTTTCTTTTCCTCCGATATAGTTATAGCCGTTTAAAAAAATGGATCTATCATTTTCGGTAAAATAGGTCACGGATGAAGATGCTATGTGAACATATATAACACTTTCTTCCATTACACGATTCTGTGTTTTATCATTGAAGTCGAGTGTTATGTTAACACAATCTTCCATTAATAAGTTAATTGTTGTGCGTACATAGACCCTTCATCCATTATTTTTTCAATGTTTACGCTTATAAGTATGAAATCTGAAGATGCCATCAATTTTAAGTCGATATAGCACATTGATTCATGTCGAAAAATCGATATTTTAAATTGACGACCGTGGCCGAGTGGTTTGTACGCCGGGTTTCATGGTGTCGCTGACTCGAGAGGTCCCGGGTTCAAATTCCGGTGGGTAATACGAGCATTTGTACTCCAGTCATGGATGTTTAATATGTATTTTCTATATAAATATATTTATATATGTACAGTATATGTATTCTATCCGTTACCCTAGTATCCCATAACACAAGCCTTATAGTGCTTACTTTGGGGCTAGGCTAATTGGTGTGAGTGTTATAAATATTTATTATTTAATACAACTCCTTCATCCACTCATGTTTTCAATTATCTTAAAACGTTATAAGGAAGGTAGCGACAAACTTTGAGTTAAACCACAGACAAAGAAACTTACGCAGTAGACGTTTTTGTATGTAAAATTGCTACTGCGCAGACTGCCTTGTCTATGGTCGTTGTTCAGAAAGTTTCCCGTGGTCCATACAGACAGTCACACACATAAAGTTATCACAAACTGTTAAATTTTCTCAATAGATTAAGTAACTTACATCAAGAAAGATTAAGCTCAAAGTCTGTTGGAGAAATTTGACAGTTTTGGGTAACTTGACCTTTGGCTGTTACAGTCTTACGGTCGCACCCAGATAAATGAATTAAGTTTTAAGTGCGATTAAAGTAAACTAGCAAACCAGTGAACCAAATGTTCACCAAAAAAAAAACAAAAAAAAATGTATTTAATTAATTGAGAACTTCGGAGATTTTGTGTGGTTTCGTTTGAAATAGAAATCACGAAAATCGAAAACCGGAAGTGCTACGTTACTCACATCCGGTTTGTAGTCTTATCAGACTATTCTTAACTTATAGCATAAACTTTCTCTATATCTATCTCTTACGGTTTGGCCGCTGAAACAGCACCACGGACGGACGGACGGACTTGTCTAATAGATAAGAGATGCTGGATTTTTACTTTTTTCTATTTTAAACTGTACCCTTAGCACGAATCCATATCGAATGCGAATAGTTAGCGAGTGCGAAATGTCATTTTCAAATGTGTACAGCTTTTTAGTTCTCGTTACGTCCGATATGGCGCTGCGTTTCTAGTTTCCATACAAAATTTGCATTCAACAATGACATTTCGGACTCGCAAACTATTCGAATTCGATATTGGTTCGTGCTAAGGGTACTGATTACAAAGGACATGGCTAAGAAGCTGCCCTTAACGTGTATAAATATTTCGCACTAGCCCGGAACTTTACAAAAAGAAATCTTAATTATTACGTGTTTATTATTCTCATAAAACTTTCGTGAAATAATCAAATATTTGAAGGTATAAAAATTGACTTCATGTCTGTTACAAAAGCAAAATATTACGTTTTACATAATAAATGAACAATAAATGTAAAAAAAGAAGTAATGACATAGTAATTCTCATAATTTTCAAGTTACTAAGTACAGTATTTATACATTGCCAGGGCAGTCGCTCATACAAAACTTTACCATGTCCTTTATTGAAAACCTTTTTTTAGTTGTTATGAGATTGTTTAATGATATTAAGCATTTGCTGTTGTTGCAGAGTGAAAACAAGGACTATAAGATACGCTGGTCCTTACCATCCTGCTTCTCCACACTAGGGACAGTGATCACAGCCCCATACTTCCCACAAGCTGTGCGGGACACACTAAAGTTCTTTATTGCCGCAAAACTGGGACACATGCCGCCTGAAACCGCCAGAATAGTGAGGGACAACGCCGCGCTACTCACATAATAAAATGTATACAGAATCATCTCGAGTTTTTATTTATGAAGACAAAAAAAGTAAATCTAAAGAAAATATAACTAGAAAAAATTCCACGCGGACCAGTTTTCTAGTTATATTTTCTTTAGATTTAAACATCAAGCAGTTACATGCTTTAAAAATAATAAAAATTATAAAAAAAGTAAATTTAAAAAATCTAAAAAACCTGACGTCTTTTTAGTATTATAGTAATATAAGTTTTTACGGGATTGTTACCATGTACAATCTACATACTATGTACCTAAATGGTAATAATCCCGTAAATAACTTATATTACTATAATGTTAGTGACCATGAAAGTTTAAAACAATATATTGCATTTTAGTACTGAAAATTAAAACTGAAAAGAATAAAAACAAGTCCAGTAGTCTATAATTCTGTTAAGTAAGGGACAAAGCTACTTTAACAGTCAGGACCCATTAGAATATATATAAGAATGGATCAAATTTTTCAATAATGGGTCCCGACTGTTAAAGTAGCTTTGTCCCTTACTTAACAGAATTATAGACTACTGGACTTTGTTTTTTTTTCTTTTCAGTTTTTGTTTGCAGTAATAAAAAGCAGTCGAGTTTATTGATTTTTTACTCAACATATTTCGTCAACTTATTTTTTTTACTTTGTCACAATATGGCGCCTAATTGTTCCCATACTGAATTTTGATTACTATCATATCTTTAGTAGCACTCCCATCATTAAGACGAATCGGTTGATGTATGAATCATCGAAATCGGTCCACGCGTTTGGTCTCTAGTGTGCCACAAAGGAACATACATACATATATAGACTGTTAAACACTATACCTTGTCTGTGGGTCACGCTCTTGCATTGCGCAGTCGGGTAATAATAATAAATGGACAGTATTCACAGGCCCATACTACCCCTAAGTATTGCGGGACATTTTGAGGTTTTTTATCGCCGTTAAACTGAGACAAAGGCTGTATGAAACAGCTAGAACTGTGCAGGACAACACCGCATTATTCACATATACAGAACCCACACAAAATATATACCATAACCGCATAAAATATATACAGAATCTATTGGAGTTTTTATTTATATAGCCAATATAATTCTGTTGGTGCCATCTATCGTGAAAAACTGTAATCCTTTAGCGCCCTCGATTGAAGAAAAGTTTAAATACAACTTCGCTAACGCCATCTATTGTGGAAAAGACTTGAGTGCAACTCTGTTAGCACCATCTACCGAGGAAAAAGGTACATGCGGTCTTTGAGCGCCATTCTTTGAAGTAAGCACAACTTCGCTAGCGTCATTTGAGGAAAAGTAAATTGGCTTAAAGGGTAAGTCATGGAGCGTGGTGTTCAATGGGGGTAAGTCCGTTAGCGCAGTCTAATGCTGGGTAAAAAGATAACATTATTTTAACCGATCGTCTTTAATCAAATTGTTAAAAACAACAATAAAACTAAATATATTTTTTAACTATAACATCTGATTTGCAAAATTTTTATACATTAGGACAAAATTTCGATTTTGCTACGTTAAAATAGGAAACGTGTCTCAATGGCGTTTCAATATTATCGCTTTTAAGACAGTTACTGTTATTAAAACAAAAATATACATATGTATAAGAAATTACTATACGTATTATTGCAGTTAATTACACCGCCGTCTTTCCAGCTTCTTCCTAGTCCTCTCCGTCCCAAGGTTGTCTGGAAGAGATCGCTCTTAACGATAAAACCGCCCATTTTTACATTGTAAGCAGCCATTATGTATAATAATGTTTATATTATTTGTGGTGTAAAATAAAGAGTTTTATTATTATTATTACTTGGCAAATTCATTTGTAATTTTTGTTTTTAGTAACAATAGCTGTGTTATAATAAAAATTACTATTATGATTATACTAAAACACCATTTGACACACGATTATTACCTACTTAAACAGAATCGACCTCGGTCAAATTAAGAAAAAAAAGCTTGTTATAATAATGAAAAGAAATTACTCTCAAAGACAATATCGATAAATGTTTATATTTTCATTTCAGTTGTACACAGAATAATTATAAATAGTAAATAAAAAAACTGGAATCTGTAAACAAAAATGTTTTCATTACGTAAGATCAACATTAAACTTCGTTTAAAAATTGGCTTGGTGTTTATTCAGTCAAATAGCAGTATATGAGTTAAGAAATACACTGGTGTCGATTATGGCATGATGCTCTAAACCTAAACTTAAATTTGACATCAGTGTATCCTTGTCATTCTCTATACAGAATGAAAAGGATAGACTGATTTTAAATTTAATTTTAAGTTTAGAGAATTGTGGCGGGATCGACACCATTGTATAAGTCTGCCTTTATATTAGCATTACAAAAACTTAATTAAGTAATCGAAGCTTTGGCCTTTAACACAAAATAGTTTAGCTCAACGACATGTAAGAAAAATATGCTATTTTTTTTTAATTTTATAGTTTTTAAAACTAGAATGCAAATAGACGAATGATTCGATAATTAAACTGACTAAGTATACGTAGTTAAAATTAAATATTATATCAATCCAATGTTCATACGATAGTGATTAAAAAATGTTTTTCAAGTGGTTATTATTGTTTGGAAGTGTAAAAATATCATTTTGTATGGACGCTGATACTGTTGATCTATTGACACCCATACCTCAGCAAGGAGAAGCCTGTGGTTACCAAGTAAGTAAAATAGTTAATTTATTTATTTCTGAGGTTTTCCGCACATCATTCATTAAATAAAAGAATTTTCAACGGGATAGATTCACTGATTTATTTATTTATTTATGACGTTTCGCATAATTTTCAGGCTGCATAATGAGGGCTACCGTTTTCTGTCTCACCAGATGACGGCTGAGTGAGGTCCTGAATTGTACCTTCAAAAGTTTATTAATACGAGCCTGAAATCAAAGTTTAAATTTAAATCATATTTTAATACAAAAGAACCGTATCTTGAACATAATCGGCCATGCAACAGAGTTGCCCAGTTCCGTTTTGTTCGAAAAAAAGGAGGACATAATCATTTTCGTAGCTCCGCTTTTAAATAACTGATATTTGCCCCGTAACTCATATTTGCCACCATTAAGCCGAGTTATTACCAAATATTCACAACATTATTATAATTAGAAATAAACCCGCGTAGTCAACCTACAAGCAATAACATTTGAGATTTCGGAGACCTAACGCTCACTCACGCGGCGGACTCACACGCGATAGGGTACGGCCAGAGTGCACTCAGATTCAGATTCAGACTCAGAAAACAAGCGCGAGAAATATACAGTGTAGTTTAAGCAGGTTGCCTGCGGCCACTATGGCCACCCTGCTTTAACTACACTGTTTATTTCCCTAAGAGTACGGCCAGAGTGCACTCAGATTCAGATTCCGAAAACAAGCGCGAGAAATAAACAGTGTAGTCGAAGGGTGCGGCCAGAGTGCACTCAGATTCAGAGTCAGATTCAGATTCTGAAAACAAGCGCGAGAAATAAACAGTGTAGTCTAAGCAGGTTGCCTGCTTTTTCTCGCGCTTTGTTTTCTGAGTCTGAATCTGAATCTAAATCAGGAGTGCAATCTGGCTGTACCCTTCGACTACACTGTTTATTTCTCGCGCTTGTTAAGGGTACGGCCAGAGTGCACTCCTGATTCAGATTCAGATTCAGATTCAGAAAACAAGCGCGAGAAAAAGCAGGCAACCTGTAGTCTACTACACTGTTTATTTCTCGCGCTTGTTTTCGGAATCTGAATCTGAATCTGAGTGCACTCTGGCCGTACCCATAGCCCTCATTCTGACGACGCAGCCTGAAAAGAATGCGAAAAGTAATAAATAAATTAATCAGTGCATCTATACCGTTGAAACAACTTGTTTTAATTAAAACAGTTGATATACAGATTCAGTTCCATGCTAACGTAATCTTTGAGATTGGTAGGATGGTACAGCAATAACATGAAAGATGAAAAGTACGGAAAGAAAAAACTTAGTTAACAAAGTAACAGGACAAAAAAAACGCAGACTTTATTTAAGCACAACTACAAAAATAGGAAATGGTAATGTCCATTTAAAACATAAGTGAGTATATTAACAATAAAATTAACAGCATTAGAAGGAACACAAAATAGATTTACCTACGTACTTTATACGTATAGTGCTAAAATTAGGAGAGGCATATTTCTTCCCATTAGGACAGTTTACCATTTCCAGTTTGCTGATTAAACAATATAAATGCGTCAGTTCCTCTAACCGCCGTTTCATTTGCTGTCCTCGATAACAAATCCATAATCGCGATATTATTAAAAAAAAACTATCCAGATATTAAAACTTCTCTATCTGGCAACCTCTGGTTAAGAGTTGATTAGGGTTTTTGGCAGGATTTCATCGAAAGCGGTTGGCTTTTTTAATTATTTTATTTATTCTTAAATTCGTTCATAGTGGCTATTGTGAAATTAAATTGGTGTGATTTTGTGTTACAACAGCAACTGAAGAATTAGTGGCATTTTTAAAATACAGGCAGTCCTCGACTTACGTCGTTTCGATTTAAGTCGTTTCAAGTTACGTCGAACAATGATTTGACACTATTCCTCAAGAATACGTCAATTGTTTCGCTTACCGGAATACAAGAATTCACTTATCGCGAGGTCAATGTCCGTGAGGATGTCTCGACTTACGTCATTTCGATTTACGTTGCGTATTTCAAGAACCTAACATGCCGTAAGTATGAGGATTGCCTGTTTACGCTATTCCGGTCAAGTGGACGTAAGAACTTTATTCTAGTGTTGACTATCTCACAGAAGCTTATCGGAAAACCAACTCGTTACATTTCGTGCCAAATACTTCAAGAAACATTAGAATGAGTCACACTGATATTCCAATTTGAAAAAAAAGAAGATTAAGTTTTTTATTTATGTATACGACGGAAGGGTCCATGGCCCTTATTAAATAAAAAAAATAAGAGGGCTGTATGGACTCAGAATCCTTTGCCCGTCCCAACAGGGACAAATTAACCAAAAAAAAAATAAGATTTGATTATGATGGTACACACCGACAATCTAATTTAAAAAGAAAGAAGATTAAGATATTTATTTATGTACTAGCTGTGCCCCGCGGTGTTACCCGCGGTTTATTATGGATATTTTCCAGCACTAAAACGTAGCCTATGTGTTAATCCAGGGTGTCAGCTAACTCCATACCAAATTTTATTAAAATCGCTCCAGCCATTCAGACGTGAAACAGTAACAAACATACACACTCACAAACTTTTACCTTTATAATATTACTAGCTGTGTCCCACGGTGTTACCCGCGGTTTTTAGAGATATTTTCCCGCAGTAAAAAGTAGACTATGTGTTAATCCAGGATGCCAGCTAACTCCATTCCAAATTTTATTAAAATCGCACCAGCCGTTTAGACGTGAAGAAGTAACAAACATACACACTCACACACTCACAAACTTTCGCCTTTATAATATTAGTGTGATACGACTGAAGGACTTGCATCCATGGTCATGAATAAATAAAAAAAAATGATTGTGATGGTATTCCAGGGTTGCGTGGAGCTGATAGAAGGGATGAATATGTACGTACACCTGGTGCCGTACTCCCACAACGAGCTGGGGTACACATCCAGCTTTCACGGACATTACACAGGACGTAAGTAAGGGCTCCTGGCATGAATGGGAAAAGTATTTACCTAATGAGGGCTATCGCGTATGAATCCGCCGCTAGAGGCGCTAGTGTAGCGTGAGGTCTCCGAAATGTCAAATGTTATTGCTTGTTGGTTGACTACGCGGGTTTATAACATATTAAAATAATGTTGTGAATAATTGGTAACAATTCGGCTTTATTATGGCAAATATGAGTTATGTGGCAGTGAATGTCAGTTATTAAAAATTTGAGCTTAGAAAAATGATTATGTTCCCATTTTTTCCGAATAAAACGGAACTGGGCGTCACTGTGGCATGGCCTATTATGTTTGGGATATGGTTCTTTTGTGTTAAAATACGATCTAAATGTAACCTGTGATTTCATGTGCGTATTAATAAACTTTAAAAGGTACAATTTAGGACCTCACTCAACAGTGGCGCAATCTGGTGAGGCAGAAAACGGTAGCCCTCATTCACTCGTTCGTAGTCGAATCAATATGTAAACGTATTCATGCGGAAAAGTATCTACTACAGTACCACTAGCACGAACCAATATCGAATTCGTATCATTTGCGAGTCCGAAATGTCATTGTCAAATGTGTACTGATTTTGAGTTCTCGTTACGTACTTTGTGCCGCTGCTGTTCAAGTTTCCATACAAAATTTGACATTGACATTTCGGTTTGTAAACTATTCGAATTCGATAATGGTTCGTGCTAGGGGTACTGGTCGCGGCACGTAACTCTAGCGCTGAACAAAACGCGGAGGGGATAGCTACGCATGGGTACGACTGGGGAGACAATCTGCGCAACGCACACCCCCCCCGCACACCTCAATTTCCCCCAACACATTTTAATTTTTACTTCTGCGCAATAACGGTCAGCGTTAGAGTTTTGTGCCGCGATTTATATACATGTAACACTACACTACAACTAGTAGTGGAATTTAAAAAAAAAAGCAGGCAGCAGGTAGACGGGACCGCCGACGACGATGGTCCGCGTGGCATTTTTCTAGTAAAATTTTCGTTAAATTTAGACATCTGGCAATTAAATACTTAAAAAATTAAAAATGTAACTATATAGTAGTTCAATGGACAAGATATCTGAAAAATTTGGCCACTAGGGGCGCTGTAATCGCTTGACCCAAAACTTCTATCAAATACATACCTAATAGCTTATATTCATTTTAAACTTTTTATTAAACAAATCACAAATGCCGCGTTGTGCAATTCGTGGTTCTTGTGAAAATACTGCATGCTTATATATAAATATAATTTTATATGTTGCTTTGAAAGGAGGGGGGGAGGTAAAACTGAGGTGATATTTAGATCATGGTATGTATCTGGGTCAGGCAGAAAAAACTGCACCAAAATTAAAATTGCATTCATATGCCTCAAGTCTGTAAAAAACCCCAATGTTATACTTCCTATTTTAGCCAGAGGTAACTAAACCTAAAAGTAACCTAAGTTAAGTACCGAGAATGAGCATTCTAACATAATAATAGAAAGAGTATCTTTCTCCTAGATTAGCTTTTCTGCCTTGCCTCTCCTTTTCAACTCTGTTTTCAGCTGTATTACAGACCATGTTGAATACATTGTCACCACTTATTCAATATTTTTAACAACAAAAAAGCACGTTTAAAATTTGACAGCTGTAATATTCGGCTGAGGTTAGGGTCAAGCGTTTGCAGCGCCATCTATGTCGAGCTGTGCGTATACTTCTCCATTAATACATTATGTATAAACTTTGACACAAACACCATTAATTTCTGGGGACGAATTTCAAAATAGTACATTACGATACGCGTGACCTAAGTTGCCTATTACTGCACAGCGTGAAGTTAGCGCCCGAGCGGAGCGAGGGTGCTAAACGCCGTGCAGTAATAGACAACTTAGGCCACAAGTATCGTATACTATTTTATAGCAAGTGTGACTTAAACCCGCCCCGGACGCGGGCAAGAGGGGGGGGGGGGGGTCGATTAGTGTTTTGAAAGTAAAATTCATGTATTGCAATCACAAAGAATTGCAATACAGACTGCAAGTCAAACTCTGAAAAGAAAGAATTCCGGTTCAGATTACCATTTTGACAGTATATTTCAAAAGGAAAAAATCAAATATCATTACAACAAAATAGAATTTCAATGTATCCATTGAATGTTTATTTCTTGATTGGCATAACAATATATTAAACAACGGGAATGAGCTTTATTTTTTGTACTCATATAATTCAAACAAGAATTCCTAACCTATCGCTAATTTGTCATTTGTTTGCTGTGAGTTTTTAAGCTCCAAATGACATTTAAATGTGTTTCCTTTTATTTTTTCTACATGAGTGAAGTTGGTCAATTCATTTACACACCGTGCAGAAATAGGCAACTTAGGTCACGGAAAAGCGTGCGTAAAGTGCGGGTTTAGGTCACACTGTGCTATAAATATATTTTTCAATTTAAACCTAGACCAGAAACCTTACGAACACAAGAAAACGAAAAGGACAAGGTTGGGGCGTTCTCGTTTTGCAGGGAAATAAATGTTTTAACCGACTTCAAACAGGAAGGGGTCATTCGTCGGTATATTTGTGTCGTCTCTTTCAGGTGACAACTACGTGGAGCCGAGCACTATAAACGTGAAGCGTATACTTGACTACACCATCAGCGAGCTGTGGGCGCACGCGCATAGAACGTATGCGATTTTTTTATTAGACAATCCTGCTTCCTACTGATATTATAATTGTAAAAGTTTGTTGTCTGTTTGTATGTTTGTTACTGAATCACGAAAAAACTACTGAACTGATTTGGATGAAATATGGTACGCATATAGTTTATGACCTAAATTGAGATATAAAATACTTTTTATCCCGGAAAAGTGTCAGGTTTCTGGGGAATTTCCAAAAAAACTTAAAGTTAACGCGGACGAAGTCGCGGGCGGCTGCAAGTCTTATATAAATGCAAAATCATTTACGTAACCCTCAACTAAATATAGCACGAACCAATATCGAATTCGAATAGTTTGCACAGACCAATAAGAGAACAAGTTATAGTTTGCGAGTGCGAAATGTCATTGTCAAATGTGTATTGATTTTTAGTTCTCGTTACGTCCGTTGTGGCGCTGCTGTTCAAGTTTCCATACAAAATTTGACATTGACATTTCGCACTCGCAAATTATTCGAATTCGATATTGGATCCTAAATATATACTATAAATAAATAACTAAAAATCAGTATACATTTGACAATGACATTTCGTACTCGCAAACGTTACGAATTCGATAATGGTTCGTGCTAGGGCATAGGGGTACTGTAGGGTTCACGTAGCATTTCTGTTGACAGAAAAAAATATTGATCTGCCTGTTTGCATGGTGTGGGGGTGACCGCACGAAGGGATACAATATAGAGAAAAAAAATCAAGCGTGTCAGACATTGAAAAGCACAGAACAATATATACTCTCTACGAGAGAAGAATGGCAACTCCCTAATAAAAAAAAAGCAAACACAACATTATTCATGTGTACACTATACCACTGCAATGGTCTAAGCACTGCGGCCTGTTAGTAAAAACAATGCGAGCGGGAAAAATCGAATTGGTTTCAGAGAAAATTTTATTGAATGATCATCGAAAAAAAACTGTATGCACAGAAAAAAATACAATTGCCATTCTTAAGTTGGCAATTATTGTAGTTTTTGCTGTGCTGTGTGTAGTATTTTTTCGAGGACCATTTAAATGTAACTAAAAATGTATAATTTTTTATTTATTTTTTAAGCATTTAACTGCTAGATGTTTAAATGTAAAGAAAAGTTTACTAGAAAAAAGTCCACGCGGACCAGGCAGCGGACGGGACATTGTGGGTTACCTACAATGCGAAGAGATGGCGCTGCCTTGCAGCTTAAGGCTAGGAAAATTTCGACGCGGCTAATAGGGCCGTGGTAGCATAAAAATGTATGTTGAAAAGGGATGTTACGTGAACTCTCCATTATATCAAAAATTCTCACGATTTGCACGCGACCAAAAGACACGGCCGATTGTAGATTTTTTTCTGTCCGCCCTAGACGTTAGGCTCTACATAGAAAGCACTTCACTAGATACTAGGTTGCCCCCCTTATGTTATTCTGCCGGAGTGGAGAGCCCAAAAATCCCCGTTTGGGCTCTCCATTTGGAGTGGCGGAAAAAAGCAAATCTATATGTGGATTTCTCAATAAAAATCGGATATTCAAATTATAGAATATTATTCATAGTAAAATACAGATCTATTAAAATTATGTGTACGTACGTATGTACGTTGTCTTTTTGAATTCGAATTGCAAGAGGGAGAGTGAATCTATATAAATCAAAATGAGTGAATGTAGTAACGAATGGGTACGAAATAAATGTATGAATGGACGATGACGATGGACCGATTGCAGTTTCTCTCTTCGAAGGATAGATGGCGTTAACATATATTTATTATGAAATATTTGACCGATAGGTTCACATATTCAGATATGGCGTACTTCTTCCACTGGTGGGCGAATAGAGATGAAACAGGTAAGTAATTATTGTTCATTTAATATTCTCATCCACTTTTTAAATACCGATGAAATAATAATAAAAAAAGCGAGTGTGCTTATGACCATACAACTGAAGTGAAACTTCTTTAGCTCCAATGATCTGAAAATCATAAAGTTAACCTGAAGATTTGTTGATAGAAAAAAATCACCAGTCCGCGCTAGGCCCATTATCACCCTCCAATCCGCACTGGGTGCATTATCCCCCACCAATCCGTACTGGGTCCGTTATCGCACACCAATCCGCACTGGCTCTGTTATCACCCACCAATCCGCATTGGGTCCGTTATCACCCACCAAACCGTACTGGGTGCATTATCCCAGTAGCGAACACTGTCGACTACCGTGAACTGCAGTTTATCTCAGACATGTCCATTGAAGGTCATTTTGAATGTTGTGGAATTGTACTAAGTGGAATTAATCATTTAATAGTATGTGTTTCTAGAACTCCTAATGGTTGCTTTGATACTTTTATAACTAATATGGAGAATCTGCTGCATAAAGTTATTATTAGAACCAGATCTACTTTCAATAAGATACATGTTCTGGGTGACTTTAATGTCAATATTCTCGAAGTCAATAATAGAAGTGAATTATTTTTGAATATGTTCAGAACTTATAATTTATATCCGACAATAAATGTACCTACTAGGCTTACCCTTCATTCCCAAACATGCATCGATAATATATTTTCAAATATCAAACAATACAATACAGAGGTCTTAGACCTAGGACTATCAGATCACACATGCCAAATAATATCAATTTCAGTCACAATTAATTACAATCAGCCATTTTGGTTTATGTACAGGAGGAATAATGATAAATATATGGAAATTTTTACAAATTATGTGTCCCAAATCAATTTTTCGGACGTATATAATCAAACTGACGTCAACAGCGCTTATAATAAATTTATTGACATATTTCGACTTTTATATGACCTCTGTGTGCCCATTGAAAAAAAAGAAAATAACTTCTAGACAATCTCAACATTGGAAAACCAAAGGAATTAAGACGGCTAGTAAACATAAAAGATATCTGTACCTTCTTTCTAAAAGAAGCACGTGTAATAACATTAAAAATAGCTATAAAAGATATTGCAAAATTTTAAAAAATGTGATAAAACAATCAAAGAAATTAACAAATATAAATTACATTCAGCAGAGTACAAATAAAAGTAGAGCCACATGGCGAGTGATTAAACAAAATACATCACAGACAAATATAATTAAACAAACAATTGATACTATTAGGAAAGATAATGAAATTATTACTGACCCAATTGACATTGCTAAAATAATTAATAGACATTTTATTTACTTTAATGATGACATCACTAAAACCAAATCAGGCAATACATACAAACCTTTGACCCAATCTAATTTAAACAGCATTTTTTTGACTCCAGTAGATACAGTTGAAATAATAAAAATTGTAAAAGGATTTAAAAATAAAAAGAGTACTGGCCATGACGAAATACCTATGTCCATTATAAAGGCAAGTATCCAACAGATAGCAAAACCACTGGCTTACATTATTAATCTAACAATAGAGACCGGAGTATTTCCCGATGAATTGAAAAAGGGGCTAATTAAACCTTTGTACAAAAATGGCTCCAAATCTGAAATTAATAACTATAGACCTATTACACACTGTTATCCAACTTTTCTAAATTGTTTGAAAAGATTATTTTCAATAGAATTAGTTCCTTTTTTAATAAACATAGTATTCTACATGAAAATCAATATGGTTTTCAAAAGAATAAAAATACCACATTAGCTATATTTAGAATGTTAAAACAGATTTGGACAGCCATTGATAAGAAAGATTCATGCTTAGGTCTTTTCTTAGACTTGTCAAAAGCATTTGACTGCGTCCAACATGAAATTCTACTAAAACAGTTGTATCATGTTGGAATACGTGGTAATGCTTTCAAACTGTTACAATCATACCTAGAAAATCGACAACAAGCGACAGTATTAGATGTATATGATAAGAATACAAAAGTCATGACAAGAGTTCAGTCGGACTTCGAACAAGTAATACTGGGTGTTCCACAGGGTAGTATATTAGCTCCTTTAATGTTTCCGCTGTATATTAATGAATTGCCACTAGTAACAAAATACTTATGTGTTATGTTTGCGGATGATGCCACTATATTCATTCAAAAAGACAAATTTTCAAACCTTGACGATCAAGTACGTGATTCATCGTGATAAAATGGTTGTCAACCCTAAATCTTAAAGTGAATCTAGAAAAGACAAAGATTATGCAATTTAGGAATTACAAAAAGAAATTACATGATATTGACATAGTTATCAATAATAAAAAAATCGAGCAAGCTAATGAGACAAATTTTCTAGGCATTAATATTGACCCCCATCTCAATTGGAAATCACATATAAATAAAATAAATAATAGATTATCTAGTAAATGTTACCTTGTATCAGTATTGACTAATATAACTTCCATTGATGTTGCTCGAAATGCATATTATGGCTATGTATACCCTCTTTTGACATACGGAATCATATTTTGGGGTAATTCGGTAAATGCTCATTCTACATTTATTTTACAAAAGAGGTGTTTGCGAATTATATATAAAATTGACCCACTTGAATCTGTAAGACCAGTATTTATAAAATATAGATACCTAACATTGACTTGTATATATATATATGAAATATGTGTGTTTGTAAAAAATCATGACGAATATTTTTGTAAAAAAAATTTGACTAAAGCTAATATACGAGCCCAATATAAAAATGACATGAATACTGCATTATCGACTAGCTATATATTTGACAAAAGCTCTTATATAAGTGGAATTAAAATATTTAACAATTTACCCAATGACATTAAAGATTTAAATTTATTGGAATTTAAAATTAAATTAAAGAAATGGTTAATAGATAAATGTTTTTATAATTTAAAAGAGTATTTTCGAAATTTTTAATAGCATTTACCACCTATAATGAATATTGTACGTCCGAAACGGACAGCTGCCTAGAACTAAGAAATTACTTGTAACACCATTGTACTCAGCATGACAATAAAGCTTTCTATTCTATTCTATTCTATTCTATTCCCCCACCAATCCGCACTGGGTCCGTTATCACCCACCAATCCGCATTGGCTCCGTCATCACCCACAAATACGCACTGGGTGCATTATCCCCCACCAATCCGCACTGGGTCCGTTATCACCCACCAATCCGCATTGGGTCCGTCATCACCCACCAATACGCACTGGGTGCATTATCCCCCACCAATCCGCACTGGGCCCGTTATCACCCACCAATCCGCATTGGGTCCGTTATCACCTACCAATACACACTGGGTGCATTATCCCCCACCAATCCGCACTGAGTCCGTTATCACCCACCAATCCGCATTGGGTCCGTTATCACCCACCAATCCGCACAGGGTCCGTTATCACCCACCAATCCGCACTGGGTCCGTTATCATCCACCAATCCGCACTGGGTCCTTTATCACCCACCAATCCGCACTGGGTCCGTTATCATCCACCAATCCGCACTGGTTCCATTATAACCCACTAATCCGCATTGGGTCCGTTATCACCCACCAATACGCACTGGGTCCGTTATCACCCACCAATACGCACTGGGTCCGTTATCACCCACCAATCCGCATTGGGTCCGTTATCACCCACCAATCCGTACTGGGTCTATTCTCACCCACCAATCCGCACTGGGTCCGTTATCACCCACCAATCCGCACTGGGTCCATTATCACCCACCAATCCGCATTGGGTCCGTTATCAACCACCAATCCGCATTGGATCCGTTATCACCCACCAATCCGCACTGGGTCCGTTATCAACCAAGCACTAGTTTCATGTATTTTGTGACGGGTATTGTTCATTGTTTACGACGGAAGCGAGCTGAGAGACATTTTAGAAAAAGGTATTTGAAAAAACTATTACTGTCTTGGCAAATACCGTGTGATAGGTACTACAGTAGATTACGCTGAAAATTGCGTATAAAAATTGTTATATACGAGTTTTGGCTCTCGACGATTTCTTCCTCGAAAATTAGATATAAGTAGTGTCGCCGCACACGGGCCACACGCCACAGCTACAAACGCCGCCACGAGAAGCTAGAAGCGGCTACTAAAGTGGCTGAAGCGCACGACAGCGGCCGACTAAGGTAAGGGAGAGAGGGGTGGGGAATCACGCGAGTGACGTGTGGCGGCGTTTTGTATCGGCGTATTAAGTGGCCGGTGCGGGCCACAAGAAGCAAGCAACGACGATTTTTAGCGTGTGGCGGCCACTGGCGAACCGTGTGTGGCGAGTCCATATAAAATGTAAGAAAACTACAAGATATATGCCGGTGGCGGCGTTTTGTGGTTGTGGTCGGTGGCCCGTGTGCGGCGACATTAAAAGAAATTAAAAAAAAATATTAATTAGTAGTTATTACTGTCTTTATTTTTGCTTTTTTTTAGTAAATGCTTATTAAATCTCCTCCACGCTAGACGTCTTTAGTGGTGATAAAAAATTGTTTATTTTGGCCTTTTTTCGAGGGCTTCTAGTACCTTTGAAACACAAGTTATCGAAAAATGGAAGACATAGGAGCATAGAGTCTGTGCGGAAAGAGAATGGGCGTGGCGAAAAACGGAACTAATATTAAGATTTTTATTTATCAATCAAACCCAGCAATCTGTAAAACGTCAAAGTTTTGTATTGATACGGATTTGTTTGTTGTTGTGATTTCTTGCGGTTTTTTGTATTTAATCATGTCTAAAAGAGGTAAAACCTTACAAATACGGTAGAAAAGCACTACAGCGCCCTCCAATCTAAATCCCGTTCTCTTTCCGCACAGACTCTAGCATGAGTAATATTATTTATGTATGAAAATCAAATCTTTAGTAATAAAAATCAAAGAGGAGGTGGAGGGACAATTTATCGTCTTTTCTATAACTACAGTTCGCCGCATGGTGTACGCGCTAATTCGCCAAGGGCGGCTGGACTTCGTGGGCGGTGGCTGGAGTATGAGCGATGAGTCCACCACCAGCTACCACGCCATTATAGACCATTATACCTACACCTTAAGGTAGCTATTGATCCGACTACATTCATAATAGGGATGAGACAGGGTAAAGTTAATGGAATTCAATATAGCTATTCATCATCATCATCATTATCATCAGCCTATTAATGTCCCCACTGCTGGGGCACAGGCCTTCCCTATGGATGGAATAGGGAGATTGAGCCATGACCAACAACGCGGGCCCAGTGCGGATTGGTGGGTGCTAACGACTGCAGATACAACCGGGACCAACGGCTTAACGTTCCTTCCGAAGCACGGAGGAGTGAGAGATAGTAAATTTTTAGTCACCCATCCAATGACCGACCACTGCGAAAGTTGCTTAACTTCAACGACCGCAGCCGAACGCGCTAACCAGTTGCGCCATCCAGCTCCTATAGCTATTAACGGGATTATATTATATAGTAAAAGACGACGACAGAGGGTAGACCAATATGTCTTCCAATAACATCTGCCCGCAATTACTTACATCAGTTACTCCGTGATAGGCTTGTTGAAAATATATCGATGTATCGATATATCGATATTTTTTGTCCAATATATCGATATTTTTTGCCGATATATTTTGATTCGCTATATCGAATAACATAAACGAACAAAAACGATATTTTTTTAATTATTAGCGACATATCACGATCTAACTAAATTCGAATCTGGAAAAATCGTAATTGGATCTCAGATTAATGATATTCAACATGTCTATGATCTGTGCTGTATTTAGTATTGTCTATGTCATCATTCGAAAATAGGGTCTATTTTTAGGGAGATAATTTTCGTTCCATTATTATTCCGCGTGTCATATTTCGTGAGCTATTACGATATTTAGCACGATATTTTTGGGAAAATTGGTTCGATATATCGATATATCGATGTTTTTTTCGCGATATATCGAAGCCGATATTGATATTTTTTAAAAGACCGATGTATCGATATATCGATATTTTTTTCAACTTTCGACATCCCTACTCCGTGATCATGGCGCTTGCAACAGTGCCGAAATATCGGAGACTCATGAAGAACAAGGTACATGGTAACAATCCCGTTAATAGCTATAATGTTAGTGACCATGAAAGTTTAAAACAATACAGGTTGTTACAAAAATACAAATAAATCTTGAAGGGTGTTGAAATAAGGAGTGTTCTCTAATTTTCTTAAAATAGTTGTATGAAGTTTTAACTTTTTATAAAAGCAGTTATTTTTAATGATCCTCGAACTAGTGACGTGTCTTAAAATGATCGATATTTTTATTAATCATTAAAAGTAACTGTTTTTATAAAAAGTTAAATTTCATGCAAATATTTTAAGAAAATTAGAGAAAACTCCTTATATGATGTATTTCAACACCCTTCAAGATTTATTTGTATTTTTGTAACACCCTGTATAATTGAATTCAATTTAGTCTGTCAGTCAGATTATCAAAAAATAACGCCGGCACACAAAAAAAAATCGATTCTTCGATTTTTGCAATTTTTGATGATCTTTTAAAATATTTTTAGAATGGTTTATGATTAAAGTACGATCGAAAATAGTACTTAACAGATCAAAATACATGAAAATTATAGATCTCAATTTTTTTTTCTTGCCAAACCATCGAATTAAAAAAATTTGGGGTTTTTTGTAATTTACTCGAAATTGAAGGCGGTCTAAACTGTCTTGAAATCAGCGGGTCGAAAAACATGCCCGTAAATAGGTGGTGCCCGGTACAGACATTTTTTTTTGTGTGCCGGTGTAATGGACTCCTCTTTTTTCTTATTTCATTCAACCAACTGACAAAGATAATGACCGAAACAGACTTTAGCTAATGAGAAGAATGGGCGCACGAAACTCCTCAGAATTTAACAGAAGAAGTAACATTTACAAAAAAAAAATCAATATATCAATACAACGTCCACTCACATTTTGATTGCTGTGGTGTCATACAGTATTCTTCTTAGCCGGTACGCTCTTGACAGAGCGGTCGTGATCGCTATGCACTTGTAGTATTATTGGAGGGGGCAGATGTGATGCGTTTCACTATGTTTCGCCATTGCTGCCTGCTAGAGGTCATCCTGCTGCACTCGTTTAGTGAACCTCCAACGGCTGACTTGATCTGGTCAGTCCATCGCGTGGGAGACCTTCCGCGCGGTCTAGTACCTTCCACCTTTCCTTGGACGACAAGGCGTTCTATGGATAGGTTGTTACGCCGAGAAACGTGTCCGAAGAATGTTAGGATGCGAGATTGTACTGTCGAAAATAGACGCTGCCCGATACCGAGTTCTTGAAGTATCGAGACGTTCGTGCGAAACTCGGTCCCATATACAGTATATATAATAATAATTCTTTATTTCTCACCATAATCAGTTTCTTATTCCATTAAAAACACTAAGTAAAAAGGTCACTTATCTAGGTAATTATGGCGGGCTGACACCTAAACTAGGAAAAAACCCGTGTCTCAGGTTATCAGCCCTCCACTCTTAAACATATGTCTGTAATGTTTTAATTATGTTAAAAAACAATATTACGTGTATTACAATTTTTGATAATCTACTTAATAGTTATGGTAACAAGGGTACAAGTGCGAAGGATTTTTTTCAGCTACTTAGGTAATACTTGATTTCAGGAAGATAAACTCGACATTGTAGCACACCTAGAATGTTGAGCACCGCGATATTATCACCCTCAATTGTCAATTTCCTATAGAGCATGACAGTTAGACGCGATAAAAAACGTGTTATAATGCAATTTGTGGTGCTCATAGCAATTTGAATTGGACTAAGATTTATCCATGCTTGAAGTTAGGCGAATTATTCAAAGCAATAAATAGGGCGATTGGCCTACTGTTCTCTCAATTCAATCCACAGGGAAGGCCTGTAGGCACAGTTACCAACTTTTTTTTCTATCAAATATAGTATTTTCGAAACTGTTACTTTTAAAAATATAGTAACTGGCAAGAAAAAATAAAAATCTATCTATATAAAACTCAAAGGTGACTGACTGACTGACATAGTGATCAACGCACAGCCCAAACCACTGGACGGATCGGGCTGAAATTTGGCATGCAGGTAGATGTTATGACGTAGGCATCCGCTAAGAAAGGATTTTGATCAATTCTACCCCCAAGGGGATAAAATAGGGAATGAAAGTTTGTATGAAACTTTGTCAATTTTAAACCGATCGGGCTGAGACTTTGCATGCGGGGGGCCAATCGCCTAACTTTATTGCTTTGGAAAACGCTATCGCTTACGATTTCATTTTGTTATATCTGACCGCCGAAGGTTTTCAAATACCTCACGCTCATTTTATTTAATATTGTTATTGCCAATGCAAAAGAAAAAAAAAGAGCGCGAGGCATTTGAAAACCTCAGGCAGCTAGAAATAATAAAATGAAATCGTAAGCGATAGCGTTTTCCAAAGCAATCCGGTTAGGCAATTGGCCCCCAGGTATAAGAAGAGTCATAGATGAATGTCATTGTGTATAATACAAGCCTGAAAACAAAAACTGTAGTCTACACTTCAGCTCTACACCGAAGCGATTTACTTTATTATTTGAAATGAATATACTTTTGCTGCTTTATGTTTTTATTTCTAAGAAAGCTTTTATTGGCAAAAGTCTGCTTTAAGCAAAATATAGTAGTTGCGCCTACTATATTTTTTTTAGAAATATAGTATTTGATCCCCTATTAAACTAAGATACAATATTATATAGTAGAGTTGGCAACCCTACCTGTGCCCCAGTAGTAGGGACAATAATAGGCTGTGATGATAATGAATACCCTATTTCAGAAAGATCAACTCCACGTTCTTAGAATGCGGACGCCCCCTAGTCGCTTGGCAGGCTGATGTGCTGGGCCACTCGCGTGAGTTTGCCTCTTTGATGGCGCTTATGGGATTCGATGGCCTGTTCATCAACCCCATAAGCTTCGACGATGAGTTGCCGCGAATGAGGAGAAAGGGGTTGGAGTTTGTTTGGAGGGGTAGCGATGATTTAGGTGAGTACATTAAATATTGTTTTTATACGTCATTGCACGTCCACAAGATAATTTTAAGCCACGCAGCCAGTAAAGGGTCCGTTGGACGACGTTGAACGCTAAAAATAATGTAAAAACAAATAAAAAGCGTTTTAACAGATTTAAAATGTGTTTATATATAGTGCTACATACATAATTTCTTCTTTATAAAACTGATCGATTCCTGTACAGTTCATGCATGCTTGCTTTTTGTTTATAACGAGTGCTTTAGTTTATTTATATACTGACAGTTTATAGTCTGATTTATTTACTCATAAGCTATTACTTCCTTAATTGACCTCCCCTACCCCACTTTATTTACCCCACTCTACACTTATATTAACTTAATTAGTTCCGGGTATAAATACATATCTATGATTCCGTACCGTATTTGTTTACATATCTAATTACTATAAATGTTAATTTTATATTCTAACGTCTAATATAAAGCGACAGGTCCGTCTTCAGATTATTCATAGGCATTTGCTCACCTCAGCTACCTTATAAGCTCTCCCTAACCTACCTGACTCAGCTCTAATGTGTCACTATCAATGTTTATATTTGCATATACGTATATTATTATCATTTGACAGGACCATCGTCTGACATATACGCGCACAAGCTGTACGACGGCTACTGGCCTCCCCCAGGGTTCTGTTTTGGGTCCCAATGCAGTGATCCGTTGCTTATCTCCTCTTCGGACACTTTCAGAAATGTTATCGAAAGAGTAAGTATTAAAAAAGATATTTTTTTTATATAGTAACAAAATACATTAATTTGAAGTTGTTTTATCGCAACATAGTGATTTCTCCTCTTGTGAAAAAGGTGTCATTTAAATTCATGCATGCTGGTTTACTCTGATTTCATCGCAAAGAAATTAACATCTCTGACTTTAATCACAATTAAAATTTAATTCACGTTATGAGTGAGACCGTTACAATTCAAAAGTTTAGTGTACGTACTTCGACAGCAATCCTAGTTTTTGGCAAATATTGTTCCCCACTGATTCCCTAAGCTTGTTTGAACTGTATCATCATCACTTTTGTAGGTGGACGAGTTCGTCCGTCTGTCACAGATAAGACAGGCCCCGTACTACACCACCAAGCACATCATGGTAGTGATGGGTATGCGGGACGGGTACCACGACGCCAGCGTGTGGTTCAGCAATATCGACAAGCTCATACAGTTTGTATCTAGCCCAAACAACCTTAAAGCGGGCTAATGACATCCCTGCCGCAGCCGGGGCAATCTAGGGTTAGGAGTGGGGATGACACTTAATTGCCTCCTTAATTGTGATGAGTAGAGCAAGCAGGGGCAATTTTCTAAATTAGTCTGGCGGCAGGGGCGCGATGCCACCCTTGGTTCCTAGATTGTCCCTGCCGCCCTGCACCTTAGTCTTAGTCTTGGTAGTACGGCGGGCTGTTTCCGCAACTCGACACCTAGTGCCTATTTTGCGTGGGGATTGGCATCAGTCCTGCCATCCCAGCTCCACCAGAAAGCTCAGCAGTCCCCGAATATTGCTGCAGGCCTCTACTATTGTCTTCGGGCTTCCCATTAGAGAAGTCCTTTGTCTTGCAACGCCCCTGCACTCCAGTAGGACATGGGCGCTCGTCTCATCCGCCTCCAGGCAGGCTCTGCACAGAGGGCTGTCAGAAATACCTATATTACAAAGGTGTTTGTTGAAGTAGCCGTGACCCGTGAGTATACCCACGATTTGTTTCAGGGCTTGTCTAGGTAGTCTGATTAACTTACGTGTTAGCTGCAGGTTTACCTTAGGAACGGCTTCCCTGGCTTGCCTGCAGTCCGTGAGTTTTGACCAGTAATCGTCATGTTGTCGTTGAGAGCGCTCCCTTATCCAGGTTCGCAGCTGCCGATAGGGTATGGGTGTAATTGGCTCCGGACCAATGGCCGTCCTGCTAGACCCCTCCCTGGCTAAGCAGTCCGCCGTATCGTTACCCCTTGAGCCGCTGTGTCCTTTAATCCACTGTAGGGTCAATCTATTGTCGTTAGCAATATTAGTCAACTTACTGTGGCATTCGTAAATTAAGCCTAATGTCATTATATTGTTGTCCAGTGCCTGTAGGACAGAAGCGCTGTCAGAGAGAATACGAATATGTTTTCCTCTTACCCCGCGACATTCTATCGCCTCAGCAGCTCTGATGATGCCCACACACTCTGCCTGGAAGACCGTGTTATAAGCACCCAAAGCTGTCGAGATGTGTATATTCAGGTCTTCGGAGAAGACACCCGAGCCCGTACCACAGTTGGTTTTTAAACCGTCTGTGTAGACCCTCAACTCCTTATGCAGACAACGGTCCGGGGTGTCTTCATAAAGTTGAATTTTGTATTTTTTGTCAAATACGTACGTCTTAGGAATAAGGTCGTGATTGCACAGCATGCCCGCCTCTGGAGACGTCTTAACTTATTAATTGTCGTTACCTGGATTGTCTTGGTCCACCATACTACTGCTGCATAGCTGATGATGGGCCTAATTATGGTCGTGTACAGCCACTTAACAATGAGCGGTGATAGTCCCCAAGTTTTGCTAATCATTTTGCGACATTGCCAGAAAATGATGTTGGTCTTCGTTGTAGTTTTGTCTATGTGGGATCCCCAGTTCAGTTTGGAGTCTAGGGTTATTCCTAGATACTTTACCTCGTTGGAGAGCCTCAGTGTCGTGTTAAATAGTTTCGGTAGCCGATAGTCGCCTAATGATCTTTTATTCGTGAACATGACCAATTCCGTCTTCACTGGGTTCACCTTAAGGCCGTAGTCGTCACACCATTTTTCAACCACCTTCATTGCCCCTCGCATAACATCACAGGCGGTGCTCGCAAACTTACCCGGAATTATGATTGCAAGGTCGTCCGCGTAGCCCACCGTGTGGAAGTGAAGGTTGTTTAGTTTGGTAATTAAGTCGTTTACAACTACATTCCATAGCAGAGGCGGCAGTACTCCTCCTTGAGGGCATCCTTTAGTTGCCAATGCTCTGAGATGGTTGCCGTCTTGTAGTCTGATTAGTCTGTTACGGAGCATGGTACTTACCCAGTATATAATGGTCTCATCGACTCCGTGTTTGCCAAGTGCGTCTACTATGCTGGCGAAGCTTGTTTTGTCAAACGCGCCTTCTATGTCTATAAAGGTGCCCAGACATAGTTCTTTCCGTCTGAGACTATCCTCTATTTTACTAACGACTGCATGTAGTGCAGATTCTGTCGACTTGCCTGGACTATAGGCGTGTTGGTTCGGATGTAGTGGAACATTGACTAGTTGGTTGTCTCTCAGCTCTCTGTCGCACAGTCTTTCCAGGGTCTTTAGCAGAAATTATGAGAGACTTATTGGTCTGAAAGATTTCGCCTCGTTGTAGTCTGCCTTACCCGGTTTTGGTATGAAGATTACCTTGATCTCCCTCCAGAGCCTCGGGGTGTATCTAAATGCAAGACACGCTCTCAGGAGGGGCACCAGGATAAGGATTAGTGCTTCACGTGCCCATTGAAGCAGCGCCGGAAAAATGCCATCTGGTCCGGCTGCCTTGAATGGCTGGAAGCTGTTAATGGCCCACCTTAACTTATCTGTAGACACTGTCTTCAATGCAGTGTTCCAGGATTGTTCCGTGGGGGTCCAGCTAGTGTCATTCCAAGTATGTGTCGTATGTATGATGCAGCCCGGAAAGTGGGTTTCAAGTAGTACCCTCTGTGCCTCCTCAGTTGTTTCTGTGAGGGAGCCATCAGCCTTCCGGAGCTGTGCTAGGTCTTGCTGCCTATCTTTAGATAGCAGTTTCCTTACCTTATTTGCCTTTGTGCATGAGTCTATATCTGAACAAAATTTTCTCCAAGATCCATTGCTCCAATGTCGGATGCGTCTCTTGTAAAGTGCCTTGGCATCTTTGTACGCATCCCAGTCCTGGTCGTCACATGTATTCATGGCCCTGTTAAAAAGTCTTCTTACCTTTTTCCTCAGTTTTTCCAGCTCGGGACCCCACCAAGACTGGCTGGCACCCGAGTTGGATGATGGTGTACTAAGAGGACAGGCTGTCTGATAACTTGAGATTATAACTCTTCTTAATTCCTCAGCTGTTTCGTCTATCTTATAAGTTTCGTCTAAACTACCAGACTGCAGATGTCGCAGTGACCGAGTTACCTGTCTGCGATACTGGCTTCTGTTTGTTTTACTAGGTATGCGTCTAGGTGGCTGGGTAACACGCTGTACCGCGATGTTGAACCTAATCCACCTATGGTCAGAGCAGGATGCCTCTGGGGAAACGTGCCAGTCAGAGATCAGTCTTGATGCTAGTGTAAGGTCGATGATGGATCTGCCCCTTCTTGTAACGAAAGTAGGTTCAGATCCTGTGTTTATTATATTAAGGTTAGTGGTAAATAGGTAATCTACTAATTCCTCACCTCGTTTGTTGCTTTTCGTCATACCCCACAATTGATGGTGGGCGTTGGAGTCGGTGCCGATGATCAGCGCCTTGTCTGTTTGTTCGCAGTGTCTCACCAGCTCAGCCAGTTCCCCTGACGAAGCTTCCTCTCCTTCAGGCATGTAGGCAGAGGCAACTACCAGGACAGGTACACTTGGATTTTGCTGTTGTATAATTTGGATTGTTGTTATGTCGCTAGAACAAAATTGTGTCATTATTTTTGCCTGTAGGTGTTTTGAACATACTATGCAGGTCCGCGGTGAGCGGTTACCTGGGTTGTAAAAATTCTTACCACCGGTGTTGTTGAGGCCACATATGGTGTTGGATCTGATCCACGGCTCCTGGACCAGAGCAATAGCCCCGTCATTGTTTTCCTCCAGCCACTTCCTGAGTTGAGCCGTTGCGGTGCGACTGTGCTGGAGGTTTGTCTGAATGAGCTTGACTTTACTCGGTGGAGGCGCCATCGGACGCAAGCAAAACATCGATATCCACCTCTTGCCCGATGTCGATTCCACCCAGCTTGTCAGCCCATTCGTCTATGATGTCCGCTGCTCCTTGCTCACCCAAAGTGGGATCCGCCGGAGCCGGAGTTGTCGTATCCTGCTTCTGGTCGGGCTTTGGAGCTGCTATGAGCCCGGCGACGGAGCAGATGTTGGTTGCTCTAAAGGCGGCAGGCTGTCCAGGTATTGACCACCCTGGTTCCTGAACCTTACGTACACCGAGCCCATCAGGTAGCACAGTCTCCTGCCTCTCGCAAGCAGTTTCTCTGCGACGTCCCTGGTGGTGCTGAACACCAGGAACGTGTTGTCGTCTCCTGCGATGGCCTTGTGTAATAGCCATCGGTCTACGTCTGCCTGTTTATTTTGATAGCGCAGCAGCTTGGCTATCGTGTGTGGTTCCCTCGTGCCCGGGACAAGTAATCCACACACCACCCTCTTCGGCCTATCAATTTGGCGCTGCACTATCAACTCGTCTTCATACCCCGGGACCTTTAGGCCGGCTACGGTCTTCTTGACCCACTCCAGCGTGCGGGGTGTCTCACACCAGAGGCTCAGAGCTCCACCACCAATGATGGGTTTACCCTTAAGGTTCGGGCCTTCATCTGTTGAAGGTCCTGCCATAAGGAGTTCCTCTACAACGGCGTCCTCCAGAGCCTTAAGGACAACCCCAGCATGGGCAGCGCTGATATGTCCTGTATTTTTGCCCGTTATTACAACGAGCAAGTCAGCTGTAGCCGCATCGGCAAATGATTTTTTGTCAGCTGTTCGACGCAGCCCCTCGGATCTAGGCTTCTTATGTTGCCCCCTTGGTGAGATGGTGTCGTCCAGTCTGGGCCTCTTCGAGGCCTCTTGTCTGTCCGTCTGTCCCTTGTTTGTTTGCCTGTCCGTCTGTACATTAGTCGGTCTGTCTGTCTGTACTTGGTCCTGGGTTCCCTGACTCGTAACAGCCTGTTGAGCGGCCTTGGCTGCTGCAGTTTTGTTACGGGCCTTCCTAGCCCTCTGCCCGAGTCTGTGCCGGTCGGTTGTCGTTTTTGTCTTGTCAACACTTGGGCCCCCAGTCCTGTCCACTGCCTTCCGATTCTTACGTCGGTAGGTAGCGACTTGCCAGGAGTCCAAGTCACCATCCACTTCCTGCGGCTGTTGCCTGACACCGGGTTGCCCCTTCACCAAGGCTTCCAACGCACGGGACGTAGATGGTACGTCTAGGTCTGTATTGATCGGCCTGTCACCGGGTTTCCCCTTCACCAGGTATCCAGACGCTGTTATATCCTTGTCCTTGCCGTTTGTATTATGGGATCTGTTTGGTTCCATTTCACGTGTCTATTAAAGTTTCATCCTCACCAGTCCCACCCGCCACGGAGCCACAACTGGGATGCCGATGTTAAAAATCAAGGCACCAGGATTGTGGTGAGGATATAGGGGCACAGGGTTTTCCTCACAGCGCGACATCGGTAACTGCAGCTACATGGCTGGTAGTCTATCCCAACTACCAGTGGTTCCATGCAGCCTTGCTCCTTCAGCATGGCCGGAGTCCATCGCTAGGTGTTAAAGCTACCCCCACACCCCTCGCCGGCGACCCAAAGACGGTAGACGCCTTGACCGTTGCCTCGTGGTCGGCTACACCACGAAGTTGCCGTCTCGCTGGAAATCCAGGCCAAGGTGCTGTGTTGCATCCGGGGTGCCGCAGCTACCCTTTCCGCTCAAACACCAGGATCCCTTCATCCCTGCTCACGGCGATGCTGCGCAGGTCATAGCGCAGGAGAGGCTGACGCACCACCAGGCCGCCTCCCTACTCCTGGTGGATGGGGGGGGAAATCGTCTGACTGTTTCAGTTACGTCTGTTTCATAGGGAATCAGACCAATAACAGGCGGCAACCACGTGAAGCAAAACAGCCAGGCTTGTCTGGGGGTTCTACACGACCTGCGCTCGCTCCCCAGACCATTAGCCGGATTACCAGACGGGACACAGAATGGTAAAATAGGTGATGTGTTAGGTTTAGCCATCATTGAGCTATATACAAACCTAACACAACCCCCGCCCAAAACCTGCACCTTGCCGCGTGTGTAGCGCAATTTCGCAATCAGTTGGTTGGTAACTGTCACACGGAGCGCACGTATTTCGATCAAGATAGCGGCAGATCATAATGAGCATTAAGTTTGGTCTCGATTGATAGAAGTATATAAACACCGGCCCCACATGTGCGATAAAAACACAAACATTATTTATTTACAATACATTTCTCTCTTTTCTGTTGCTAATTCTTCACCCAGTATTTAGTTTTTTGCGCTAACACCATAGAAAGAGGAAAGGCCCTACCTACCGATCTTTTGATTTTTTGATAATATGTACTGGGAACATATTCAACGCGTTTGAGGAGCTCGTTGGCGCGGGTGGTCAGCGCGTTCGGCTGCGATCGTTGTGGTTAAGCAACTTTCGGAGTGGTCGGTCATTGGGTAGGTGACCAAAAATCTTCTTTCTCTCATTCCTCCGTGCTTCGGAAGGCACGTTAAGCCGTCGGTCCCGGCTGCATCTGCAGTAGTTAGCACCTGCCAATCCGCACTGGGCCCGCGTGGTGGGTCATGGCCCAATCTCCCTATTCCATCCATAGGGAAGGCCTGTGCCCCGGCAGTGGGGACATTAATAGGCTGATGATGATTCAACGTGTGTGTTTAGCTCAACTTATACCCGAACGCTGAATGGCAGGCATGTGTGTAGAGACAAGCCGATATTGCCCCTACCGTGGTGCGCTCTAGATTGGCCCTGCGGCAGGGATGTCAGTAGCCCGCTTAATACGACACGTAGACTTAAACCTGCACTAAAACAGATGTCGTCGCTTTTGTTTGCTAAAAAGAAGACAGAGACAACACTAGGTTTTAACTTTAGTCCGCGTTGTGGCATAAGGCGGATGGAGATTTTATAATACTTATGCCCGTGAATTCTATGTATGGATAATTATGTTGGTTTCCCATACAAGCTTTCACCACCTTTTCACCCCCGTAAAGAATGATTTCTAAGCTAAAAACTATTCTATGTCCTTTATTTATTTATTCTTTATTACCATAAAAACAGTAAATGGCGGACTTAATGCCATAGGCATTCTCTACCAGTCAACCAGTAAAGGTGTAGGAGATGAAATGTAATGGCGATAGAATATGAGCTACTTAGTGTGGATCATAAAAACTATCTACTATACCTAACTATTCTATAACAACAATAAATATAAAATACATATTATACCACACATATACTGATACACATATATGTTCATAAATATATATATTTATAAATAAATACATAAATAAACATACATACACTAAATTTGTAAAAAAAAGGCCTTTTCCAGGCCTCAAGCTATCTCTATATCAAATTTAATTCAGACAGACACACTTTTGCATTTGTAGCGTAGCGGTATGTTTAGGTAATTATTTTCTAACATGGTGGAACCGTCCTTCTGGCTACTGTCTATTTTGTAGTAATAACGGATTTACCACTTGAATTGTAGGCTGCGCTTGTCTGTCCAATCTTTACCTTACAAGAACACGAATAAATAACATTTTGGTCTGTTAGTTACTTAGTTTTGTGTAATCAAATAAAATATGAAATTTTAAAATGATTTGCAGTGTTTTAAACACGCGCTACGCTGACGTACAAGTGAGGTATTCAACGCCCGCCTGCTACCTGAAAGCAGTGTATGATTCCAGGTAAGTAAACGCATCAGCATAGCGATGGTAAAAGTTAAGCATCTTTCTTTAAGGCTGGTCATTGAATGGGTGACCAAAAATGTAGCAAATCTGTCCCGGTGGATTTTTCCTCTAGTAAAATTTCCTTTATATTTACGTCACAATATTTAAGAACAACATTTTATGCAGCCCTGAGCTTCAGACAAAGCAGGACGACTTCTTACCGTTCGCATACGACAGGGAGTCGTACGCGGTCGGGATGTACACCTCCCGACCGTCGGTCAAATACTTGGCTAGGGAAGGACATCGGTATTTACAGGTAAATTAACAATAATGATCGTTTATTTATTATTACACTAGCTGACTCGGCGAATTTCGTACCGCCCAAAAGTAATAATTTGCAATAAATTAAAATTGCGACTATAATTTGAGATTTAAACTATCCTATCTCTCAAGTTGGATCGAACTGCACATGGTGTGCGAATTTTATTATAATCGGTTCAGTGGTTTAAGAGTCCATTGAGGACAAACATTGTGACACGAGATTTATATATATTAAGATTAATTAGAACGCAATCTAATCCATTTACACTTATTAACAGGTATTCAATTCAATTTATTGCACTCATGTGGTTACATAGATGGTTAAAAGTTACAAAATGCATAAAGTACCTAACATGAATCCAGTCAGGGTATCGCAATATAAAAGTGTTTTATACCCACATTAAAATTACAAAAGAGAATATAATTAATAAACAATTATCTATACAAATATAACAATAACTATAAATTAGGTTCTTCAACCTAATTTGTATTACCTATACAACTTTATTTCTCAATTCATGCATAAACGTCATCTGATTTCATTAATTTTATAATATAACTTACTCAATTGATCTTATTTACAGTAGAAGTTTAATTTAGTACTATAATTTTGTAATTATTATTATGGAAATTTGATGGATAAAATTAATATACAATTTGTCAATAATTAACATTAATAAATAGGTCAATAAAAATAAAATAATATGTCATAATAATTATATCCTATAATGAAACAATAATATTCTCGCAAAACCTCAAACACACTGACAGCAATTTCTTCCATTCATCCGCAAACACATCGCATTCAGGACTGGCTCCCAGAAGTAGGGATACCATCCGTCCGGATTTGTCCGGACATGTCCGGATTTTTGCCTTTTGCCCGGACTTTTTCCGGATTTTTTTGAAGTTATACTGCTTTAGGCGCGTTATGAAAAAATTATGAGAGTGAAATTTTAAGATGCGCGCGCATCACTGTAACACAAAATTTTAACATAATGAAGTTGGTCGCTTTAGCTTTACCGGACATGTCCGGATTTTTGCCTTTTGCCCGGACTTTTTCCGGATTTTTTTAATAAGATGGAACATGAGTAAAACTACTTATTAAATTATATCAAATAAGTCAAATAATCTTTATTAAGTTCACATTAATTTAAAACAAAATATAATCATCTAATATATCTTTAAAAATCAACAACGAGACTCCCCTCGCGATGCGAGCGTCTGCTACCACGCGTATAATATTTTTTTTTTTTTTTTTTTTTTTTTATTTATAAGAAACAAACAGTCACATATGTTTACAATTGATACATAAATATTATTGGTTTCTAGACCTATAGTTTCCTTAACTAATTCAAATAATAATTGAGCCCGTAACATTGGTCAGCAATATAAATAGCAAAATTCACATTTAAACTAAAAGCAACTACACATAAGAAATGAAAGTACATACATATATATATATATATACATATATATATATATATATATAATAAGCAGCAAGGCATTTATTAAGCAAATGTCCACAAAGTAACACTTACTTATCTTACAAGCTTCAGCCTTATATGAGTTCAGCAATACTCCTTCTAAACTTATGTTTGGATGTCTCAAAGATATCAGTATTTATAAAACGCTCATTGAAAAGTGAGCAAGCTCTTTTTATAAAACTATTGCTACCGTAATGAGTTTTACTTGGCTTGATAAAGAATAATGCTTTTCTACGATTTGTTCTCTCTTGCCTTCTGAGTACACGGAAATATATTTTTTCTAATAAAGATGGAGCATCTATCTTATTATTTAGGATTTTATATAAACAATTTATATCTGTTAGATCCCGTCGGCGTTTTAAAGATGTTATATTGTGAAAGGCAAGGGAGGATTGATAATCGATGTGCGGGTTACCTGTTCTATAATCCAATGATTTTATAAATTTACGTTGTACCTTCTCAATTTTGTCCTGATGTACACGATAATAAGGATTCCACACAGGGCTTGCGAATTCCAATCGACTACGCACGTAACTGTTAAAAAGCATCTTATATGTAAGAGAACTCTTAAAAGGTTTTCCTATGCGCAATATGAATCCCAAGAATTTAAAAGACTGGTTTACTGCTTTTTCCATGTGCGGGACAAATGTAAGTCTAGAATCCATTATAACACCTAGATCTCTTATTTCTGTTACGCGATTTAAAGTTTTTCCACACAATGTATAACAGAAATTTATCGGGTTTTTTTTCCTTGTAAAAGAGATAATATGGCATTTATCTGGATTTAAAAATAAATTATTATTAATGCAGTATCTTTCAAAGTTATTTAGATCGCTCTGCAGTAAAGTACAGTCTCTAGTATCTCGTATAACTCGGAATAATTTTGTATCATCTGCATAAAGAAGAACATTAGAATTATTAATAAATGTATGTAAATCATTGACATATAAAATAAAGAGCAATGGTCCTAGGTGTGATCCTTGAGGAACACCCGAAGGTACATCTTTGTACGCAGATTGATAACCCGACAATGCTACAGCCTGACAACGATTCACTATGTATGACTTTATCCAGCGAAACAAATCGCCGTGAATACCGAGCTGCCAAAGTTTAGTTAAGAGAGTATTGTGACAGATTTTATCGAAACACTTGGCGAAGTCGGTATAAACAGCATCAACCTGAACATTGCTGTCCATTTTATCTAATAAGATCTCTGTAAAGCTGAGGAGGTTACTATCAACACCACGCTTCCTACAAAATCCATGCTGAGATTGTGCAATGAACTGCTTGACCACGCCAAGTAATTGGTCCGCGACAATTTTTTCTTGAATTTTGGCAAATTGACATAACTTTGAAATGGGGCGGAAATCCACTATATCGTGGCTAGCAGAACCCTTAGGAATTGGTGTTATTAGTGCGCGTTTCCATTCATGCGGCACAATACCGTTGCTGAATGACAACTTAAAAATGTGCAGCAGAGGGGCAGTTAATGAGTCAGCACACTTCTGAATAAACAAAGGGTGTATACCATCTGGACCCGTTCCTTTATTCGTGTTAATACCTCTTAAGTATTTACTTAATATTGTCTCTGAGATATCTATAGTAGCCACATCCAACAAAGCGTTACTCGGTGGATCCGTCGAAAGAATGGTAGGGTTTTCTGATGTGCTACTTACAAAAACTGAGTGAAAGTGTTCACTAAAAAACTCACAAATACGTTTCCCATCACTACTACTCTGTCCTTTATAGTGTAGTAACTCCGGTATCCTACTATTAGCCTTAACACCTTTTACGTATGTCCAAAAATACTTAGGGTAAGATTTAATTTTGAGTTCTGCATAACTTATGTAATTTTTGAAACATTCTCTCTCCATGTGTTTTGATCTTTTTCGTAAAAGTTTAAAAGTTTCATAATCTAAAGGATTCCCATACAACTTCCAACGCTTATGAAATTTTCTTTTTTCATTTAAGAGTTTTCGCAGGGGCTTGGTATACCATATAGGATGGGTACTGTTGGATGTGATTAATTTTTGGGGTACGTATTTCGTTATAAGATCATTTAAAAGTAAGTAAAATTTAGAAACGCATTCTTGCAAGGTTAAGTTCTTGAAATATTCTTTCCAGTTCACACTTTCCAGCTCATCATTTATCAGATGATAGTCTGCTTTCACAAAGTTATACCTAAAAGTCGGTGCTGGCTTAAGCTCAGAGAAATTATTTATATTTAAACAAATTTGTAAAGATTTGTGATGTGAGTCTTCGTGAGTTAGAGGATGTGAACAACTATAAATATCACACTCAGTGCTACTTAATACCAAATCCAATATTCTATTATTAACATTTTTAATTCCATTATATTGCTGCAAATTACTGAAAGACATAAAGTGCCTCAAAGTGTTGACTGAGACGTCACCACTACCTTGAAGCAATTTACTGGGGGTGCTAGTATCAAGCCACACCGCACTGGAAATGTTAAAGTCACCCGCCAATAGATAAAGGTCATGTGGGCGTTCATTTAAAATATCACCAGCCACGCTAAAAAAGCCCTCCAAGGCATCACGGTAACCCGGACCGTGCGGTATGTATATACAAGCAATGTTCAGGTGTTTGCTGCGAGCTGCATTCAACGGTATAGATACCCAAACACAGTCGCAAGAGGCGCGCGGCGGGACTGGCCAGGCTCGGCACAACGGCCGCAAGTCAGTGCGCACGGCGACAGCGACGCCGCCACCACGTCTCGCACTGCTATCAACCTGCGCGCGGTCACACCTGTATATAGTATATCTGTTATCGAAATATTCTCTATCGTAAAAATCGGGAGTCAGCCAACTTTCGGTTATACATATGAAATCATAGGCAGAAGCAGTTACCTGTGTCAGGAAATCATGTGATTTTGTTCGCAAGCCCCTAACGTTCTGGTAATAACCTAGTAGTTTCTTTACGGACGGACCGGATTGTTTAAGATACAAGTATGAGATAGGTACTGATAACAACAACGAATCACAACACTGAAATGATTTTTAATAGGAACTTTCATTAGGTAAGAGAAATACTTTATCAACAGAAAGTGATTTATAACAAAAAAATGGACGCATAAGGCTAGTGAGAACAAAATTTTTAGACCTATGAAAACATAATTTACTGTAGAATTTGATATGGTTAAAATTATATAAATTATATAAAGTACTGGGCTGACATATAAAATAAATAAATATGTAAGAGGGAGTTTGCTGCACTCATTTATCATGAAATCTAATAATAAATATGAAGCTATGAGAACATAATATACTGAGTAATTAAAGTAAGTTAAACATTTATATAGTGTTTTGCTAGTACATATGACAAAGAATCGTTCAAGAAGTCATTTAAGCTTAGACAGATCTGATTCACTGGTTATGGTTATAACCTTTGACTCCTTGCTCTTGCGCATAAATATCTTGCAGTCCCTTATCCACAAAAAGGAATACTCCAAATCGGATTTTAGCTGCCGAGCTCTTTTCAATAGAAGTTTGTTCCCTGGAGTTAGGTGATCGGACACATAGATATTTTGTTTAGGTCCCGACAGACCAATGTCCACGGTGGAAAGTGATCGTCGCTCTCGAACTGCAGCTAAAAGTTTATCTTTAGCGATACGGCGCGTGAATTTAACAACTATGGCTGGAGGTCGTGGGCCGGTCGAGTTAGCGTCCGCCGCCGCCGAACCGCTGATTTCAAAACGCCTCACACGCACTACGCTATCTATGTCTTGTTCACTCAGCGAGCAGTTAACTTTATTACTGATGACATGCAATAGGGTGTAGAGGTTTTCACCAGCAGTAACGGGGATTCCGGAAATCTCCACGTTGTTCATACGTGAGAACTGATCCCGTTTATGATTTTCGAGCTCAAGTGCCGCAATAGCGTTTTTCGCAGAATCCAAATCAGCTTTCAATTGCGGTATCACAGAAGATTTTTTCTCTGTTTCTATAAGTCTGTCCTCAATGGCGCTAAATCGAGATTCCATCTCACAGAATTTTTTATTCAATTCCTGTATTGCCGTAGTAAAATTTTGGATGTTGGTATTCAATGAGGCAAAGTCGCCACGGAACGCTCTCATCTCCTTAAGGACATCGGCTATACTTGCCTCAGCGTTCGCTGGGGAATTGGACGAACCCCCCACTCCCACACACTGCTCAACAAGATCGTCGCAGGACATGTCTGCATCTGTCGATACCTGCTCAAACTGCCGCCTCGTAGGTGTTTCATCTCCTTTAGGACGTCTGGATGTCATGTTACAAGTGGGACAGATCCATTTGTTCTTAGTGGCCATGTATGCCTGCGGTGACATGTTTAAACATTTGTAGTGATAATGTCCCTTACAACCCACACAAGTCAATACCTCTATACGATTAATCTTATTCTTACAGGCTTGGCAATCCATGGTAATAAAAAAAAAAATGTGTTGGTATAGCCAAACAAGTGATTCTATCAAGTTGTATCTTATAGAGTTATTATCAGCACAAACGCTTCTGCGATGCTTAATCTTTGCACGATGACACAAAATACGGTTTGATGATACGCCGCGGCAAAACGCAAGCGAAACTCGCACTTATCACTACACGCGCACCACGGAGCAGCGACTCCAATTCGCTTGCACAGCCTCTGACTCACAAAATAAGTGAAGGTAACGACACAATATGATCACAGCAATAATCGCTGCAGAATTTTTTATTGACGTGACAACGTCTTAAATTAGGTTGCGGCTGGGAGTCACTTATGAAAAAGTGTAACGCTCGGTAACGTTACGATGAGTCTCTCGTGTTAAGTTTAAGTTTACATGTACAATCGTGTCAATTCTGGCGTGCATCTCCAAACTTAAAACTAAATTAAAGGTCAGTCTCACCTTTTCATTCTGTATAGAGAAGGACAAGGATGCACTGTTGTCAAATTTAAGTTTAGGTTTAGAGAATCATGCCAGAATCGACATCAATGTTTTAGTAAACAAAATATATTTCTATAGTTAAAATTTGTGCAATTCTTATTTTCATTCAATTCCTTGTTCCTATTGTGCAATTTAATTATATTCATATCAATAAATATTCTACCGAGAAAAAGACGTTGTCACGTAAAATCTTCGCCCGTAAAACCGACTTTACAGGCAACCATTTTTTTAAGTAATTTATCGGCACTAGCACTCGGAAACTAATTTAAAAAAACGTTTAATACGATATATTTCATAAAAATAATGTATAAAAGTTGCACAATAGACACTTTTTTATTAATTTAAGTTGGAGCTCTTAATAACAAAGACTAATCCAATAACCGGACGGTCAAAGATCAAAATATCACTGTAACTAAGTGGGTGATGTTTGTATTTTGTGATTAAAATGTCCGGACTTTTATCGAAATATCCGACTTTTTGTCAGGACTTTTCAAATTTTTAAGTAGCAACCCTACCCAGAAGGGCATTGAGTGCAGTGAGGGTGCGTGGGATGAATGATCTTATACGAGCAATTATTAAACTGAAACAGCAAATAATTTGTGTCTTCTACTGCGACCATAGTTATTGGGCACAAGAAGTCGCAAAAGCACCTTGGTGCTTCTAAATATCCTACGATATATTTTGCTCATTGTTATCAGCCGATCATCAAGCCCTCGCACCTCTAAGGAGTTATAATCCTAGCAGGCTAACAAGTATATGTAAGAGTAATAGCCGTAAATAGCCTTAAAAACCGAAGAAAGGCTTTCTCAATCTTTTCCAGCATATGTGTTATTAATATTAACTTTCGTAATTAGGATGCCAAACACACGCGCTAGTTTCAAGTTTAGTACGTACCTAAGTTTTGTTAATCAGTTTGATCACACTAGCGTTCCTGAAATCCCGCGAATGTTGGAGTACTAAATCCAGACGCCTATATGATTCCAGGGTGAGAGCAACTATGTGATCATGAAATGTCAGCCGAAGTGAAACCTAAGTCTATACTAAATAAATTACTGCTATGCCAGCTAAAGTATTGACATATAATTATATTTTGGAAGTTAAGAAACATTGAACGTAAAACTTCAATATCAAATCAGATTTCAGATAATATAGAAAACAAATTAGGCGACAACACCTATTTCAAGTATTGTTAGAAAATACGGCCACCTAAAGCCGTACACAGAAAGAAAGCTGGAAGACGAGCAGCGCTTAGCAGCACTGGTCCTTACTGGTAACAGTTACATGAAGAAAGCAGATTGTAGCCCAGTTGTTCATTAATTTCAAAGGGCGGTGCCAGCGCTGACCAGCGCGTGTCGAAGATTGTCGGCGACGTTCGGCGCTTATCGATGCTGGTCCATAGAAATGCCTGTACCGGTTACCTGCGCGAACCGGTTCCTATAAGCGCTGGTAGGCTACCAGCTTTCTTTCTGTATACGGCCTTAGTCTTTATTGGATAATTTCCTATATAAATAAATTAATTCCTTCTCATTTTTCTCAGATAGCTAAACAGCTACAAGTGATGGCACGGTTGCCAAACAATGACAAAATTTTTGAAGAATACCACTGGATTAATGGTAAGTAGTAATTAAATTTTTACTACTGAATATTATTATTGATTCACAATAATTAATTTTCTTTCATCGCAGGTGCATTTCAAGATCACAACATTATAACGGGCGAGATGCGGCACTACGTGTACAAATATTACGTAGACCGCATGAACAAAGCCACGAATATGGTCGTCACCAACATATTAGAGACGGGATTTAAGTAAGATCATACTGAAGCAGCTTGTCATATAATATAATATGAAACGCAGTGGTCAGTCATTGGATGGGTGACCAATGATTTACTATCTCTCACTCCTCCGTGCTTCGGAAGGCATGTTAAGCCGTCGGTCGTGGCTGCATCTGAAGTCATTAGTAATAACCAATCCACACTAGGCACCCGTGGTGGGTCATGGCCCAATCTTCCTATTTCATCTTTAGGAAAGGCCTGTGCTCCAGCACAGAATGATAAATACAAAACTGTTGAATTTTCCCAAACCATTTTTAACCTTAGTAGGTAGGTATAACTTTCAAAATTAGGGTGAGAGATGGCGCTGCCTTGCAGCCTAAGACTAGAGAAAATTCGACACGGCCGTCAGTGCCGCGGTAGCATAACGGTCAGTGTATTTGCCCGGATAGCGAAGGGTGCGGGTTCGAGTCGTCTGCTGCCTGGTCCGCGTGGATTTTTTTCTAGTAAAACTTTTCTTTAGATTTAAACATCTAGCAGTTAAAGGCTTAAAAAACATAACTAAAATTGATTTACTTTTATTATTTATATTTTCACAGTATACTGAGGAACAATACTGCGGGTAATCAAGCAATGATTAGGTGCAAACTGAACGTATCCCGGTGTCATTGTACAGAAGGAAAACACATGTTTGTGAGTAGATATTATTTATAGGTCTATAGGAACTTACAACGTTTTTAAATATTCATAAAATGAAGTAAAGTGTAATCAAGATGAATTACAACAATTTATTACCGACATTTTAAGAAAAACTGTTCTTTGTATTTCAGATAGTAGTATACAATCCGCTTGCCTGGCCCGTCTCTATGCCGATTAGATTGCCGATGTTTCAAGTTGAACAAGTCGTTTACGATCCAAAAGGTACATTATTATCATACCTATTTAACAGAGGCCGAAGCACGAATTTTAACAGCTCCGTAATCGTATCGTATCGTCAATGTTTCTATCTTTGTTTCATCAGCATAACTAACCCTTTATCTTTTGTATAAAATTTTCTCTATTTTCCCACCCCTGAGAATATGTTCGGTGCAATAACCGAACATTTATATGTTTGCATACTTGCAATAATTGAAACCGTCACGGCGCCTGGCCTAATTTAGGTCATTAGCCGCGCTTAGGGTTACCATCCGTCCATATTAGTCCCGACATGTCTGGACTTTTAGACTATAGTCCGGACTTTGCCCGGATCTTTAATTTTCCGTATTTTTAAATTACATTGAATATGAATAATAAAAGTACATATTAATTTAAATACCATACCATTGTAACTAAGTGAGTAATGGTACAATTTTGTGACTAAAAAGTCCGGACTTTTTCGATATGTCAGGATTATTTCAGGACTTTTAAAATACCTAGATGGTAACCCTAGTCGCGGTGCACAGCGAAAAATATAAATAAGTGTAGATTTCGACGCCTATGTGAATGCACTTACTAACATATTAACATTATGGTAGTATTAAACAAGTAATAAACACGTAATTTTCGGTAACAATTTTATCATTTCTACATCCACTAAGCTCGCCTGAGCTTTAGTTTTAGCGTTAGTGCTTACTAACAAAAACTAAAAGGCCTTATCGGACGTAAGAACAAACTATCTTTTCCATACAAGATTTATCGATATACGATACTTTACGGAGCTGTCAAAAGCTCGTGCGTGGGGGGCCTCACATACAAAATAATGGGACTGACGTCAGAATAAATGGGATATTGTGTATCGAAAATATAATGGATGTACAATGTCAACGTACATTATATCTCTTAATTAGTCAAGGAGTTTTAATTTAATATTTACCGCCCACATAAAGACTGCCTGCCCCCGCAAGGGGACGCTTTTGTACACTTTGAGAAACTGGTCTATACATAATATACAATATGACAGCCGCTTACATCAGAGTTGCACCTGGACCGAATGAATGTTCTTTAGTCTTCAGATTTATATCTAGTGCTTAGGTATGATCATGATCATCATCATCAGCTTATTAATGTTCCCACTGCTGGGGCACAGGCTTTCCCTATGGAAAAAATATTGTGATTGGGCCATGACCCACCACGCGAGCCCAGTGCGGATTGGCGGGTGCTAACGACCACAGATGCAGCCGGAACCAACGGCTTAACGTGCCTTCTGAAGCACGGAGGGACCCGAGTTAGAAGATTTTTGGTCATCCATCCAATGATCGACCACTGCGATAGTTAAGCAACTTCAACGATCGCAGCCGAACGCGCTAACCATCCACGCCGTTGCGCTCCTTAAGTTTGATACATTTGATAAAATGGATGGTCGTTAAAGGCCTGATGGTGATGAATAGTGTTCCCGATTTGCGCGGGACGTCCCGATTTGTACCTGATCGAGACCACAAATGTCCCGATTAATCCAAAATAGAAATTTAGGTAATTAACATAATACTATACTTGCACTAGTTTAAAACGCAATAAATTAAACCCAGACTTAAAAACCCTTCTTTTTGTTTACTGTCCCGATCTGCAACCCTAAATCCCTATTTTTTTGACCTCATGTACCGATTTAAAACAAATCGGACCTAGCAACACTAGTGATGAATGGTACTTATCTTCTATTTATTTTATTAACCGACGACGAAAAAAGCGGAGGAGATTCTCAAGTCGACGCGTATATTTTTTTATCTTGACCACGCATAACTTTTTACGGAGTAGTCCGATTTTCATAACGCTTTTTTTATTGGAAAGGATGTACCCCGAAGTTCGTCACACATAGGGTTACCATTTAGGAATTTCAAAAGTCCTGACAAAAATATTGACATTGCGAAAAAAGTCCGGTCTTTTTAGTCACAGAATGGTATCATTATTCACTTAGTAACAATGGCATGGTATTTAAATCAATATGAACATTTATTATTCATAATCAATGTAATTTAAAAATTCCGGACAAAATTAAAGATCCGGGAAAAGTCTGTACTATATAGTCTAAAAGTCCGAACATGTCCGGACGGACGTTAACCCTAGTCCTATATGAATAAAGAAACAAAAATCCTACACTAAGGGAGGGAAAATAGGGGTTAGTGGGTCGGGACTGTTCACTCACACATTTTGATGCCGAGTTGTAGGTATACTACAAAAATTATAGTCACAAAAAAATTAAAATAAAAACTTTATAACAAAAAAATACAACAACAAAAAAAAATTTTGTGTGTCAGCATTTTTAGAGTGTAAACTCCGGTCGTGCGTCGGAACGCACGACCGGAGTTTACACTCTAAAAACGATTGTCTTTGAACAGACACAAAACAAAATCAAGTCCGAAGAAGTTCACTGTTCACTCACACATTTTGATGCCGAGTTGTAGGTATACTACAAAAATTATAGTCACAAAAAAATTAAAATAAAAACTTTATAACAAAAAAATACAACAACAAAAAAAAATTTTGTGTGTCAGCATTTTTAGAGTGTAAACTCCGGTCGTGCGTCGGAACGCACGACCGGAGTTTACACTCTAAAAACGATTGTCTTTGAACAGACACAAAACAAAATCAAGTCCGAAGAAGTCGGTTACAAGTAGAGATACTTCAGGAATCGTCCCATGGTTTCCAGGGGCGGTTTACGAAAACGGGCGCCCTAGGCCCGACGAAATTAGCGCCCCCTCTCCCCTCTCCATAAAATAGTTGAAAAAGCACAGGCTAGAATAAATGATTTTTATACACTCCCGCTCAAAAGTATGGGTTCACGTCTCGAAATTTTCAGCTTCGGTATAAGTTCCATATCTTGGTGGAAAAAGGTCGTAAGAGAATTTAATGAGCACCGTTTTGAAGGGGACAGTTTTAGCTTCACTTTGCCATTTTTTATAATTTTTTACAATTTTTTTTATAGTCCCCACGCGCTTTTGAACATGGCAGTTTTTCGATGTTTTTTTGTCCTCTGGGAACGGGCTGTCTGGCTGTTAAAAAATTTTCCTTGCAATTTTATCCATCGCAGTTTGAAAGAGGATATTAAACACTGCATTTTCGTTTTTGAAAAAGTATCGTGCGATTTTTTTTACCAAAAATATTCTAATTTTTGACAAAAATTGATAATTTTATTCAATTCGGCGTATCTTGAAAACGGCGGGTGATCGAAGAAAATAGCAAGAGGGTGAAAAGTTGCAATAGATCATGATGGACATGGTAGATTTATTTCAGAATTTTTTTCCGACATTTGTTTTTCCATACTCGTGGAGTCGAAATGATTTTAATTTTCCCATGATTCTTTCTTTTTTCTAAACGGCTGAGGCATTGCTTTTATTGGTTTCATCTTCATCTTGACGTAATTTGAACTGCGAATGTTTGAAAAATTCGAATGCATCTTACGCACGCTCGGTCATACGCAATACGCCATATTCGTTTTCCCGGTAAAAATATGGTAGCATACCAGTACAATATGGCGTCGGATTCGTGACGTCATTACCACTCATTAACTTTTTAGTTACCACACTTTCTTAACTTTGTACGTATATATCAAGGTCGTTATACCAAACCATACCGCGATGTAGTTGTATGAACAGAGCCATCTGTTAATAAAAAACTTACTAACCATGCACGTATATGAACGTACCTATTCTAAAGAAATATCAGATTACTTCTGTCCAATTTTTACGTTTTTTAAATTATGTTAATATATATTTTGATAATTATTATTATGAAAGTTCGTTTCACTTCTGACATGCGTACTTTGTACACACGCTGTTTTTTTTGGTTAAAGTGTGTTATTAATCACTATCAGGTAAGAAAGTTAGAGCGGGACAGATAGAGTTGCCGGAGCCCGTGCGCGAGATCCCGGAGAGGCAGAGCCGCGCAGACTTCGAGCTCGTCTTCATCGCTGAGGACCTTCCGCCCATGGGGATAAGGTTGGTATTCCACTACCAACAGAGTTAGTGAAGTTATACTTGTGGAACAGCTAAATTTAAATCCAGTTTTAACATTATGATCTTTTTGTATGGACTAAATTTAGTTTGAGGTCAATGGAGATTTAGCAAATCAGGAGCCCGATGGCGCGAATGGTTAGCGTGTTTGGCTGCGATCGATGAAGTTGAGCAATTTTTGCAGTGGTCGGTCATTCGATGGGTGGCCAAAAATCCTTTGACTTTTAAAAGTCAAAGAGCAAAACAAAGAAATTTGGTGACTCATTTCTTTGTCGTACTTTTCGTAAGTGGAATTCTTTGCCCGCGCACGTGTTCCCTCCTTCCTAAAATCTGGGGTCCTTTAACAGAGGCGTGAAGAAGCATTTTTGCAGGCCGGCAAGGTGAGGATGGTTGGTGTGACAGTTTATAACTGCTGTACCAGCTATCTTCGCATTTGGACTTTATCACCACTTAACATCAGGTGGGTAGAGTCATTTGCCTACCTGGCTCTAGAAAAAATAAAAGAAAAGAGCATCTCCATATTGAATCCATTGACATTAATGATCTGCTTCAGTGGAATCTCCCACTGGAGATGATGAGGTATGCGTCACGAATTATCCTGACATTGAAAATCTTATTTCCAGATCCTACTATCTACAAAGACGCCAATTAGGCTGGGAACGTCCAAAAAGGTCTCCCAAAGTCCACAACAAGAAGAATAAGAAAAAGAAGAAACTCCACTCACGATCATACTCTCCATTGAACGTAGACACCGCAGTATTCGACGAACTAGTAGACTACGAATATTTCGAAGACGCAACCACTACAGAAGCTTACAATCCAGATACCAAAACCGAAATAAATGATGTTGCAACAAGTATTGATAATGATGACGTTACCATAACTTACAATAGTGCAACCACTTCAAAAAATATCATTAACACAACTTCCAATAGTGAGACTACCACAAAAGTTGAGATACTTGACAAAACAACTAAAAATAATGAAGAGACTTTAGACAATAATGATAATACAATTGACTCAACAACTAGCAATGTCATTACTACAATTACAATAGAGAAAGGTTCCTTAAACTATGGCAATTATTTAATTGCAACAACTCCTAACAATGATATTACTACAAGTTCAACAGAGTATCAAAGCACTAGTATAGCTAATGCTAATTCAACATTTAATGTTAAAGAAGTAGATACAACTACCGAAGCTGTATTAACAACAAATATTACAAAAGAACTAGTAATTAGCAGCGTAAGAAACGACGTAGCAGACAATGAATCAATAATTTTGCCACCAGTTTTAAACAAAGATGCTACTGATAAAGAAGAATTAGTCACAACACCATCTATGGTAAAAGATATAGTAACTAGAACTCTGGCTAATACAGAAGAATCAGTTACAAGAACGGCAATTCCTACTAAAAGTGAAAAATACGCAACAGATGTACAAAGCACTGTAAAAACTGATAAAGTTACGCCTAAATTGAGAGCTTCGGGTTTTCTTAGTGATGAGGGGAAGCAAGATTATAAGACGAAATCTCAAAAAACAGATGATGACGTTGACACTGATGATGATAGGGATTGGGCCGGCTATCCATCTTATATAATGAACGAACACTCATACATAAGGAATAGGGTAAGGTTTTTTATTATGAATGCCTAACTATAAATATGTAGTAAGCTAGTGTTACAGTAACCAGAATCAACGAAGATACCACCAACACCCAGACCTGACTGACTACTGGGACTTTTATTTATTTACAAGGTGCAACAATTTATTTCGACGCTATGAAATAAGCCTATGCCACTCAAAAATAAAGTTTCTTTCTACTAGTGAAATAATTTTTAAAATCGCTGACTTATGTGTTTTAGAAAATTCTGTCCACAAATATCCACCTTAAAATTCGAGAGCTAAACAACGTCTTTGCGAAATGTTAGTAGCGACTGCCAATGAAGAACAAAATCGCTTAACTACCACTTTGGTCGAAAATGAGTAAATATCATTTTAATCTTTTTTCTGAGTCCATCTGTTTGTTTCGGGAAGATTAATAAATTTTGGCGCTTAAGCAACTCAATTTTTTGAAGATTTTTATTGTTCACAGCGCTGAAGCGACATAAATTTAGGTATTTTTTTTTAACCAATGGCGCTTTCGCCCTACTATTTGGCGTATGATTTGATGTTTGCTTGACAAAAAAAATATGGCGTGCCGAGTGATATTCGCTTAAGCGAGATCTAATTCGTAAAGTAAAGGCACTACGGGTATGTAACTTTTGTATAGGAGGATATTTAGAAACTATTATTTTATGAATACCTATGCTTTTATTTTTATGGCGCTTCTTCATATTTTATGATGAGTTATATTTCTTTTTGTGAACAAAAATAACTTTGATCCTCGTTTCTGTTAAGATACTAAAGTGGCGTTTAAGCGATATTGTTTTTCCACTAAGCTTTTTAAGCATTTAACTGCTATAATGTTTATATCTAAAGAAAAGTTTACCTACAATGCGAAGAGATGGCGCTGCCTTACAGTCTTAGGCTCGAGAAAAATTCGACACGGTCGTCAGGGCCGCGGTAGCATAATGGTCAGTGCATTCGCCCGGATAGTGGAGGGTGCGGGTTCGAGTCCCGCCTGCTGCCTGGTCCGCGTGGAATTTCTTTCTATAGTTCATTCGCGTTAAGAAAATAGTGACTCATCACCGACTGCCGGCCAAGCCACGCCCCCTAGCCAATTAAAACGCTAGAAATTAGTAAGGCGAGTTCACAGTGCTCAGTTGAAGTCAGACCTTCGAACTGATCGGTTGTGTATTTTGCGTACTACTTGTTTAAAATTAAATTTGGAAAATGGATATCTCACCTATTAAAAAAAATAAAAGTGGATCAATTATACATAGCGGAGAGAGACGCGTAATTTACAATGTTTATAAATATTTCAAACAGATTGATTTAAATGAGACTGTGGAGAGCATAGTAATTAAAACTGCAAGTGCATGCGGTGTGTCCGAAAACACTGTTTATAAAATTATAAAAGAACAAAAAGAAACGAATACATTGAAATCACCTGTGAAAAAAAGAGCTCGACTATCCACGGTCGATAAATTAGATGAACTAGACAAATGTGCAATAAGGAGAAAAGTACACTCTATATATTTAAATAACGAGTATCCAACATTGGACAAAATAATAACACTTTGCGAAGCTGATGAAGATATTCCTGTTTTCAAACGTACAACACTTCACAAAATACTGCACGAGCTTGGTTTTGACTTCAATAAACAAGATAGTAGAAAATTGTTAGTGGAAAGAGAAGATATTGTTTTATGGAGGCGAAAATATTTAAGACAAATAAAAGAATATAGAAACGCTAATAAAACCATTTACTATCTCGACGAAACGTGGGTAAACGCCGGACACGTAAAAACAAAAGTGTGGTTGGATACAACAATCAAGAATAAAAGACAAGCTTTCCAAGATGGCTTATCAACCGGCCCAAAAGCTCCGACAGGGAAAGGGAAAAGGTTAATTATATTGCACATTGGCAGCGAAAAAGGATTCCTGGAAGATGGTTTACTAGTCTTTGAATCTAAATCTACAAAAGATTATCATGAAGAAATGGATGGTGAAAGATTCCTTAATTGGTTCAATGGTTATAGTAAACTTTTCTTTAGATTTCTCTATGATATTTCAGTTTACCAGACTCAACTTAGATGTTAACAAAAGAGTTGTGAACGTATCTCTAGCCAACGGAATCAAGATCAAACTGGACATACAAATGTATTACTACGTGTCAGACGATCCAAAGAGGATGAACAGAACCAGTAGACCGCCTGGGGCGTATCTGTTAAGGACTATGGACGACAAACCGGAGATTCTAAACGATTATAAAGGAAATGTTTATAAGAATCAAGTAGTACAAGAAGTTCATTTAAGGTTAGGACCTCTTCTATGTTTATTATTTACTGTATGGATTTTCTTTCTGGCAATCTTTTCTTTAGAGGAGCTCGATGGCGCAGGTGGTTAGCGCGTTCGGCTGCGATCGTTGAAGTTAAGCAACTTTCGCAGTGGTCGGTCATTGGATGGGTGACCAAAAATCTTCTTTATCGAGTTCCTCTGTGCTTCGGAAGGCTAACGTGCCTTTCCGTTGGTCGTTGGTCCCGGCTGCATCCGCGCTGGGCCCGCGTGGTAGGTCAATGCCCATTCTCCCTATTCCTTCTATCCATCCATAGGGAAGGCCTGAAGCTCCAGGACGCCATTCGCCTAAAGGAATTGCTTTGGAAAACGCTATCGCTTACGATTTCATTTTCTTATTTCTGACCGTCGAAGGTTTTCAAAAACTCAGCAATTGACTTGACAGACGGACGGACGGACAACAAAGTGATCCTGTAAGAGTTCCGTTTTTTCCTTTTGAGGTACGGAACCCTAAAAATACCCAAAGTAACCTTTCGTCGCGTACGCTACGGAATTCATTGACAATAGAGCAAAGTGATGTACTAACAATAAATAAATAAAGTTTCGTGCATTAACCCGTAAAAACTAGTTTTATTTGATGTACTAAAGTTTTATAGCGGACATAAATATTTACAAAAAAATCACTAATACCATACGTCTAACTAAATTACAGTTTTGTCACAACTAGAGGTTCCCTGCGGTTTCACCCCGCGTTGTTTTGAGAGAATTTGAGGGTAAAGGTTAGTGAGTCAAACTTAAAAGATGGACACATGCTGCCGCGAAATTATTTATGGAACTTTTAAAGACAAACAATCCTGTCATACATGATTTTAGTGCAACTTTAACCTTTTACACAGCTCACAAATGGAACATTTTTACCCATTTTTGGAACATTGTTCATTGATTGTCCACTCCTACTGGTAGCGTGATATAGGTGTCGATTCTAGCATGATTCTATAAACCTAAACTTAAATTTGACAGTAGTATATCCTTGTCATTATCTATACCCAATGAATAGGAGAGACTGATGTTAAATTTAGTTTTAAGTTTAGAGAATGACGCTAGAATCGACACCATTATATACCTATAGCAGTATAGTCTACATCGAAGCGAAGCGAAGGCGAGCCACTAGTTTTCATATCAAATATTTCATATAACATTTTCCCCAAACCTCATTTAAATGAGTGATGTGTGCGCTGTTCCATAAACTAACCTAACATTAGGCGGAGCAAAAGGCAAAGGGGATGCTTTATGCACTGCCTAATATAGGTTAATTAAAAGAATTTCCTTTTTTTTCTTAATTTATTCATGGAAACAGGTCCTTCAGTCGTATACATAAATACAAATCTTAATCTTCTTTTTTTTATATAAGAATGTCGGTGTGACGCATTCTATTGTTTCTTGGAGTGTTTGGCACGAAATGTATCGAGTTGGTTTTTTCGATAAGCTTCTGTGAGGTAGTCCACACTACAATAAAGTTCTCACGTCCACTTGACCGGAATAGCGTATATTTTAAAGATTCCACTAATTCTTCAGTTGCGCAAATGGTTGTAACACAAAATTACACCAATTTTATTCCACAATATCCACTATGAACGAATTTAAGAATAATTAAAATAAGATGCCAACCGCGCTCGATGAAATCCCGCTAAAAACTCTAAAAGAAGTTTCTCTTCAAGTGTGTGGTCCGTGCACACAAATTTTTCTTTGGAATAAATTCTTCATTTTCCTATTTGTTTCAACACAAATCTTGTGTTTTCTTACAGGTATTCAAGCTGGGCATCTTTGGCTCTGCGATTGTACTCGCACAGTCCAGTGTTGGAGGTAGACTGGTTGGTGGGTCCGATCCCTATCACTGATGGACTGGGTAAGGAAATGGAGTTGTTATTAAGAAAATTAAAATGCCAATCTTTAAAAAAATATTTCAAACCAGCGGCCCGCCCTCGCTTCGCTTCGGTTTTCATACAAACTTTCATCCCCTATTTTATCCCCTTGGGGGTAGAATTGATCAAAATCCTTTCTTAGCGGATGCCTACGTCATAACATCTACCTACCTGCATGCCAAATTTCAGCCCGATCCGTCCAGTGGTTTGGGCTGTGCGTTGATAGATCACTATGTCAATCAGTCAGTCATATTTGAGTTTTATATAAATTTCAAATTCAAATAGTAAGAACAATTTCAACTCTTTTTGTATAGCAAGTCTAACCTTTTTTTGAAAAAAACAATCTAAGCCAATTATTACCAACTAGCTGCGGCTCGTGGTGTTACCCGCGTTTTATTAGGGATTTTTTTCCGCAGTAACACGTAGCCTATGTATTAATCCAGGGTGTCAGCTAACTCCATACCAAATTTTATTAAAATCGCTCCAGCCGTTTAGGCGTGAAGAAGTAACAGACATGCACACTCACAAACTTTCGCCTTTATAATAAAAGTGTGATTCAAGAACTGTTTTAAATGATAGTGGGGATAGTATCCCAAAAAATTTTACGAATACTGACGACAATAGTTAGGGCAATTTATAAACATTTTTTTGTTTCAATTAATAAATGCTGGAATAGACTAAGGATAAGTTATTTGTTTCTTAGGTTTTTTACGCACAACACTCATTAAATAAAACTAGTTTGTTGGTGGGGACCAAACCATTACATTAGATTTGATAAACCACAGATCCTAGCGGCTGAGCAGCGATTCGTTCCTCGAATGATGCGCGAGGCTATTGAGATTAAAAAATATCCAAATTTCAATAGGGAAGATGGTTGGTGTGTACCACCGGCTTGGGAACCCATTATACAAGAGATAAAATCCCAACCCTGAGCACACATTTCAAGACCAACAGATACTATTAGATCTTTTTGTTTGCATAATTTAACATAAGAAGGAGATAGAAAGCCTCTATGAGTTGAGTGTTTCGCCGATTCTTTTCAGAAAGGTCTCCCAATTTTGGAACCGGTGGTAATTTACGATAGTTAGGGTCAAATAAATAAACTCGAAATAAAAAAAAAAAATTTAAATAAAGTACTTATTCCTACATAGACAATAAAGTTTTGAAAATCTTCCAATGAAATATCCGAACGCTGAATAAAAGTCTTTCGAAGGTAGCTCGACAAAGTAAATAAAAAATCATTATTCCGACGATGCAGACCTGAAAAGGCTGCGAAACGTCAATAAATAAATAAAGTTCGTGCATTAACCCGTTAAAACTAGTTTTATTTAAGGATAAGTTATTTAAATGCGATCGTGGAAGTAACATTGGATATTTGGATGGGTGACCAAAATTGTATTATCTTTCAAACCTTCGTGCTTTGGATGGCTCTCTAAGCCGTCGGTCCTCAGTGCTTCAGAAGGCTCAAGAAGCCCTCGTTCCGGGTTCTCTGATGTCTTTAGCACCCACCAATCCGCACTGGGGTCGCGTGGTGTGCCATTGGCCGGTCTCCCTATTCCAGAGGAACGGCCTGTGCCCCAGCAGTGGGGGCATTAATCTTCTGATGATTATGATGGTGACACTTTAATTTTCTGTCCCTTTATACGATCTCGAAATAAGGAATGCCTATACCCCGGGAGTGGGAACAGTATTCTTACAACTTCTTACAACCTTGGATCCTTTAAAAGATGCGTGAAGAAGCAACATGCCGGCAGGGTGAGGATGGCTGGTGTGGCAGGTAGAACTGCTGTATCAGCTATCTTCACGTCTGGACTTCACCTTCACTTAACATCAGGTGGGGTGGAGTCATTTGTCGGACCTATCTAAAAAAAAAGTATTGACTGATCAGATGATGATGGATATCTTGTCTAACAGGCAAAGAAGTTCTGATCAAGTACACCACTGACTTGGCGAACGACGGAGTCTTCTACACAGACTCCAACGGAAGACAGACCATGAAGAGGATCAGGAATATGAGACCCATGTTTGATCCAGTCAACAAAGACCCTATAGCTGGTAAAGTATTATCTTGTGCTTATAATAGGGGAGCCCAAGCGGGGATTTTTGGATTTACCTACTTGATCTAGGGATGTCGAAAGTTGAAAAAAATATCGATATATCGATACATCGGTCTTTTAAAAAATATCAATATCGGCTTCGATATATCGCGAAAAAAACATCGATATATCGATATATCGGACCAATTTTCCCAAAAATATCGTACTAAATATCGTAATAGCTCACGAAATATGACACGCGGAATAATAATGGAACGAAAATTATCTCCCTAAAAATAGACCCTATTTTCGAATAGAGAGAACAGAGAATACTAAATACAGCACAGATCATAGACATGTTGAATATCATTAATCTGAGATCCAGTTACGATTTTTCCAGATTCGAATTTAGTTAGATCGTGATATGCCGCTAATAATTAAAAAAATATCGTTTTTGATACAAATTTCGATATTGGTTATTTTGTATCGATGTATCGATATATCGAATCAAAATATATCGGCAAAAAATATCGATATATCGGACAAAAAATATCGATATATCGATACATCTATATATTTTCAACAAGCCTAACTTGATCGCGGCAGAATGACAATGGGGAGCAACCTTGCACGTAGTTAAGTACTCCCACTATACCTGAGGCATCTATGTAGGGCCGAACGTCTAGGGCAGCAAAAACAAAATTTCAACAAACGGCCATGACTTTTGGTCGGGTCCAAATCGTCAGTCTTTTGAATAGGAGCTACTGGAGGGTTCACATAACATCCCTTCTCAATGTCTGACGCGCTCGGTTATTTTTTCCTATATTCTAGCCCTTCGTACGGCCACCCCCATATCATGCAAACCGCGGCAGATCAATATTTTTTCCGTTCTTAGAAACGTTACATGAACCCTCTAGTAGATTATATTCAAAAGACTGACGATTTGGGCGCTACCAAAAGTCATGACCGTTCGTTGAAATTATGTTCTTGCTGCCCTAGACGTTCGGCCGTACATAGAGGGCTCAGGTATGGTAGGAGTACTTACAAGGTGCAAGGTTGCTCCCCATATGTTATTCTGCCGCGCTCGAGTAAATCCAAATAAATCCCCGCTTGGGCTCCCCCACTATTAGGAGTAGAATATATTTTATGATTTCAGGCAGTGGCGGACTAAGCTCGTCAGAGGCCCGGGGCGGCAAAATGAGGCCCCCCAGTTTTAAAGAAAAAAATTAATTTCTTAGTTTGTTTCGTTAAAATCTGGCGAGTGAAATTTATATTCCAGTTAAATTATTTAAGCTTAATAAACATACATACCTACAATATGGTACATATAGACTAGAAACGTAGGTGATTGATTATTATTGATTATTAAAGTCATTTACTTTTATACCGCAACAAAAATCAAAAGCACTATTACACTTTTTAATGAGGTTACTTTGAACGGATTTTAAATGAGGCCAATGTTTATTTTTCGACGTAAATATAGTGAATGTTATTAAATGTAGGCGTATAAGCGCTACAGAGACGGGAATTCCCCCAGCGTATTGGACGCGTTCAGCGAAGTCAAAAGTATATTAGTACCGCGTAAAAAGTCTAGATGGCTGTAGTGTTTTGATCTTGATGAAATTATGTAGGTACTAAGCACATTTTTAAAGTCTAGTTTAGGATGCGATCAGGGGAACGCGGAGGCATTTGGGGGCGCCCCAAGATCGGAGGCCCGGGGCGGGCCGCCCCTTCCGCCCCCCTGTTAGTCCGCCACTGATTTCAGGTTTGATTTCACAGTAAACCTTCCATGAAAAAATAAGGGGGAGTTAGCTCATATATAGACGGAAGCGAAAAGTGACTTAATTTTGACAATGAATCCGGTGTAGGTATTCAATCCTATCAACAAATAAACAAGACAATTTGGTTAGGTTTTAAACTACATTGCGAGAGGCCCGATTTGTAACTTTTGCATATACATATACACTCTTATTAATAAACGAATAATAAAGCTTGGTTTAGTTACGACATGTTGTGTCTCTGTTTATTGAATGACAAATGTCATTTGTGTTTTATGAACAAAAAACGGTGTAACTAAAGCTTATTCCTCATTCATTAATAAGGGGACTGTGTTTATCTGTGAGTTAGACGTGTATAATAAAAAAAATAGTGAAAGTGGACATTCAATTTGGTGTAGTTGGTCAGCCTCAATAAGTCATAATGGCTTAGTAGGACCATAAACTTCTACCTCTGCTACTTAAATATAATGTTCAAGCGCCAACTAAATCACTGTAGCAAACACGCGCCAACATAACAGTTTAACCAAGGAGCGCGCCAGTACCTATTAGGGCTGCCATCTCTAAATGTGGCAACCAGGATAAGACGCGTGATAACCCCGGATTTTGTTGCCCAGAACCCGGACAGACCAAAAAAAACAGTTAAAAATGTCACAAATCAACTTTTTTATGTTGATCTAGGCAAAAAAGCTAGCAGTCTACCTCATAATAAGTGGTCACTGCTGCCCATGGACACTTGCAGCACCAAGCCACTCATGCGTTGCCGTAAAATTTTAAACCCAGACTACAAATAAAACCCCGCCCGGACGCTCCCCGGACGCCCCGTAAACTAGGACAAATCCGGGGAAACCCGGACGGATGGCAGCCCTAGCCAGTATCAAAAATCATTCTTATTAGTCTAAGTTATACGTCGGACGTAACCTTATATTTTATAAATATTTTATTGATTGTTTTAAAAAATATAAGTTTTATATATGCAAGTTTCTTTTGAATATCTCCGAAACCGGCGACAGCTGGAACAATGATTTTAAAAGATATAATGCACTGAATTTAGCATTACACTGATAACCCCTCAACTGTAGCAATATGGCGCTCAAAACCTCGTCCGTGTTAGACCGCCATTTTGTTTTTCACAGACGGAATTTATTACTTACCTCTTCCAGGTAACTTCTATCCAGTCAGTTCGAAGATCTACATCGAGGATCTGAAAAAGAATGTTCGTTTCGCCGTCCTAAACGACAGATCTCAGGGCGGCTCTTCGTTACTAGACGGACAAATTGATATGCTGCTACACCGAAGACTTTTGACCGAAGATAGTATTGAGGAAGCGGCTTTGAACGACACAGAATACAACAAAGGCACAGTGATAAGAGGCCAACACTACATCTATATAAGCAAAGCGGACCACAAGCCTTACAGGGTTTTCGAGAAGAAATTAGCAAAGGAGATAGAATTGAAACCACAAATATTGACGTCACCTGCTTGGGGTTATGGTATACGCGGCAAAAAGATGTGGTTATCACAGAGAAATGAGTACAGCGGTTTGAAATCAAAACTGCCTTTGGGTGTACACATTTTGACATTGCAGCAATGGAATGATGATTCTCTTTTGTTGCGATTGGAAAATTATTTGGAGAAATCCGATGCGGTGCGTAGTGGTATCAAAAGAGTTTATCTGAAAGATCTCTTCTTTTTCATCAACGTTTTAGGTGTTAAAGAGACGACGCTATCTGGCCATATGCTTTTGAAGGACTGGGTACCGCTATCTTGGGCGAAGGATAAGTTTATGAAGAGCTACAATGAAGCTTATGGCAGTGGTAAATTTGAGTATGTCGACAAAGAGTCTGTAGTGTTGCAGGAAGTAGATGCGAATGGACCTATCGAGCTGACACCGCAGCAGATAAGAACATTCGTAATGAAATATGAATACGTATGATTCATGTTTATGTTTTACTAGCATCTAGCCCTCGCTTCGCTTTGGTGTAGAGCTGAAGTGTACACTGCAGTTTTTGTTATCAGGCTTGTATTATACACAATGACATTCATCTATGATTCTTCTTATACCTGCATGCAAAGTCTCAGCCCGATCGGTTTAAAATTGACAATGTTTCATACAAACTTTCATTCCCTATTTTATCCCCTTGGGGGTAGAATTGATCAAAATCCTTTCTTAGCGGATGCCTACGTCATAACATCTACCTGCATGCCAAATTTCGGCCCGATCCGTCCAGTGGTTTGGGCTGTGCGTTGATAGATCACTATGTCAGTCAGTCACCTTTGAGTTTTATATATATATAGATATGTCTGGGTGCAGGCGTGCGGTTTCCTGATCCGGATTTCCGTGAGCCTAGCGCAGACATTTCGGTTTTTTTATTAGTTAAATTCCGAACCGAACGTTAGGATTGTCTCTATTCTGAGAAAAAACAGAATAATGTGCGCTTCGTTGAATATTTTGTAAGTAAGGACGTTGATAACTAACGAGCTTATATGATTTTCGGGTATAATGAACCCATGGGCTGCTCAAGTAGAATATGTGCAAAAACCTAGAAAAGAGTGATAGAACATCAAGCAAACCTACGGGCCAACATATTTGCCCTCCGCTTCCTTTTAAGATCAGCGTCCTTTAAAGTATCTGTAACAATATGACCTGGATACTCAAATCAATAATTATAATACATTTATATTTCATACCATTTTTGAAGTTATACTTCTTTAGGCGCGTTATGAAAAAATGATGAGAGTGAAATTTTAAGATGCGCGCGCATCACTGTAACGCAAAATTTGTTATTTGTGTGTTTACCGCACATTAAGAAAATCTACCAACAAAATAGAAATAGAATCTCTATTTAGTGGGTACTAACGACTGCATTGTGAAGGCCTATCAAAAGTATTTATTAATCTGGAACAACGGAACCAAAGCGCGATTCAGGAGACTACAGCGCCATCTCTTGACCATTGGTGTAGTAGAACCAAAAACCACATCTTTATTTTTTGTACCTTTGTTTCTATATTTTTGTTTTTTTACGGATAATCAAATTATGTGAATTTAGATTTTTTTAATATTTATCTTTCTTCATTAGTACCTATATTGTACATAGTTTCACTGGATGCAATAAAACACAGTTGTATTGCCAGCATAATTTTATTATTGTAAACTAATCGTAATGACTTAACACATAAATCTCCATAAAAAATGCATTAATCTAATTCGTATTTAACTACAAATGTCCTTATTTCTTTGGCGTCCAAATTGATTTTATTGCCGTCGTCTGCCATCTTAACTCTATCCACAGCTCTTGCTGTTTTCCTAAAACTACCATATTCTTTATTGATATCTGCAGCAAACTGGTCGGCAACACTCCAAACCCATTGATTATGATTGCTCTTCAATTTGTCAGCGCTCAAAAGCATCTCTTGTACAGATTTCACTTTAAACCCACTCATGAAGTTGCTCAAGTCGATTTGCTTCGTCGAACCCTCGGATTTGTCCAAATAATTCTCTAACCTTAACAATAATTCGCCTTCATTCCAAGGTTCTAAAGTTAATAAATGTACTCCGTTCGCAAGATTTCCTATCCAAGACTTTTCCGTATTTAGAGCTTTGAATTCCTCAAGAGTGATACCGCGAGCGTCAGTAACAAAAACTTCTGGTTTATTTCGAGTGTCTAACACATCTTTGAACGCAAACTTTGCATCACTGTAGTATATCCTGTTTGTGCCTCTGACAACTAAACCTCTACCATTGTAAGTCTCGTTTAGAGCTTCGCCTACACCGAAAGCGTCGTCGTGCAACAATCGTCGATGTAACATCATTTCTATTTCTCCTTCCACTAGAGAAGCACCTCCTTCTGGTCTATCCGGGATGATTCTTAGCGATAAATTACTTTCAGAATCTTTGATACTAATATAACCGACTATGGGATAGTAATTGCCCGCTACGGGCTCCTCCAGGGTCAAGTTCCATTGGGGCCGTTGATTCAGTTTCCTCTTCAAAGTCGTTCTACCGCTGGAGTCGGTGTCAAATTCTCCATTGTTCAAGATGTTCGAAATGTACTTCATAACGTACTCTTTACCTACGCCATCTTCATCGGAAATCGGTCCTATGAGCCAATCGACCTCGCTGTACTCCAAAACTGTGTAAGTACGCTGTGTGTACTCGGCGTTCCCGGACATGACGAATCTCTGTTCTTGGAAAACGTTGCCGGTTACGTCCGTTTTGTTGAGGATGCTGAGAATGGTGGCTGAAATGGCGTTAGGACGGAATATGTAGGCGCCGGAAGATCTGTTTGCGTATACCATATTGTTGCCAAGGTAACCAGGGTAGTAACCGACTGTGCCAGATAATTCATAAGTCTTTCCGCCGGAAGTTACTGTCCGTAGAGAAGTTGAAGCCGAGCGTGAAATTGATGATACACCCTGCGAACAATGTAATGATAAGACAGGTAATCCAAAGCGGACTTCAGTGCGGCCGTCTGGGGAAGTAACACAGAAAGAGGTTAGCAGGGTGATCATAGAATGTTAGTACGGGATTAAAAGTCGCCGGCTCGTCCCCACCACATTTCCATCTAATCTATACATATACTAAAATGGTAGGAAGCCAAAAATATCGTTTTTTAAATTTTGGTATTTCTTATATATAAAATTCTCGTGTCACAATGTAGTTACCATACTCCTCCGAAACGGCCTGACCGATTTTTATGAAATTTTATATGCATATTCCGTGGGTCTGAGAATCGGCTACTATCTATTTTTCATATCCTTAAGTGATAATGGTTGTCCACCTGTAACGTAGTGTTCTGATACCTACAATGCGCCTTCGCGCCAAAATTCCGGGACGCCACACTTTGGCTTTATCAAGCACTCCTGCGCGTCTAATTTATATTCAACTAGCAGCCCGCCTTCGCTTCGCTTCGGTGTAGAGCTGAAGTGTAGACTACAGTATTTGTTCTCAGGCTTGTATTATACACAATGACATTCATCTACGATTCTTCTTATACCTGCATGCAAAGTCTCAGCCCGATCGGTTTAAAATTGACAAAGTTTCATACAAACTTTCATTCCCTATTTTATCCCCTTGGGGGTAGAATTGATCAAAATCCTTTTTTAGCGGATGCCTACGTCATAACATCTACCTGCATGCCAAATTTCCGCCCGATCCGTCCAGTGGTTTGGGCTGTGCGTTAATAGATCACTATGTCAGTCAGTCAGTCACCTTTGAGTTTTATATATATATAGATTGAGCAGATATAGGTGTCGATTGAAAAACTAAATTTAACATCAGTCTCTCCCTTTCATTCTGTATAGAGAATGACAAGGAAACACACTTGTCAAATTTAAATTTAGATTTAGAGAATCGTGCCAGAATCGACACCATTGTTCTTAAGCTAAAAAACCTTTTGTTTAATTGTGTTTATGTGTTTGCTTTCTTAAAAAATAATAAAAAAAAAAAAAATATTAAAAATATCAATTATTAATTACTTTGACTTTCAATTATAATTTAGAATTTGAATTTTATTATTATTATTATTATTATTTGAGAATTGTATGAAATGAAAATATTAAAATGCTAATTGTTATTTAATTTATAGTATTAATTGTTGTAATATTTTATTATTTCATGCATGTACTTATGAATAATTCTATGATATTTATTACTTGTTCATTTTATGGAAATAAAGAGGCTATATTATTATTATTATTAATGTGTTTGCTTTCATTAAATTCAGTGTCATTAAACTGTTTGCCGTCTTATTTACTAAATGTATCTGTTTATAACCAAATTTCTCTTACCTCATCACCCAGCTCATCATCATATCTCTGCACGACCATCGGGTCATCACACGCTGCTTCACTACCACTAACCACATTGTATTCATCTTTACTCCTGCTAACATCAGCATCTCTTCTATGTCTCTTGCCAGTTTTTTTCTTTTGAACGTAAAACGATTTGAAGCCCAGCGCTGGGATATTGGCCACGAAAACAAATTCGTGGGTAGCTATGGAACTGCGGGATGGTATCTTTCTGATGGATTCTTCTATGTAAGTAGTCTGGGTCGCGTATGTTTTGCCTGTTGGGGAAAATTTTACATCAATAGGTCCATTGAGGAGCGCGGGCGGTTAGCGCGTTCGGCTGCGTTCGTTGAAGTTAAGCAACTTTCGCAGTGGTCGGTCATTGGATGGGTGACCGAAAATCTTCTATCTCGAGTTCCTCCGTGCTTCGGAAGGCACGTTAAGCCGTTGGTCCCGGCTGCATCTGCAGTCGTTAGCACCCGCCAATCCGCTCTGGGCCCGCGTGGTGGGTCATGGCTAGGGTTGCAACGATATATCGGAATATCGATATTATCGATAATATCGAGACCAAAATATCGATATTTATATCGATATTTAAAATTCACTGATATCGATAATATCGATATCGGAAATTCCAAAATATCGATATTTAGTAGACTTAATTTGAAAACAATAATATCAATTAATTTACCTGCTATGACTATCTAAATTGAATAATATCGAAATAACTATTGCTTTGAAATTGCAAGAACTTATAGATGTATCAAAAATATCTTGAACCCCTTGAATCAAAAATATACTAAACTGGTGTGGACTCTGGCATGTTTCTCTAAACCTAAAATTAAATTTGACAACAGTGTATCCTTGTCATTCTCTATACAGAATGAAAAGGAGAGACTGATGTTAAATTTAGTTTTAAATTTAGATAATCATGCCAGAATCGACACCAACGTATATAGGTATAATCGTATACCTAATGGTAACTCATGCACTTAACTAAAATCCTTGCCTCCCTTTCTAGATAATTGTCAACTACTGATTAATTGAAATTTAATATCATTGTAATATAACACAAAATAAAATTAAGAATCTTATACAAATCGTAATTTTTTTAAGCTCGCCAAGTCAAGAAAGTAATATAGGTATAGTAATTTTGGAAGCTTTGGGCTTACCCTATTCTGAAGCCTGATGTGTAGGTTTTACTAATTCATATACTAATTCATAACAATTGTTTTTCATATGATTATCTATTCTGATTTTGGCTGCGTGCAAATATTTTAAACAAAATAAATATCTTTGATTCGAAATTGCTTTTGATTTGATACTTCTTACAGCGCTATAAAAAATATAGAAAATATCGTGTTGGAAATGTTGGAATGGCTGACATATCTGATCGGATATCGATATTTACCTGCCCACATTATAAATATCGATATTTCGGAAACCTTTGCTTCCTTAATTTTAGGCTTTTGCTTTGCAAACTTAATACAAAGCAAAAAAAAGAAAAAAATATCGATATATCGATAATATCGAGTTAAAATGGTCGATATATCGGATATCGATATTTGCCTGACTTCGATATAAATATCGATATAAATATCGATATTTCAAAAGACTTTGCATCCCTAGTCATGGCCCAATCTCCCTATTCCATCTATAGGGAAGGCCTCTGCCCTAGCAGTGGGGATATTAATAGGCTGATGATGGTGATGATGATGATGGGTCCATTCGCTAAAGGTTTTTGACAGATGCAAGTGACATCCACCGAGCTTTTTACTGATCTACTGCTGCTTTAATATAAGGCCACTAAGATACTTGTTCTGAGAAGCATCGATGGTTATCAATTTGTTCTGTCACTGTTAAAAATTAACGAATATGCCAGCAGATCGAACTTTCAAATAAGATACATATTGTAGTTAATTTTTTGTACTTTTTCAGCATTTCAACTGCTAGATGTTTGAATCTAAAGAAAATTGTAAATAGAAAAAAATCCACGAGGATCAAGCAGCAGACGGGACTCGAACCCGCACCCTTCGCTGTCCGAACGGATGCACTGACCATTATGCTCCCGCGGCCCTTATGTCCGTGTCGAATTTTTTCAACTTTCGATATATTTTCAACAAGCCTAATGGCGCTGCCTTGCAGCTTAAGAAATGCTAGAATGAATTGGACACGGCCGTCAGGGTCGCGGTAGCATAATCGGTCAGTGCATTCGCCTGGATAGCGACGGGTGCGGTTTCGAGTCCAGTCTGCTGCCTGGTCCGCGTGGAATTTCTTTTAGTAACATTTTCTTTAGAAACAGCAATTAACAAACGGAAGGTTTTCTTAAGAAGAGAAATCAAATAAATTTACCGCTGCTCACAATTACTATTAAATTAAAACTACCAAACCAGTGAACCAAATGTTCACCAAAACCTGATTTCTCTAAAACCGGAAGTGCTACGTTACTCAAATCCGGTTTGTAGTCTTATCAGACTATTCTTAACTTATAACTTAAATATTCTCTTTATCTATCTCTTACGGTTTGGCCGCTGAAACAGCACCACAGACAGACGGATTTGTCTAATAGATATGAGATTGTTGTTTACAAAACGTATTGTGTAACTATACGTCTTTTTATAATCCGATCAAATATGTGTCGTCAATACGATAACCTGCGTAAGGATCATTCTTCCTTGGACATTTTTTGTAGTCGACTTCTTGGATTTCGGAAAGAAATCCAAAGATTAATATTTCATTAACAAAAGAAAATCAGTTAATTTGTGCTTTTGTTTAAGTGTTTTTTTGACGTGACAACGTCTTAAATTAGGTTGCGGCTGGGAGTCACTTATGAAAAAGTGTAACGCTCGGTAACGTTACGATGAGTCTCTCGTGTTAAGTTTAAGTTTACATGTACAATGTTTTAGTAAACAAAATATATTTCTATAGTTAAAATTTGTGCAATTCTTATTTTCATTCAATTCCTTGTTCCTATTGTGCAATTTAATTATATTCATATCAATAAATATTCTACCGAGAAAAAGACGTTGTCACGTAAAATCTTCGCCCGTAAAACCGACTTTACAGGCAACCATTTTTTTTTGTTGTGTTTAATTGTTGAAATTCGTTTTTATTATTTTCTTTTCTTTGCAAATAAAATTTTATTATGTTATGCCCATATATTTAGATTAATAATTTAGTTTTATATTATTGTAATAGGGTATTTGACAGTATTAAAAATAAAGTGCCAATTGTTAGCATCTGTGTTTAGAATGAATATTGGCAGGGGTTTTCACTATTTTTACAGAAAAAATATTCATAATTTTACTAAAAACCCACGAAAACATAATAGTTTTCGTATCTATTGTCACGTGACCCAAAACGCTTGGGATTGGCGGAGCCTAAAATGACGTCACACGCAAGTAAACTTCCGGTTAAACTGACATTACATTGTATCGTTTGACGTTTTAATAACAGTCGTGTGACGTCACACACCAGTGAGACGCCATATTGTCCAGAGAAACGTTTTCGCGGCAACTTGAAAATGGAGTTTTTGATTTGGTTATTTTTACTGAAATAAACAACAGAATGATGAATATCTTTTTACGGATTCCATAAACATTAGTCAATAACGTGAGATCGTTTTCTAAACCTTGTCAAATACCCTATTATCATTAAATTAAAATTGTTTTTTTTAAATGTATAAATTGTGAAACTGGGTTGAAGTAAATGCTGAAATATCTTACCAGAACCATCTGTAACTCTGAGTGTCTTCTCTCCGCTTATAGGGATTCTGATTGGTGCAAGCACTGACCATGCCAAGGGATTATACACTGTAACCTGCACCATACAAAGAGAAAATATGTTTTTACCATACCAAACTTCAAAATAGGAAATAAAATGGCCGGTCATTGGATGGGTGACCAAAAATTACTATCTCAAGCTCCTCCGTGCTTCGGAAGGCACGTTAAGCCGTTGGTCCCGGCTGCATCTGCAGTCGTTATCACCCACCAAGCACTAGATTCATGTATTTTGTGACGGGTATTATTCATTGTTTACCGATGAGTCACCGTTACGCGCGAATAAATAAATATTTTTCAACACTCACACCAATTAGCCTAGCCCCATAGTGCTTACTTTGGGGCTAGCCTAATTGGTGTGTGTTGGCAATATTTATTTATTTATTATTATTTACATATATAGTCGTGTGACGCTCGTGAGGCATTTCCGTTTCATATTTTCCATTTACACCCCATTCAAAAAAAAAGGTTCTCTTCAAAAATACAGATCAATTTATTTCCATTAATTAATACAGGTGTGAATATCATGGTGTATTTTAATGACATTCATGTTGGACATCAGTTTTCAAAGTGTCGCTTACTCATGGGTTTGAATCCCGCTGGGGCAAACGTTTGTGCGATATTTATACTCAAATCTATGTGTCATTTGAATGTAGGGGAAACCACCCAAGCATTGGCACTCGTCCTATTATTGGCACTTTTGAGTTTAATTCGGAAAAACAAGGAGACAATAGATTATTCAAGGTCGTTACATATTAGAAAGAAAAATTTCGAAATTTGAAAATTGGCAGCATTATTCCTACAATCTATTGTTTCCTGTTTTTTTCGAACTAAACTCAAAAGTGCCAATAATAGGAAGAGTGCCAATGATTGGGTAGTTTACCCTATTTCTGTTTGTTACCCTAATATCTTATAACACAAGCCTTACAGTGCTCTATTTGGGGCCAATTGATGCGAGTGTGGGAAATATCTATACATATAATAAAATGTTAGGAAAGTCAAAACTGTACATTGAATATTTTTTTTAAAGAATACTTGGGGTGTGATCTACAAACGATACCGAAGCCAAAAATATAGTTTTTAGAATTTTTATCTGTTTGTCTATCTGTATGTATGTTCAGGATAAACTCAAAAAGTACTGCGTGGATTTACTTCAAATTTGGCACGAATATTATTAAGAAGTCGGGTCAACATATAGGCTACATATTATCACGCTATCACCTACGGGGAACGAGCAGTAAACCTTTATTTCTAACTAACTTCACGCGTACGAAGTCGCGGGCGGCCGCTAGTTTATTATAATATAATAATAATAATTTATTTATTGGAACCACTTTACATTTTAGTACATGTCGTCTTCTGATCCTCAGGGTAACCTTTTCCAGAGGGCAGGGTTCACATAATCATGTACTAAAATGTAAAGTGGTTCCAATAAATTATTATTATTATTAATATTGATGTATTTAATAAGTGAATCACTTACTATCATGGCGCCGCGTGCGTTCTCGGAAGTGACGCAACTGGATTCGTTAAACTGACACCTGTCAAATTTCCACTTCACATCGCTGCTGCTGCCATGAATCAGTTTACTGCGAAACAGAATATTTTAAAATATATATCTTTATAGTATTTCCAGTAATATTTTCTTTTTTTCTATTCTAAATGGCTTCGCACGGCTTGTGCATTTAGCCAATGTCAAGTGTTAAATGTATACAAATACTATAGCACTCGTGGTCAAAGTAATAAGTCAAGTCAAAGTAAGTGGCAGTCAAGTCAATCCCCCTTTCCCTATGTTTCAGTAAATGTGTGGGGATTTACTGGAACCTCCCCGTGGACTTGTTGAGGGAACTTCGAAAGACACTTGCCAGCACTTGTGCATGTTCCCGAACACTTAGTGGTTAATTAATAATCCACCATTATTAGACACTAACATCCGCCACAACACAATTTTTAACAAGAAAAACAAAACTGCTAAAGTGACGCTTCCCGATCCCGCCAAAAAGTCCTTTAGATTTAAACATCGAGCAGTTACATGCTTAAAAAAAACCGGCCAAGTTCGTCCTGCGAGTCGGACTTGCGCACCGAGGGTTTCGTACAAACATGAATTTTTAAAATTATTCTTTATTATACTTCTGTGATTCGCCCTTCGAGATTACATTTAATTCACTTGTAGTAGCACGCATTATGTGCTGCCATCGTACACAATTTTAGAGCAACATTAACCTTTGCCTAAAAAATATAATAAAAATAAAATAAAATATACGCTCGCTCGCTAGGGGTAACTCAATATATTCATACACGTTTTGTGTCGCGGCCATCGTGCACGTAATTTTGCGTTCGCGTTTAATTTATAGTGTTATTGTATATTAAACTACAAAACTCCATGGGAAAACGCAAACTCCACGAAGGAGGAGTGTCTTTCTTGTAAAATCAAGAAAAAATGTTAAAAACTAAACGTAAACATCGCCGCAGTTCAGGATTATGAAAAAGCAGATAAGTTCTATCCTTTGACATTATTATGATTAACAAGAGGATTGCCCAACAGAAGGTAATCAGTGTTATTAATATGTAATCATAGAAATTAACATGCACAAAGGACATGTTATTATTATTTTTTTGTATAGAAGTTGGGCTTTTGCACTCAATAGAGTGGAAATTACATTTTATTGAAAGTACAAAATACGTACATCTTTACTATTAAATTATATTTTTAAAAGACACCCATTTATTTCACATAAATACAGCTGAAACATTAAAAAATACTATTTATAATGGAAAGTTTGTTTCATATTGTTACGAAACATTTTAAATAATAAAAAACTGTTTCTTTAATCATTTAAAAATTATATTTAATATGCATATATTGCCTTTAACCATGGTGAAAATATAAAACTGAAATTAAAAAACGTGGTGATTTTCAAATATTTTTGGTAAATTTAAATTATAAATTTACTAGTCATCTTTGCTTTGGTGAAATTTATTTAAACGTCAAAAAAGATAGCCTATCCTATGTCTCTGGGCTAATAAAGCTTTTCAATGGAGAAAGAATTAATAAAACTCACTTCAGTAGTTTTTTATGTTAATCGGTAAAAACAGACAAACATTTCCTCTTCTTTAATATTAGTATAGACTACCCCGTGCAATTGAGTATAGTCTGCAAGGCTAATCCCAACTATTAATAGACTGTACTTCAGTTCAATCTGTAAGGTTGATCGCTGTATAAAAAATGTCGCACGAGAAATCCTGGAGCATAGTCCGTGAGGCTACGTGAGGCTACAATGGAGAAATAATTTGTGAAAGTCGGTTCAGTAGTTTTTATGTTATTCGGTAAACACAAAGAAATATTTCCTCTTTTTATATAAGTATAGACTACTACGTGCAGTTGAGTTTAGTCTGCAAGGCTAATACTAACTATAAACTGTACTTCAGTTCAATCTGTAAGGTTGATCGCTGTATAAAAAATGTCGCACGACAAATCCTGGAGCATAGTCCGTGAGGCTACGTGAGGATTTTCATTTGCATTAATATTATGGAAAGAGTGCAATTCGTGAGGTTGTACCCACACCATGAATAATAATGCCAACATAATAAATTGCTAAATAATAAGTAACATGAGTACAGTCCGACACTGTACCGTTAACTTTTTTTAACTTAAATAATAAGTAATATGAGTGCAGTCCGGGAGATTGGACCTTTATTTTTTTTTTGTTTTTTTAACTCAAATGATAAAAATATAACGAGTGCAGTCCGGGAGACTGTAATGTTAATTTATTATTTTTTGACTTATATATTAAATAACATGACGGTAGTTCAAGAGATTGTACCGTTGACTTTTTGGTGTTAGAAACCTATTGCTACGCTTTGTTTTCTCTGCCCATATATATATTTTATGGATTGCTGTGGTCTGGGTAAGTAGGTGAAGGTAGCCCCGAAGGTGAAGGCAACTGTGCGGGCCGCACTTCTGTCTATTGACATTCTTACAGCTATGGAGTTGACTCCGCAGTGAGCACCACCACTTACTGACGTCGCGGCGCTACTGCCGCCGGTCGAGTCCACATTAAATCACAGTGTTATCTGATTACTTGGACAACCGCCCATAGGCGTTGAGAGGTTTGGCCCGTGTGGTCATATAAATATAACGATATACGGTGTGACATTTTCATAAATGGATTAAAAGATAATTCATAGAACGAAATAACGAAGGTTTTATTTTTTAGTTTTGCTTTTCACTCCAGGTCTTGAGAATAAATATAAATAACAAATGAAATATCATGAAAAGGGTTAACATTTTGATGGAAAAGCAAAATAAATTTTCAACTGTTATTTCGAGTGTGACTTTAACAATATCAACCTTACTAAGTTCTGGCCATAATGAGAATAAGACTCGGTTATTAAATCATTAGGTAATACAAGATTATTGTGTTATTTACTGAGACACAGCCTAGAATAAAATTATATTTGATTGGAAGTAAACTACAATAAATTTAAAGTTAAAATTTGAAATGGGATAATACTGAAACTGATGCAGAGTTATGACATGGTGACTACCTGCGATATATCAACGAAGTCACAACCGCTACGAACACAAGTTTGTAGAAGCGTCGACTCGACTCCGGGGCTTTAAACTGGTGGGGCCCACCATCTATGCTGGCGCTACCGGCACCGCAGCTATTGCAGCCGAATACACAGGCTGGTAGATAACATTCTTTTAGTATAATAATTGGCGTATGATAATTCACCAACGATCTTTTTTGTCTTCCTTGGTGTCTGGACTACGTATTCGGACATCCGGCAGTTTTTTGCCTTGCTAACAGCATTTTTAATAAAATCGGTTTCTAAGGCATATAAACTGAATACCTGTGTGAGAAAATCAGTGTATAAGTGTCGGCGTATAATGTTTGAACCCTTGGAGGGTCGATTTTTGTCAGTATTTTTCTTATTAAAAGATACCAGTAAAAACAGACACCTTTTAAACCGCAGGCATTAAATAAATAAATTATACCTGATAAATAAATTATACCACACTAAGCTTGAGGGTTATAGAACTTTAAAAGATAATCATGAAGTACCGTCATGTCTGTTCTTTAGTTTTAAAAGACGCTTTTTAACGATTTGTTTGCCAGCAGACATAAGATCTACAGAAAACTTTAAGTTTTGCCTTTTCTGACTTAAATATTGCGCCGTATATTTTTTAATAATTTATGCAATATTTGCGTTATCAAGGACCTACTATCTGAGTAATACTCTTGGCGAATGTTAACAAGATTAAAAATTCACAAAAGTTTATTTCGGAGTCATTAATCTTCACGATTAAAGAAAAAAAAAAGAGGTAAGTACGTAATACACCTAGCTAAATTGCAACCTTTTATAGTAAAAATACATAGACTTATCAACCTCTTTAGCAGGCGAATATTCGAACGGTAGCTAAGTAATATTGATGTGTCTGACAACCAAATACGTTTGGGAGACTTTCAGAAATACTTGCTCAAATCAGACTGCCTGTGGACAGCGGTCGAATCAAGAGACACATTTTTGGTCTTAAAATATTTGCAAAAGACATAAGGAACTGCGAAATACTCCTACGCATATATAATCTCCCTGCTATTTCATACATAAACCGAATGGGGAAGCATTCAGTTTCCTCATGCAGCTTAAGCCGGGAAATTCGACAGTAGAAATAAAGAAAAAAAAGTCTCTGTTTCTTTGCATTTTATGTTAGCTCCAAAGATAATAATAATATAAGCTTGCACAGTTAAGTAAATACACGACGATGTGGAGTGGGAGATTGCAAATGACGCAAATCAGTGGTTTTGTAAAACATTAGCACAGCCGATAGATAGATTTATTTGCGGAACGATTAATTAAAAAGGGTGAAGAACCAAACTGACCTGGTGGCCACAGTACTATCAGGATAGCGTTCCTAAGAAAAGGTTTCTTCTCTGGACGTCGTGGATATTATGTTAACATCTTATAACAATACAATACTCGTTTGAAGCAATGGCACTTCTTTTGTGGACACAATGATGTACTATTTTTCGAACCATCAGTTAACATTTCTTGATTCGATTCTTTGATTTCACATTTCAAAAAAAAAAAAATTTTGCACAAACGCGTCTATGTCATTATTAAAATAAATTCAGAAATTATAAACAATATTCTTATCAAATGATTAATGCGAAGAAATTTATAAATTTCCTACCCTGTCACCAAATTATAGTGTCACGGGTACTACTATGTGTACTACTTGAGTCCCAAGTAGGGTGCACAATTATTTAAAGAAGAAGCTTGGACCCAAGTGATAGCATTTTATACAGCTATTTTTTAAATAATAATCACAAAAGTTATTACATCAATTATATTAATAACTCTTTAGCTCTATTTATTGGTCATAGCATATTTATTTTATTTAAAATCAAGTCAAATATTAATTTTATTACTATTGAAAGTTTCGAAATTAAATATCATTGATCAGATTAAGTCTTCAACTATAAATCGAGCTCACCATTTACTGACTTTATTATAACGATAAAACTTCAATATGCCCAGCCATAAACTTTGGAATATTATTTAAAGTTTCTGCAATGAAGAGGCAATGGGAATGTGTTTTTATTTTTATTATTAATATAATTATTTAGTTCATAGACTTCGAGTCGCTGTATCTTTGCAACGCTACCAGACAGCGGAATAGATACTATCACGTTCTCACAGCTGCTGCTACATGCTGCTACTTTAGCTGCTAACAAGCCAGAAATTAGTATAGAGCTTATGAAGAAAACTGCTGATTGGACAAGTGCGAGATTATACAATAGAGAAGTATCCAAAAATAACTCGAACTTTTCTCGCTCTCTTTACAAACTAATTTCGATCTTGTCATATTTAAATAGATTTTTCAATTAGCCACCTAGAGCTATATTAATTTACATTTATCTCTAATAGTCGGCTATTTCGTGTAGCTTTAAACATCTACAAGTGAATTAAATGTAATCTCGAAGGGCGAATCACAGAAGTATAATTGAAAGTCAAACGAACTTACCTGTAAGTGACGTTCGACTGATATTATACGATGTGATTCGCCCGAGAGATTACACACCCTCCCTGTCCCTGATCAGCTGTTCTATAAAGATATCTAGATCCTACCCATTATTACACGAAATAGCAAGAACCAATGGACCGCTTTAGTCCAAACATGTATGAATATATTGAGTTACCCCTAGCGAGCGAGCGCATATTTTATTTTATTTTTATTATATTTTTTAGGCAAAGGTTAATGTTGCTCTAAAATTGTGTACGATGGCAGCACATAATGCGTGCTACTACAAGTGAATTAAATGTAATCTCTCGGGCGAATCACATCGTATAATATCAGTCGAACGTCACTTACAGGTAAGTTCGTTTGACTTTCAATTATATGATGTAACTAAGAATTTACGGTTTTCACAATTTTCCATTCATCTGTAAGTACCTACTATAAGATGTTTCTTCATACCAAATTTCATGATTCTAAGTTCACGGGAAGTACCCTGTGGGTTTTGATTCCCGTGCGAAGTTCGAAAATTTGCGGCATAAACGGCTGTATCTTTTGATTGCTTCGGCTTAGAAGTTTGATTTTTTCACAGCTCTAAGGAACAGTACACCTGAGTATTAGATATGAATTTCGGTTTGTTACCTCCACGCGTTCCTGAGAAAAGCGATCTTGATAGACGGACGGACGGACAGACAACAAAGTGATCCTATAATGGTCCCGTTTTTTCCTTTTGAGGTACGGAACCCTACAAAAAATAATAGAACAATATACCTATCTGTTCTTTATTTCCTAATTTACTGAGTACTAAAATTTGACAAGTGTACTCTTCAGTGTACAATACAATACAATACAATACAGTACAATACACCGTATCGTACACAAACATGACAATTTATATTACATTAAGAAGTTTATCTCTCGGAATTTCTCATTTAAGCGCACCTAGCGACATCTGTTGTAAAAAAATGCATTTTATTCGCAATAAAGCTGCCACGCGGACGTCCTAGATACAGACTTATTATTATAATACGATAAAATAAAATATTACTACGATTCGTCCAATATATTAAAAGTCACCAACCTTTCCAATTTTATTGTTTTCGTCTTACGATCAGGACACGTGGCCTGTGATGCGATCAGCCCACGTGTCATGACGCGAATTTAACATGTTTTACCCACACAAAAAAAAGTGTACAACGCCGCTAAAGAAGTTTTCACTTCAAGAAATCCATTTTTTTTTGTTTTTTCAAGGAAATATCGAAAATGTTAGTCGACATCACTGGAGACCGAAGAGCTGGCAGCTACCTCGGACAAAGAATTAGTCTAGCTATTCAAAGGGGGAACGCTGCCAGTATCTTCGGAACCTTGCCTAAATGGACTCCTTTTAATAATGTATTTTAGTTATTCTATTATATTTTTTAAGGTTTTTTTTGGTTTTTACGTGCATTTATAAAAGCGTGATTTTCCAGTCTTTTTTTTATCTTCTGATAAAAAACTAGATTTATAAATCAATAAAAAATAATATACCACTAACTTGAGCGCTTCAGTGGTAATTTCTTCATGAGCTTCGTGCAGAGCTGCAGAAATGATTCTTATGTAATCGTATGTTACGTGCTGTTTCTCCGTGCCCGTAATAGCGTCGTGATGCTGCAAAAATCCTGCGAAATAATGAAAAAACAACCTTTTCAAGACATTTGCCTAAAAAAATGCATTTCCGGAAGTTAATTGTATACATTGTACGAAAGTTCACAATTACGAGCCATATACGACGGAGCGTACATCACACAAACATCTGCCCCCACCGGGATTCGAACCCGGGATCTCTCGAGTCGGCGACACCATGAAACCCGGCGTACAAACCACTTGGCCACGGAGGTCGCCAAAATTATTATTTTTATTACTAACTCACCCATAGCACTCTTCAGCTCATCCAAAACGGGCATTTTGTTCATTGAAAGGCCAGCTAACACGTACAATTGTTTTGCCATCTGCAAAATAAAGAAGATAATATTATATTATCTCCTAACTGTCCCGCGAACTTCGCACCGCCATTAAAAATAAGGGTTGGTGGTAGAAGGGTGAAAATTTGGGGTTGTATGTATTTTTGTATGATGTATCATAAAAAAATAAAAAAAAATTGACAAAAAAAATTAAGGGTGGACCGCCCTTAACATTTAGGGGGGTGAAAAATAGACGTTTTCCGATTCTCAGACCTGCTGAATATGCATATAAAATTTCACGAAAATCGGTTGAGCCGTTTCGGAATAGTTCCATTACGCACACCGTGACACGAGAATTTTGTATATTATATTTCTATTAGGTTATTTGCCAGTATGAAAAATAATGTACCAATTGTTGGTATTTAATATGAATATTAGCTGCGATTTTACTATTCTGAGAGAACAAATAATTAATAACTTTTCTTTTAAATCATTAAATTGATTTTTTGCTTCATGGTCACGTGACCGAAAGAGCCTGGGATTGGCCAAGACTAAAATGACGTCACACGCTAGTAAACTTCCGGTCAAAATGACATTACATTTTGGGTGTATTCCGTAATATATACCAGTATAGTGGCCAGTGCTAATGACGTCATGAATCGACGCTATACTGGTGAATTGTTCCGAAATATACTCGCCAGTGCACTGACGTCATAAATCGACGAAATATTAAAAATAGTATGAATACAGAAGATTTTTTATTCACTTCATCAATTAAAGGGATCCTTTTTGTTCGGATGCCATTATAATTCTTTAAATAAAAAAGAAATAAAATTCGAATGCATCTCACTCACGCTCGGTCATACGTCATTTTCGTGTTCCCGGTAAAAATATGGTAGCATACCAGTACAATATGGCGTCGGATTCGCGACGTCATTACCACTGGCCAGTATACTGTTGTATATTTCGGAATACCCTTTATCATTTGACGCATGAAGGTTCGCTGTAGAAAATAGTGCCCCAGAAATATAGACAAAATAAGTGAGGCGCTGCGACCGCTAGGCTGTTGTGCGCTAATTTGAAATGACCAAAGCCACGAAGAAAATTTGTACATTTAAAGAAAATATAACTAGAAAAAATTCCACGCGGACCAGGCAGCAGACGGGACTCGAACCCGCACCCTTCGCAATCAGGGCGAATGCACTGACCAATTATGCTACCGCGGCCCTCACGGACCACGTCGAAATTCCTCTAGCCATTGTTAAGCTGCAAGGCAGCGCCAGGTCAGTGCATTCGCCCGGATTGCGAAGGGTGCGGGTTCGAGTCCCGTCTGCTGCCTGGTCCGCGTGGAATTTTTTCTAGTTATATTTTCTTTAGATTTAAACATCAAGCAGTTACATGCTTTAAAATAATAGAAATTATAACTATAATTGCTATTTCTTCTTTCAAATGTTTAATACTTGTAAAAGTATTCATTTGACATTGTGGGTTACCTATAATGCGAAGAGATGGCGCTGCCTTGCAGCTTAAGAATGGCTAGAGGAATTTCGACGTGGTCCGTGAGGGCCGCGGTAGCATAATTGGTCAGTGCATTCGCCCGGATTGCGAAGGGTGCGGGTTCGAGTCCCGTCTGCTGCCTGGTCCGCGTGGATTTTTTTCTAGTTATATTTTCTTTAGATTTAAACATGAAGCAGTTACATGCTTTAAAATAATAGAAATTATAAATTTGTACATTATTCAACTAACTTCATCTACTTGTACTCATAAACAGCTAACTTCACAGATAATACATAAAGGCCTTCTACACGGTCGGACGACCGACCATCGTGTTCTTGGATCGAATAGAAAACGGTTGACCCGACCAATATTCGTTCTTCTTGCATTCTTAAACAGTATAGTAACCTTTCTTAAGAAGAGAAGTTTTTATACACACTTTAAACTTATTAAAAGGTAAATTTATTATTTCAAGAATGCTTATCTATGCTTGCGTTGAGCCCCCGAAGATGTCTACGGCTACTCACCTGCATATAGGGTCACCCTCCGTCCGGATAAGTCCGGACATGTGCGGACTTTTTCACTATAGTCTGTACTTTATCCGGATTTTTCAAATTACATTGAATATGAATAATAAAAGTAAATATTGATTTAAATACCATACCATTGTTACTAACATTATAGCTATTAACGGGATTGTTACCATGTACCTTGTTTTTTATGAGTCTCCGATATTTCGGCACTGTTGCAAGCGCCGGAACTGATCAGTAGATTATTATATAGATAGATAGCTACTGATTATCAGTAGCTATAATGTTAGTGACCATGAAAGTTTTAAACAATATATCATTGTAACTAAGTGAGTAATGGTACCATTTTGTGACTAAAAAGTCCGGACTTTTTTCGAAATGTCAGGTATTTTGTCAGGACTTTTGAAATTCCTAAATGGTAACCTTACCTGCATGTACTTGTTGGCCTCTGCTTCTATCAGCTTTATGGTTGGTCTGGACGTGAAGTATCCAGTCCAGTACGAATGCGGATCGCTCGCGTACGGGAAAAAGTCGTCCTGTTTGATGGGCAGTACGGGACTGAAAAGTTTGCGAGATTTAGTAACATAGTAGAAGATCCGAACGTACATCGACCTTCACCGAGTTGATAATAGAATGACACATGTTTTATCATGACATTTAGTACATTACAAAATATATTAAAAATGAGTTGCCTAAAAAATCCTGGACAGGCTATTTTTAATTATTTTTAAAAAAATATAAAAAACGAGCCAGTCGCGTTCTCGCGTATGATGTGTAGCATTTGAAACCTCACCTTATATTAGTAAAAAAAGAAATAAAACCTACTACAAAAGGAATAAGCCATTTGAACATTATGTTCTTAAATCACATCAAATAGCGCGCGCTTTCTTCCTGTTACACAATGCCGTCCCATTTTACGAAATCACTTCCACAAATTACAGGAAAGCGAGAGGAAAATTATTACAGAAACTGTTGTCCTGGCTTAAAGTATAAAATGTATTTAATGTGCAGCCATTGGGTAACGTAACTGTCATCGACATAATTGTTTATACCTGGCAACCCAGTAGTTCACCCAGATAAATAATAGACAACCAAAAGGCTATTACATTTTATACGTTTTTTACTGTTTTTAGGATATATATCCACAAATTGCAGGAAAGCGAGAGGAAAATTATTATTTAAGAGATAGTTCTTATTATCTTGATGCCCCAAGTTTTTTTTTTAATTTATTATAAATAGTCTGTCCATGATTTTTTTAGGCAACTCATTTTTAATATATTTTCTAATATACTAAATTTATACAAATAAAAATCAATTGCTCTTCGTTAGTCTCGCTAAACTCGAGAACGGCTGAACGGATTTATCTTATCTTGGTCTTGAAATGTTCGTGGAGGTCTAGGGAAGGTTTAAACGGTGTAAAAATATGCAGAAATGGCGAGGAAGATAGTAAAAAAAATACAATTTCATTTGTCCACATAAATCAAATTATTGTAAGCAGTACAAGTACGCTGGGTCAGCTAGTTCATATAAAATATGTTTCATTCTATTATCAGCTTGGTGAAAGTCGATGTAGGTTCGGATCTTAGACCTACAGAAGATAAGATAAGATAATTTTGTATGATTTCTAGTGGACCTGACAGTCGTTGTCCTGTCCGATCAAAAGAAAAAAAATCCTGAAACCCAACTGCGGTATCGCCTACCGGGTTGAATTGTTTGTTACAATTTAATTTATATTAGTATCTAGGAGTATTTTAAATTATATCATTATCACGACTTGCTGATATTGTCTTAATTAATGTGTTTCCTACACGTTTTTCTACAAATAATTCGAATAATTAAAGAGAAATTATTAAAATTGGTTAAGTACATTTTAGGGATTTAATTTAGTATTACGTTTTCTTTAATAATCTAGTTTCCTACACGTTTTTCTACAAATAATTGGAAAAGTTAAAGAGGAATGATTAAAATTGGTGAAGTACATTTTAGGGATTTAATCTAATATTACCTACGTTTTCTTGAATAAAAAATTAAAGAGAAATGATTAAAATTGGTGAAGTACATTTTAGGGATTTAATCTAATATTACCTACGTTTTCTTGAATAAAAATTAAAGAGAAATGATTAAAATTGGTGAAGTACATTTTAGGGATTTAATCTAATATTACCTACGTTTTCTTGAATAAAAATTAAAGAGAAATGATTAAAATTGGTGAAGTTCATTTTAGGGATTTAATCTAATATTACCTACGTTTTCTTGAATAAAAATTAAAGAGAAATTATTAAAATTGGTGAAGTACATTTTAGGGATTTAATCTAATATTAAGTTTTCTTGAATAATCTAGTTTCCTACAAATAATTAAAAAAATTAAAGATAAATGATTAAAATTGGTTTAGCACATCGTAGATTAATTTGTTATTATAAAGATAGTTTTGTATCAAAATAAATTCAATGAGGCAGTGCTTACTTGCGAGCAATAAATTTACAGACGAAATCGAGGGAAACCGTTCTGCGCTTAGGGTTACCATCCGTCCAGATTGGACCGGACATGTCCGGACTTTTTGACTTTAGTCCGTTATAATTTGAAATGCCAGGTTTTTGTCAGGACTTTTGAAACTCCTAAATGTTCACCCTATCATCATCATCATCATCATCATCAGCCTATTAATGTCCCCACTGCTGGGGCACAGGCCTTCCCTATGGATGGAATAGGGAGATTGGGCCATGACCCACCACGCAGGCCCAGTGCGGATTGGCGGGTGCTAACGACTGCAGATGCAGCCGGGACCAACGGCTTAACGTGCCTTCCGAAGCACGGAGGAACTCGAGATAGAAGATTTTTGGTCACCCATCCAATGACCGACCACTGCGAAAGTTGCATTACTTCAACGATCGCAGCCGAACGCGCTAACCACCCGCGCCATCGAGCTCCTATATGCGCTGCTAATGCACTCGACATAAATAAAAATAATTACCTTTGGTCATTCGGTAACTTGGAAGCGAGATTACCTATTCAATTTAATATGAATTGACTGAGTTACAAGTTTTCTAAAGGTTCTCACGGATTTTTTTGAAGTTTTAGGGAAATTTCACTTATAACTCTACCGTCGGGTTTTACGTTTTTTTTTTTATTGAGCAAGGCAAAGACTGTCCCGTCCTCTAATAGTTCTGAAAAAATATACTCACTTTGCATCCTTCACAGCTTTCAAATAGCAATCTGGTGTGGAGTAGAATATGTTTATGTTCAAGTTATCATCAGCCGCCATCTTGTTGCCGTACCTGTGAACGTTTATTTTATGGATATATACTTGGGTTTATATCTATTAACGGGATGGTAACACGTGTACCTTGTTTTTTATGAGTCTCCGATATTGTGAGCAGGTGCGAGTGAATAGTGAGAATGTGGCCAGTGGTAGGGGTATCGAGCGCAGTAAAAGACGACGTCAGAGGGTAGACCGATATGTCTGCCAATAACATCTACTCGCAATTACTTCAGTTACTCCGTGATCATGGCGCTTGCAACAGTGCCGAAATATCGGAGACTCATAAAAAACAAGGTACATGGTAATAACCCCTTAATACTTAATAGCTAAAATTTTAATGACCATAAATGTTTAAAACATATATATATATATATATATATATATACTTTGTTTTAATACAAAGGCTCGTATGCACCAAAGTTATTAAATTGTATGCATCATTCTAACTCAATGTAACTTTAAACAATTGACAAACATGGAAAGTTGACGGCGATTCGTACACTGCTCCGCAATACGCTGCGGGGTGCGTGACGACGGAACCACTCGTGTAGTTGCGGGATTGCGGAAATGCAGCTCTGCATCATCATGCAGATTTTGCCTTTCGAGATTTGCACTACGCGTGTTGTTTTCATGGTGGTATGGTAGGTAGGTACTTGCAAGCAACGTAACGACACTGGTCCGCACTACGCTGCTGATATAAGTGCGGTAAATTGAGAATTACAGCTGAGGCGATATTGTTAGCCGGAGCCGTAGGTGAGGGCTATAAGAAGGCCGAGGCTGTAATTATCAAACCGCACTACGCTGCGGGGTGCAGATCTGCATCATCGTGCAGATTTCACTATAAGAAACAAACTCGTGTTTCTCTGCATGCAGGCGCGTTATCTGCACTTCCACCCTGCGCATGCATGCGTGCGAAAAACATATTTAGATTAAAAACATAAAAAAAATCAGTGTAGGATTAGTTCCAGCCAAATCATACCGAACTACTTAGAATAGAGACAGCATTACTATCTTAAAAAATAAAATGAAAAATTATTAAAAAAAAACCCGTTTTACTCTCCAGATCAACTGATCGATAGATAGATCATTAAAAAAACAATGCATACAATTATGTGACGATGAGTGAAATAACCACCTAGTAGGTACCGATAGTTAAAAAGCTAATCTGTTTGTCATTGGACGAATTGTATTGATGTCGTGCTACGGACCAATGACAGCGCTCTTTTTCGTGTGAGGCTGTTTCTAACCTTATTTTACGGAAGCGATTGTCTGATAAAGAAATTGCTCCACTAACTTATATTACTCATGCAATCGTAAAGAGTTAAAGACAAAAGGTTTTTCTGTGAATAAATCCAGATAGACCAGTGGAAAGTGAAAACACAAAGTTCAAGTTACCTCAACTAACCATACTATTAAAGTCCGTCATAAAGTAAAATTCTTTACTTGCGTTACCGTTATCGCAGAAGCTTTATTTTTGTCTATTAAAGTGAAACTTCTTTTCGGACGAGGTGTAAATGGAAAATATGAAACGGAAATGCGTCACGAGGGACACACGACTTTATATATACAGGGTGTAAAAAAACCTATGACAAAGACTAAAACTACGCATTCTGTACATCCAAACAAGTAATATTACAAAATATTATACATGGGAAACATTTGTATTTTTAAGTTGAAAAAATACAAAAAATTGACCAGTACGCAATGTATAGCGCGGCGCGCTACTGTGGCGCTACGCAACAATGTGCCTGTGTGTATGTGTGTGCGTGTGTGTAAGTGCTCCGATAAAAAAGTTTCTAAAAAATCGTTTTCGTAAAAATTCGAAAAAAAAATTGACTTTGACCTTCAATATGTCCATAACCATAATTTTCCAGGTATGGTCCAGAAGAAAAAAATGATCGTCATGATGTGAAAATACGTGGCCTTCGACATCGTTAAAGCTTTTTTTACACCCTGTATATGCGTGTGCGTGTTTGATTCATGCGCAGCTGTTCCCGACGAGTATGAAAGTTGGAGGGTAACTTGGCGAAGCCTGAAAAGGTACGAGCGTCATGCGCGTCACACGCGACCATATATATATATATTGTATGTACTCATATATATAGTAATATGTAGAGTGATGCATGCGTTGCTCCATTTCCCCAATGCCTTATGCACCGCCTAAGGTTAGTTTATTTAAGAAAAGAAGTTTCACTACAGATTTGTGGTCCGAGCACACATTTTTTTGTGTATTGTATTATTACCATCATAATAATATAGTAAGTCATTTTAAATAAAATCCCACTTTCTCAGTGATTATTAACTTCAAACAGCCGACAAATATAAAGTCATGTTAAAGTCACATTAAGCTTCAATTTAATTTAAGGACGTTGATGCAAATGGCTCTTTATAATACTTCTGAAAGTACATGTCATATTTTTGTATGGAGGCTGGGCTATTGCAGTAACAGAAAGAAAATCATATTTTTATGAAAGTAGAAAGAAATACATCTTTCGCGTTATTGAATTATATTTTTTATAGCATTCTATTATTTCACATAGTATTTATATGCAGCTAAAACATTAAATTTCTGACAATTTTGAATTGTGTCGATTTAATATTGTTATGAAATTAAAAAGGTGACTTTTTTTTTATTTGATTTAAATATTAATATAAAATATATTTTTATTATTTTTTTGTTTTCGTAGGACCACTTACACAATCTTCTGTATCAGTAAAACCCCGGATTACAAGACAAAAATATTTCAAGTCCCAAAAAATAACATATCCTTTAAAATTACGCTATACTTAGTCGAAAACTATCACATTGATACAAAATTGTCATTGACAATGCCTTTATCAACAAATATTATAAACCGATTTTTTTTTTATTTTTTTTTATATAGCCAGGTAGGCAAATGACTCTACCCCACCTGATGTTAAGCGGTGATAAAGTCCAAACGCGAAGATTGCAACCACAACCAGAGCCATGTATTTTTTAAGTTTACACCCACAAACTTATTTTACAAAATTTAAAATTCTCTCCAAGGGACTTACTTAATCAACTTGTCCAAGTTTTTGTACCACATTCCAGCGTCCTGGTATGTGAAATCTCCGCCCATGGTGACCAACACATTGTTGGTGAGGTAATTTTTTTGTTCCAACTGCACGTATTTTATAAAGTCGGTGACCTGAAATGGGGTCGGGGTTTTGAGTACCACTGAACTAAGGGTTTTGAGAACCACTGGTTTTTCGGAATTCTCAGATTGGAATTTTATTTTTATATAGATAGGTCCGACAAATGACTCCACCCCACCTGATGTTAGGTGAAGTCCAGAAGTGAAGATAGCGGTTCTACCTGCCACACCAGCCCTCCTCACCCTGCCGGCCTGTATGTTGCTTCTTCACGCCTCTTTTAAAGGAACTTAGCTTTACGAGAACTATTGTCACCATATTAATGGCTAAATTAATTTAATTTATTGATTTTCTGTTAGATATAAACACATATAGTGCATCTCTTTCTCTGCCTGACAAAAAAAACAGGACGAAGAACTGCGAAAAGGTACCTTTATTCTATCTATACATACAGGCTGTAAAAAAACCTACGACAAAGACTAGAACTATGCATTCTGTACACCCAAACAAGTAATATTACAAAATATTATACGTGGGAAACATTTGTATTTTGACGTGACAACGTCTTAAATTAGGTATTAGGGAGTCACTTATGAAAAAGTGTAACGCTCGGTAACGTTACGATGAGTCTCTCGTGTTAAGTTTAAGTTTACATGTACAATGTTTTAGTAAACAAAATATATTTCTATAGTTAAAATTTGTGCAATTCTTATTTTCATTCAATTCCTTGTTCCTATTGTGCAATTTAATTATATTCATATCAATAAATATTCTACCGAGAAAAAGACGTTGTCACGTAAAATCTTCGCCCGTAAAACCGACTTTACAGGCAACCATTTTTTTTAGTTTTTTTTTTTCCAGTACCCAATGTATAGCGCGGCGCGCTACTGTAGCGCTAAGCTACGCAAAGAATGTGCCTGTGTGTATGTGTGTGTGTGTGTGTGTAAGTGCGTTGATAAAAAAAGTTTCTAAATAAAGTTTTTGTAAAAATTTTGAAAAAAAAAACGTGACTTTGACCTTCAATATCTCCATAACCATAAATTTTCCAGGTATTTCCAGGAAGAAAAAAATGATCGTCATGATGTGGTAAATACGTAGCCTTCGACTTCGTTAAAGGTTTTTTTACACCCTGTATAATAAAATGGTAGGAAAGTCAAAACTGTACATTGAATATTTTTTTAAAAAATACTTGGGGTGTGATCTACAATCGACACCGAAGCCAAAAATATAGTTTTTAGAATTTTTGTCTGTTTATCTGTATGTATGTCCGGGATAAACTCAAAAAGTACTGGAAGGATTTACTTGAAATTTGGCACGAACATTATTAAGAAGTCGGGTCAACATATAAGCTACATATTATGACGCTATCAGGTACGGGGAACGAGCAGTGAACCTTTTTTTTCAGACTAACTCCACGCGCACGAAGTCGCGGGCGGCCGCTAGTAAGAAATATATTTATTGCTGCCCATTATAAGTATTTTTCTTTTATAGGAGCATTTAATTGCTACGTTTTTGCTATGGACATAATAAATTAGTCGATATTTTTAAAGTAAAAAAAAAACTATCACTATTGTTTCCGAACGCCAACTTTGAAACGACATGTCTACCAGATTCGATCAGATTAATTTCAAAATTGTAATTATGAATTAATTTCTTAATAGTTTTTGTTGTTTTTTAATACAAAATGCACATAATTTTAATGGAAAATTCTATACCCTTAACATTCAAATAAATAGCGGGAAAAGTTTCGTCTTTTGCGCTCGAATGTGATACAAAATCCTGATTTTATAAAAAAATAATAATCGTAACATTTTAACGGTATACTTACACATAAATATAATATATTGTAAGCAAACTACCGTCAAATCACCGGCATTCAGTATAAAAGGCGAACGGCGCGCGCGTATGGGAGGCTTCATGAATGAAGCCTTAGAGGCCTTCCCGGCCAGAGGCAGCCCCTACGGGTGTTTTATAGTGAGTACGAGTCTGACATTACCTTGCAACCGGCTGTAGGGTATCCATGAGGATTTCTCACCCGTTCCCCCGCCTGGGGGGAAACAAAAAAAAACGCGTATCACGGTTCCCAACTTAGGCGTTTTGCCCCCAGATTTAGGGGCTAGAAGTGTTAAAATGAACTTTTTTAGGGGCTGGAATTTTTTGGGGGTTCTTTTAGGGGCTTTTATCAAAACTTGCAATTAAATCGAAAAACAAAGCGTGAGTTCTCTTTCAGTTTTGTGCGTAGAATGCAAAGTAGTAGCGTAGAGCGTGGCGGGTTGTTTCCTAAGGCTGCATGGACTAAAGTTAAAGAACAGCTAAATAAGATTTAACAGCCTATCAGTTCATTTTCGTTTGATTGTCCTTTCGAAAACTGTATTTATTCAATAAAATAACTTACTTTAACTAAATATGTAACGTTTTAATTTATGAGCAACGAAAGAATTTGGGTAATAAGTAGGTACTTAAAAAATTGTATATTTAGGGAATTTTAGGGAAATTTAAAAAATACTTAGGGGAAAATTTTGGTAAGGGTTGGTAACACTGACGCGTATGGGACATCTACTCTTTGGCGCGCGAAGCGAACGGAACTCTGGTCAAATCTCTGTCGGTTACTTGTGTGATTTTTATAAGTCGCTATTTCTATAAATTCTGTCGTGATTATGGTGAAGTGTACAATTTAATAAGTGTCTTAGTGATTAAATAAGGGTAATTGTTACAAAATACAAGCGATAAAATTGAGTAGATATCGTTTAGTGTTTCCTTTTTTATTATTTTACTGCTTCTATTCCTAAATATATACCTCTGAATCTTGTGACGCATTTCCGTTTCATGTTTTCCATAGAATTACATCATACAGTGCAAGTTGAAGTTTCACTTCAAAAATCAAACGGAGCGATATTTAAAACTACCATTTTAGTAAAAAACGTAAAATATTGGTACTTTAGTTTGAAAAGAAACAGAGCTGTAGGTAAACCGCTTAACTGAGACCTCGTCTGCGGGGTACAGGGTGTGGGGAGAGGGGGGAAGAAAACAAGGACATGAGACCGCGGGCGGCGGGCACTTGTAATTTTGACAGGAATATGCGCCGCCCGCACCTCTCACGGTCCCCGTTTTCGTCCTACCTCAATTAATCAACACAATAGGGTATTTGACAGTATAAAAATAAAGTGCCAATTGTTAGCATCTGTATTTAGAGTGAATATTGACAGGAGTTTATGAAAAAATATTTATAATTTTACTAAAAACCCACGACAAAAATAATAGTTTTCTTGTCTATTGTCACGTGACCCAAAACGCTTGGGATTGGTGGAGCCTAAAATGACGTCGCACGCAAGTGAACTTCCGGTTAAAGTAGATTGTATGGTTTGACGTTTTAATGACAGTCGTGTGACGTCACATACCAGTGAGACGCCATTTTATCCAGAGATACGTTCTTCGCGGCAACTTGAAAATAGAGTTTTTGATTTGCTTTTTTAACGAAATACACAACATAATGATGAATATCCACTTTTTATGGACTCTATAAACATTAGTAAATAAATAATATAAATATAACAATATAAATAAATTAAATATATAGTACATGACCTCGAAGGGTATTTCAAAATTAAGTTCATAAAATAATGTAATAATAAAAAAGTATTCATAAGTTTAATATTGAATTTAATTCATATTTTTGAATTCACATTTCTATAAAAATCTCGGTCATTACATTATGTCAATATATTAAATTATTATAATGAAATAGTGAATAGATTAAAACATATAGTGAGTATTTGCTATTTTAATGCGTTAAAAAACCATCTAGTGAATAGTATTTTTTTTTAAACCTATGAATTTAATAGATTGTTAAATTGATAATTTTTTAAGCGATCTACCTATGGTTTAGTGCTGTTTTTTGGTGTAACTCACTTTATCAACTTATCCAGGTTCTTGAACCACATTCCCGCATCTTGGTAGTTAAAATCATCACCCATCGTGACCAATACATTGTTAGTGCTGTATGCCCTGGCCATTTGCTTGGCGCGCGCGAAGAATCCATCGACCTAGGAAGTATTAGAATTTTTCTAGACTCCGAGGCCCAAAAAAATCGAGAAATCAAAAACATCGAAACAACAGATGGCGCTGAAGTCCAAATAAAGCATTTTGGTAATAGTCATCTTTTACCTTAGGTCATATGGTGTGAAATAATATTTTGGTTCTCAATTACCTAGATAGTGACAATTTTGGTCTGACAAGGACTGAAAACAGTTTTTAGCCGATCGTACTGTTTAAGTGAAAATAAAATATTTTGGTGCGCAATTATGTTATTATAATTTTTTTTCTTTGGATTATACATTTTTGACAGTTACCTGCGTTGATTTTATAAAATTACTTAACTTACCACAGATTTGCTCAACAGCAACACATTTAGCAAATGCTCTTTGTTATTCGTAAACTGTAGTGGCAATATGCAAGGGCTACTGATTAAACTATTTGTTCGATAGCTTAATGTCTTCTATATGTGGATTTCTCAATAAAAATCGGATATTCAGATTATAGAATATTATTCATAGTAAAATACAGATCTATTAAAATTATGTGCGTACGTTGTCTTTTTTGAATTCGAATTGCAAGAGGGAGAGTGAATCTATATAAATCAAAATGAGTGAATGTAGTAACGAATGGGTACGAAATGAATGTATGAATGGACGATGACGATGGACCGATTGCAGTTTCTCTCTTCGAAGGATAGATGGCGTTAACACTATTATTTGTTGACGTTGACATTCGTAACATACTAAAACTAAAATAAAACTAGTTTTAACGGGTTAATGCACGAACTTTATTTATTTATTGACTTTTATTCTAATGAGTAAACTAGTTTTATATTAATGAGTGATGTGCGTGAAAACCAAAGAAATATACTAAAACTAGTTAAAATATTTTTAACATTATCAGCATTCTCGTGAAAATCATGCATAAATGTTATAAATAAGAATATGTACCACCCCATTCTATTGAAAACGATAATTCTAATCATAATCAAAATCATTTATTCAGTTTAGGCTGTTACAAG